CACAATAAGGACCTTAAAAAAATCCACAAAAGATATATCCTTTTTTTTAATACAGACAAAAGAAGTCCTTCTAAGGAAGTCTATTTTAAAAGGGAGTTCATTGATTGCATTTTCAAACCATTAATTCGGTAAGTCTGATTATTGAAATTTTTTTTTCAAACCATTAATTAGGTAAATCTTATTTGTTGGAGTTTTTCAAAAAAGAGAAAGAAAAAAAAAACTAATGTTTTTTCTTATTTAATTTTTCAACAAGGTGATAAGAAAGTTGTAACAAATTTGGATAATAAATTTAAGGAAACATTCAAATCAATATGAAAAAAATAAGGGTAAATTTGGAAACAAATGTTACCTTATTTGATGCATTAATTACATTTTTTTTAGTGTAAGTAAAGTGACACATATCATGAGAAAAATGGAGAAGGTCCAAAAGAGAAGGTTGGAGAAAAGGGTGCTAGCATTCACCCTATTTTCTTCCCTTCCGTGAATGGGAGTCTTGTGGGATTTATATGAGATGGTAGGGATGGCTATATTTTAATAAATTACACTACATCACATCAGCTGATCACATTGTTAGGAACCTTCATCATTGCTGAGCTGGATTAGTGATGAGCTGGCATAGTCAGTTTGTTAATTAATTAGTTAAGAAATTCGTTTCTAACCGAATTGGTTAACAAGGGCTTACAACTATATTAGACAATTATTGTATCAAGAATGAGTTGTTGAGAATATTGTATTGTTTCAATAATTCAATAAATAATACTTGTTACTCTGTGTAATTATAGGGTTAAGGTTGAAAGGGGTTTAACACACATAATCATATGTGACAACTGTTAAAAGTCTTATATAGTTATGCTAGTAACTTTCTCTCTGAGGAGGGGCATTGTGTCTGATTAGGTAGTTGGTAAGGCAAAGCTAACTAAGGCAATTAGGAAGATCAACCACACAAACTGAGACACAACCCATACTTCTACAGAAGGCAATAGTGGGGAATTCTCTGCAATGTGAGAAAGCTCGGCAGAGCAATGTCGTGTGGAGGTAGAAGAGGCAACGAAAGCATCGGCTTTCTTTGTGCTAGTAGCTGCAGTAAAACAGAGAATGCAAGCATTATCTGAATGATCAGGCTTAAAGCTGTAGGAGGCTAGTGTAGTCCACTTGCTACTAAAGTTATTTGCAAATTGACACTTTATCTACCACATGATGTGGTATAGTCATCTAATCTTTCTCCAATGAGTTTTAACACCCACACACACGTTCCCCCAACCAAAAAATGGAGCCATTCATTGGCATTTAAGTCTTCCTCTAGTCTTCATTGATTGATTGGTAAACGCATTCCTCAAGTCTTATAAACACTCACTTTTCATTTATGAGCACATGTATATCCTTTTCTGATAAGTGTACCTTTAGAATTTTCTTCGTCATTTAATATGAAAATTACATAAAGAAAGAGCGGAAATTTCATACATTATTTCATTGACCATTATGTCTTCTCTAGAATTTTCTTCGTCATTTAATATGAAAATTACATAAAGAAAAAGTGGAAATTCCATACATTATTTCATTGACTAATCTGTCTTCCTCTAGAATTTTCTTCGTCATTTAAAATGAAAATTACATGAAGAAAGAACGAAAATTCCGTACATTATTTCATTGATTAATTTGTCTTCCTTTTGTTTGTTCCCCTAATACACGATAGGAACTCATACACATCAATAAGTTCAAACATAATAGAAAATTGATAGACCAGTTAAGGAAAGTCAGTGTGCATGTGAAGAAGTGAAAAATATAAAAATTTCAACATGAGAAAGAACTAACTATTAGCATTTGTTTCATTGAATGATGGGGAATTCTAGTAACCTTCTCTCCAACCTTCTATTTTGGACCTCCTCTCTTTTCCTCATTACACATGTCACTTCCCATACACTTAAAATAATGACATTAATACATCAAACAAACCACCTTTTGTTTTCCAAGTTTACCCTTATTAAATGTATTATCCTTCAATTTATCCCTTTTTTTTTACAACTCTCTTACCATATGTAAAAAACTAAAAAATTCTTGTTTTTTATAAAGAAAATGTCTATTTTTTTTTTTTTTTTTTTTTATTTAAAAAACACAGTAATTACCTTAAAAAAATCCACAAAAGATATATCTTTTTTTTATACAGACAAAAGACATCCTTCTAAGAAAGCCTGTTTTAAAAGGAAGTTCATTGATTACATTTTCAAACCATTAATTTGATAAGTCTGATTATTGACTCTTTTTTCTAAACCATTAATTAGGTAAGTCTTATTTGTTGGAGTCTTTCAAAAAAGAAAAAAAAAACAAATGTTTTTTCTTATTTAATTTTGTAACAAGGTGAGAAGAAAGTTGTAACAAATTTGGATAATAAATGTAAGAAAACATTAAATTTAGTACAAAAAATAAGGACAAATTTGGAAACAAATGTTATCTTATTTGATACATTAATTACATTGTAACAATGTAGTGTAAGAAAAGTGACACATGTCATGAGAAAGGTGGCTAGCATTCCCTAAATTAGAAAAAGAGAGGGGATTAGGATACAGCCTATAGGGGGAAAAAGAGATTAGATTTAGAAGAGTAAAAAGTAGAAAACCAATTAGAAATTAAAATAAAGAACTTGGATAATTTAGAAAACATTAAAATTGGTTAAAAAAAAGTTTAAAGTACAAAGCACATTAAAAAATATGGGACATCCATTTAGCAAATCATATATACCATATAAATGTCGCAGTTGAAAAAACAAGCATAACGACATCAAGTAAAAGATGGCATCACCTCTTGTCAATTTGTTAGTACATAAAATGAAGGCTAAAATTAATCAGCAAACCCCCCTCATTTCAACCATTACAACAAAATCTTAAATGAATGAATTGTGTGGCCTTCTCGACAAAATCCACATCCGAAAAGAAATGGCGCATGTGATGCAGGCCTACTTAGCCCAAGCAACTGAATCAATTTCTGCTTGAGCACTTCTGTATAACTCCAGCCTCTTCGCGAGGGCAGAACGCCTCTCCATTATTGCTGGATCCTCGTTCAGTAATGAGGACAACTGCTTTGTCTGTTCAAAATATTTAGAGTAATCCAAAGTCAATATTTGCTCTCCAAAAGATTGATCAATTTTCACCCCTAGAAATTGTAGGTAGAAGATTTTTGTACTAACCTCCAATTTTCCCAAGTCAGTGTAGAAATGGTCAAGAAAGCTTCGTTTTGCCTCTCGGACTTGGCAATAGACAATAGACTTGGGGATGGAGTTACGCAAACTTGCACATACCATATTGACGTAAGCCAGAACCGTTGTCCCTGTTTTTTTAAAGAGAAAAAAACGTAGTGATTGGATAAGGTGCTTTGTCATGAATCATGATTAGCAATTAACCATGTTATTGGTTTAATAGAAGATAAAACAAAGGTTAACCAACATAAAATACATGCAAGGCTAATTTTTAGTTCATGAGACTCACCAATTCGCCTGAGATATGAATCATTGTATCTATCGAAAATTGAATGTGATGGGTTGCCACGCTTCTCAACATCTTGAGGAAGTTCACGGAAGAAATCAACTGTCAGATAACTACACTCCATATCAACTAGCTTTAGTGTTGCCTTCTTACTTTCTTCTCTCATTCTCTCAAGTGAATCACGAGCTGCATTTGTAACCTCTACTCTAAGAGCAGGATACTGCTTTAGCTCCTGTAAGACAACATGGAGCAAAATTTACCCAACCACTTGCAAAAGTATGAACATTTGGCCAAACAAAAAAGAGTACCATTTATCCAACAGATTAAATAAAAAAAGATCTACTAACTTGATTTCCTCTTATAGATATTGAAACCAAATTAATGAAGGCTATCCAGTTGCCGACCTTAGAAAGCATTTTTGCTAGATGCTCAGAACCCGTTCTTGGAGCAAGGTGCTTGTATTCTAGGGTAGTAGAAAAATACTCGCGTTCTCTACACCGGGCAGCAATCATGTCAACATTCTTGTTAATGTCTGCTTGTGAGCGATTCACGACCCAACCCAAGGACATTTTAGCCGATATGACTTCCTTCCAATATCTAAGTAACCCAAAAAGGAATAGAAGCTCAGGGTTGATAATTGCAAAAGCTATGCTGCTTCAATGTGTAAAATAAGGGTATCCAAAATATATGCATTACCACACTCCTAGATAAATAAGTGACAGCCAAAAAGTGGGATTTGCTAATCACTGCGACTTGCAAAGAGAGTATATATACAAGGCAGATCCGGAAGGGGCGCCAGAACTTGATCATTTCTATATGTGTGTATTTCTACCCCTAAATAACTCTATGCCTATAAATGCATCTAGTCATGAATCAGCCTGGATAACTCTATACTAAGCAATTTTTGAAATATTCAGGTATAACTAACTTTAGAGTCCGACATACAAAATGCACATAAATAGGTCTTCCACTGTTTCTTAACTATAAAAAAGTCATAAAGATCTTTTGGGCAATAAAACAGGAAGCTATATTTCTTTAGACTTTCTAGCTTAATAGTTGATTACCAAATCAGTACCCTTGTCCATAAGATCAATCTTCGTTAAGACTCCAAGTGTCCTCTCCCCTGTAAAAAGAATGGCAATATACTGAATCCTTTGCCATCTACAGTTTCCTATGCTAGATACAACAGTCAAGAATTATGCAAAGATACTTGCAATGTGTAGAAAACAGTATGAGAGTCACTTGTTGGATCCACTTCGCGAGAGATTCTAATTGCATCAGATGTAGCAAGATCTTGATTAGCAGGTGACATTAATACTTCTCATAATTTACAACTCTTATGCCATTGCATTCACACAACCAAGCAGCTCCCTACTTGCTCCTATTCTTCCTTAACTAGTAAACTTCTTCACTTCTTTGGTTTATTCTTTTCAAAATCATGGCTGATGAAAACAAGATTGGAGGCTGTTTGACTACTTAAAACCGCGAGTACATGGAAAATAATTGGAACAATTACACCGAAAACTATCTGTATTCGTGAAGCTCAGACTGGAGTTGCAGATCGTCTCTCCACCATTGCTGAATTCCATGGGCTTCTTTGAAACCCCGTGACGGGGTCAAATTAACTGTCAGGTTTGCAGAAGGAATGAGGTGCAATATTGGAGGCTCCGGCGCTGGCTGCTTTTCCGTTGCACGCATTAGTAGATCCACAATAGAATGCTGGGTTGCTATCCTCTCAATGGCTTCTGCTCCAATGTCCTGCATCGTATGCCTATGTTCAAAATACCCAATATATTCGGAGCAGATGTCATCAGCTGGATTGACAAATAGACTAGGGAACCATGCAGACAGAGTAGTGAAAGGGTTTTCTTCTGAATGACTTCTCTGTTGTGGTTGTTGTTTAGCCTTCATAGCAAGAGTGAGGCCTGCTGTAATCACACTGCCTGCGATCCGAAGCCTGTGTTTCACTCTCTTGTCCTTAATCCTCTCTATCGGGGCAGACACAAATGGTGGATTGAAGAGAAAAGATTTGAGGAAAATGCCATTGCTAGCCATAGTTTTTCCAGCAAGCATTGCCATGGCTGACCCTAAGGAATGGCCAGCTAACCAAACATTTGAATCACCTACTGCAGCAACCATATTCCGGACAGCTTGCATAGCAATCTCAAAGCGAGATGTCCGGTGAAGTCCATTTCGGACCACCTCAACATCCAACTCAAGATCTCTTAAGATTGTGCTTTTCTTCAACAAGGTGCCTCGGAAGGCAAGTACAAAACGAGGTATTCCCTCTAATGGGAAGTTGAATTCATAAATGGCACCAAAGATTGAGGAACCATCATCATCCACAAGCTTGCGGAGCAACTTAAAATGGAAGAACTCCCACCAAGGAGGAGCAAGGGCTTGGGGCCCTTCACGTTCCTCTTGGCGGTCCCGCTCAACAACATAGACACCCTGAACCAAACATGCAGCAACAGACCTCTGATGTTGAGTATTCTGCCTGCATACAGTGGCACACATTTTAAATCCCATATCATCTTGCTAATTCCAAGAAAAGCAATTTATTCATATCCACAATGTTTTGCCTGAGAAGAATGATTCAAGCACTAAATTCCTTCAAATTGTGTCGATAAAAACCTTCGGTGAAATTAGAAGAACAGAATCAGCCGATTAGCATTACTGTCAATCACAAAACTTCCTCCGTACCATTTTGGTAAAGAAAAAAACACTTGATTCCAAACCTAAAAATACTATTCATTCATCTTGTGAAAAAAAAACTGTGTGGGGGGTGGAGAGGCAGAGTTTGAGGTCTCACCAATCAATGGAAGTTAGGTGTGATGGCCCTGAATGGTAGAAACTTTGCTTCTCGTACCCCATTTGCACCACGTGTTACTCTTTCTATTTCCACTATCCTCAGAAGCTGTTCTGCATTGCACAAGTCCAGAAAGTGGAAATATATTATGTACTTAATAAATAAATAAAATGGAAGGCAAACATACACTTATGAGAAACTACACGCATGTGCCAATTGGTTTTATTTTTATTTTTAATTTTTTTAAATTATATAATATGGGTAGTTATGTTTCATAAAAATAGGACCTATTATCTGATTTTATTTTAATATTTAATTTTTTAATATGGAAAAAATATGAATTTACCATATTATCCTCATTTAATTAATAATTTCAATTCTTAAAGTTTGAATTAACCGAGGGCATTTTATGGTATTTTGAATGTTTCACCATTCACTATCTTTTGCTTTATATATATAGATACAGAGGACCAAAGAATATGAACCAAATTCATGGTTTGCCTTATTTTTCATTATAAGAAACTTTTTATATAAAAAAGGCTTAAGTGCTACAGTACCCCTTGAAACATTGGTCAATTCTCACTTTACCCCCTCAAAGTTAAAGTGACCCACTTTACCCTATTGACCGATGTTTTGTGCCTCATTTTGCCCCTCACCGTTAAGTCTGTTAAAAATTTTGTTAAAAAAGCTTATGTGGCACCAATGGGACCCACTATTTGGCTAAACTAAGTGCCATGTGTGAAAAAAAAATATTAAAAATTAAAAATTGTCTTTTAAAATTCTTAATTTAACTATTAAGAATAAAAATAATTCTTTAAAACAAAAAAAATTCCCAATTCCCCTTCCCCAACCCCATTATCCCTTCACAGTCGCCATCACCACAATTATCACAACTGCTGCTCTCTCTTCCTTTCTCACAGACCCAAGTTCCACCCTTGAAATTTTGTGTTGAATTCGTTACCTCACCAACTTCAACATTTGATACATCTCTGCCTCAATCCAACATCTTCCACTTTTAGCAAGACAAAACAAAGATTCAATTAGACTTTCTATGCATGCCAAGGCCCTAATCTGTTACACCAATTTTAGAAACATGGGCTGTATAAAACTCAGACCACCCTCACTTCCAGCCGCAACCCAAGCCCCACTCCCACCCCTAGCCCTTAAATCCAGCACCCTCTACACAGTCGTCGACAACCCAGATGAGCCCTAGCCTCTTTTTCTATCAAACCTCCAACAGCTACAACCCACCATCTCCATCTCGCTGAATTCAGAAGCCATCAAATTTGGTTGCAGACCTTCGAGCACAAAACATCAAAAACAATGAATTTTTTTTTTCTTTTAATTTGTTGGTTTTTGAATTTGCAGAGAGAGGGGTGGTTGGGTTCGGTTGGGGGTGGGTGTGGGGCCTGGGTTGCCACTGATGCTGGGGGTAGTCTAGGTTGTTAGGGAGAAGAATATATAGAAGGGAGAGGGAGATCACAAAGAAAGGAAAGGGAGAGAGAGAGAGAGAGAGAGAGAGGGAAAATGAGGGAGAAGAAATATGGGAAGGGTGGCTTGGGGATGAAGATGATGGGTTTTTTATTTTTTTGTTTTTTTTAATTTCTTATATTTAAATATTCATATACACCTAATTTATTAAGAGAAGGAATATTGGTGGGGGATGAGTGAGGTCAAAGCCTTAAATCCATAATTTTTAAAAGACAATTTTTAATTGTTTTTTTTCACACATGGCATTTAGTTTAGCCAAATAGTGGGTCCCATTGGTGCCACATCAGCTTTTTTAGCAGAATTTTTAACAGACTTGACGGTGGGGGGCAAAGTGAGACACAAAACATTGGTCAATGGGGTAAAGTGGGTCACTTTAACTTTGAGGGGGTAAAGTGAGAATTGACCAATGTTTCTAGGGGCACTGTAGCACTTTAGCCTATAAAAATGTACCTAAAAGAAATAAAAGGTGGTGATGACAGAGCCTACTTGCAGGGGTGGCCCTGAGGGTGTGCAAGTGGTGCCACCGCATAGGGCCCCTGATTTTTGAAGACCCCCGATTTTTTTTTTTATGTGTATAATATATGTATATATTAACAAATGTTATGTATATATGCCGAGTGAGCAAATTTTTGACACAACGGCGTTTCTAGTTGTGTTGGTTTGCAGGGCCTCAACTTCTATTTAGGGCACGACTTCAAAACCCTCTTGTGTATATCATAGTTTTAGTTCTTTTTTGGGGTTTTTTTTAACAACAATTAATAATCATAATAAAAAATATAAAAAAAAGGCAAACACGTTATTTTCTGTAAGTAATAATCATCTTTCTTTAGCTCTCTTTTTTAATCATTTGATAATTTATTTTTTTTCAATTTCAAGGATTTCAACACAAAAAATTGACCAAAAAAATTCATAAATGTCACTCAAAAGCAAATAGTCATATTTAAATCTGATTTCAAATCAAGTATGTATCTAAATTTTAATTTATATATACTAAATGACTTACTTCATTATCATGTTGATTGGTTATATAATGAAAGATGATTTAATTTGTAATTTGTATGCTAATTGATGATGATTTTTACTTTAAAAAAATCTTGAGCCAATCTTGAGGATTTTTGCATAGTGCACCCGAGTTCGATTCACGTAAAAGAAAATCTTCAGGCAACCCAATATAATACTCCCTCATTTCCCTTCCTATTGAATGACAAAAATAAAATAAAAAAGATCAAATTGCAAAAAGTAGTATAAAAATTATAGTTGAAAATTTAAATGACCAGTAAAATTTCTTTAAAGAACAGAGTCATATGCAAATGCAACCTAGCTAGCAGCAAAACCACCATAATGACAATAAGGGTCAAATTAAAATTTTGGTTTGTTTTTTTGAAATTGATTGTTTTCGTTGAAAGATAAAACTGCTCTGCTATCTGTCAATCACATACTGTTGCAATCACTGTTTAAAGCAGCTTGTCTAATGTCAACACCAGCATTTAATATCCCAACTACTTTCACAACCACATATTGAAATAATAAATACCTGATCACAAGGAATTAGTCAGTAATTATGTAGGCAAAGGTCATGCTCCTTATTCTTTAATTAAAATTTAGCTAAAAACATACAAAAGTTATTTTAGGAACTCTATAAAATCTGAACTCCAATCATACTCCCTAAGTTAGAAAGTCATAAATACTATATAGTTCTTTTTTATTCAATATGATTGGTTATCATCTCTATGAAAAAAAAATAGTTCGTATTAATTAAAAGTTTAAACGATGCATAAAACGAAACAACATTAAATTATAAGGAGTCACTAAGAGTCCTTTATCTCTCCTCATATTTAGGAGTTCTTAGAGGTCTGTTTATTTAAGAAGGTGAATAGGGAGCATAGTTGGAGTTGTATTTTTCCAATTCCTCCTTAAATTTGTTTAAGGATGTGGTTTAGGAACCCCATTGTGGATGCTTTAAGTGCGAGTAATTATATTGTATGTAGTATGAGAGTATGTCACATGGTATAACTCATTTGTTAGAATATATAAGTAGATATTTATTGATATTATATCATAAAAGTGGGAAATATTAACCATATCGCCCATCCATATCATAACACGTAGACACAGTAAAACGTACATACATGTGGATTTTTGGCAAGTCATTAGACAGAAACAAGTTTAAACGCTTAAATCAATCTCAACCACATGATTTCATTGAAATAGATCCAACGACTAGCACCTCATTCCTCAAATGATGACACTGAATCTCTCAATTGCATGCATGCCACTATATATATATATATATATATATATTCTTCAACAAGAATATTCTAATTGCCCCAATAATATCTATGTTCTTATGTGCAAACATTGCTTGTCACGTGCGTAAGTCCCAACCATTGACTTGACGCTAGCTCTTCAATTACTCATTTAGATTTTTTTTTCAAGTGCCCATAGAGATAAGACTTCCATATTTAGGGCTCATGTAACATCCTACATTGACCAATGGAAAGGGGGTGATGTGCCTTATATGTGCATGCCTACCTCCATCTAGCACAAGGCTATTTTGAGAGCTCACTGGCTTCGGAGTCAGGGGAACTCCGAAGTTAAGCGAGTTTGGGCTAGAGCAATTCCAAGATGGGTGACCCACTGGGAAGTTACTCGTGAGTTCCCAGAAATAAAACCATGAGGGTAAGGGAGGGCCCAAAGCAAACAATATCGTGCAACGGCAGAGCCGATCCGTGGTGACAGCTCACCTCGATTAAAAATGTGGTTAGTAAAGTGGTACACAATTGTTTTTATATGTGCTCAGATATTCAATTTTGCAAAAATAATCCATCCAACTAACTCAACCAAAAAAATTGCATCCAATTAATGATGTTCTTGGAATTTTTATACAAAATAAATCAGGTGTTAAAAAATATTTAATATATAAATATGATCTATGATGATAAAGACTAATCGTCGCAATCATGGTCGCCTTGATTAAAAATGTGGTTAGTAAAGTGGTACACGATTGTTTTTATATATGCTCAGATATTCAATTTTGCAAAAATAATGCATCCAACTAACTCAACCAAAAAAATTGCATCCAATTAATGATTATTTTGGAATATTGATACAAAATAAATTAGGTGTTAAAAAATATTTAATATTTAAATATGATCTATGATGACAAAGACTCATTGTCACAATCACAGTGATTATTCAAAAGGTGTAACATTTAATCAATTTAATCAAATTTAGGAGGAGACCCTTTTCTCCGTTTTTGTCTGGGTTATGGTCTCCTCGTACATTTAAATTCTCTCTCTTTATTTTCACCCATAAAAAGGAAAGATTAGCAAAAACTAGGAACTTTTTCATTTTTGTCAAGAAAAAAAAAATCTTTGCACCTAAAAACTTGTCATGGCATGGGTGAGCAAAATGGTGTAGAAATGTATTATCGTGTTATGTTATTGTTTTAATTAACGGAAAAGAGAGAGACAGCAGCAGCCCTTCAACCTCCCATCCCATGTGTAATTAGTAAAAGTAATATTGGGGTGAAAATAACGTCACTTTTCTCTAGTAGTGAAAATTCGGGAAATGCTAGTAACCTTCTCTCAAATCTTTTTTTTGGACATTCCCTCTTTTCCTCATGACATGTGTCACTTCCCATATACTTAAAATCATGACATTAATACATCAAACAAACCACCTTTTGTTTTCCAAGATTACCCTTATTAAGTGTACTGTCCTTCAATTTATCCAATTTTTCTTACAACTCTCTTATCATATGTAAAAAATTAAAAAATTAAAAAATTAGTTTTTTTAAAAGAAAATGTCTATTTTTTTTAGAGGAAAAACTTCTTCTTTTTTGTTATAAAAAAAACACAATAAGGACCTTAAAAAAATCCACAAAAGATATATCCTTTTTTTTAATACAGACAAAAGAAGTCCTTCTAAGGAAGTCTGTTTTAAAAGGAAGTTCATTGATTGCATTTTCAAACCATTAATTCGGTAAGTCTGATTATTGAATTTATTTTTTTAAAACCATTAATTAGGTAAGTCTTATTTGTTGGAGTTTTTCAAAAAAGAGAAAGAAAAAAAACTAATGTTTTTTCTTATTTAATTTTTTAACAAGGTGATAAGAAAGTTGTAACAAATTTGGATAATAAATTTAAGGAAACATTAAAATCAATATTTTAAAAAAATGGTAAATTTGAAAACAAATGTTACCTTATTTGATGCATTAATTACATTGTTTTTAGTGTAAGGAAGAGAGTAATGCTAGGCTTACCACATTTTTCATACCACAATTGTACCACCTCTCTAATAGAGGTGGAGCCCACCAATACAATGGGACCCACCTCTATTAGAGAGGTGGTACAATTGTGGTATGAAAAATGTGGTAAGCCTAGCATTTTTGGTAAGGAAAGTGACACATGTCATGAGAAAATGGAGAATGTTCAAAAGAGAAGGTTGGAGAAAAAGGTGCTAGCATCACCCTATTTTCTCCCCCTCCGTGAATGGGAGTCTTGTGGGATTTACATGAGGTGGTAGGGATGGCTATATTATTAATCAATTACACTACGTCACATCAACTGATCACATTGTTAGGAACCTTCATCATTGTTGAGCTGGCATAGTCAGTTTGTTAATTAATTAGTTAAGAAATTAGTTTCTAACCGAATTGGTTAATAAGGGCTTACAACTATATTAGACAATTATTGTATCAAGAATGAGTTGTTGAGAATATTGTACTGTTTCGATAATTCAATAAATAATACTTGTTACTCTGTGTAATTCTAGGGTTAAGGTTGAAAGGGGTTTAACACACATAATCATATTTGACAACTGTTAAAAGTCTTATATAGTTATGCTAGTAACTTTCTCTCCGAGGAGGGGCATTGTGTCTAATTAGGTACTTGGTAAGGCAAAGCTAACTAAGGCAATTAGGAAGATCAACCACACAAATTGAGACACAGCCTATACTCCTACCGAAGGCAGTAGTGGGGAATTTTCTGCAATGTGAGAAAGCCCAGCAAAGCAATGCCATGTGGAGGTAGAAGAGGCAACGAAAGCATTGGCTTTCTTTGTGCTAGCAGCCGCAGTAAAATAGAGGATGCAAGCATTATCTGAATGATCAGGTTTAAAGCTGTAGGTGGCTAGTGTAGTCCACTTGCTACTAAAGTTATTTGCAAATTGGCACTTTATCTACCACATGATGTGGTATAGTCATATAATCTTTCTCCAATGAGTTTTAACACCCACACACACGTTCTCCCAACCAAAAAAAGGAACCATTCATTGGCATTTAAGTCTTCCTCTAGTCTTCATTGATTGATTGGTAAGCGCGTTCCTCAAGTCTTATAAACACTCACTTTTCATTTATGAGCACATGTATATCCTTTTATGATAAGTGTACCTTTAGAATTTTCTTCGTCATTTAATATGAAAATTACACAAAGAAAGAGCGGAAATTTCATACATTATTTCATTAACTATTATGTCTTCTCTAGAATTTTCTTCGTCATTTAATATAAAAATTACATAAAGAGAGAGCTGAAATTTCATACATTATTTCATTGACTAATTTGTCTTCCTCTATAATTTTTTTTGTCATTTAAAATGAAAACTACATGAAGAAAGAACGGAAATTCCGTACATTATTTCATTGATTAATTTGTCTTCCTTTTGTTTGTTCCCCTAATACACGATAGGAACTCATACACATCAATAAGTTCAGACATAATAGAAAATTGACAGACCAGTTAAGGAAAGGCAGTGTGCATGTGAAGAAGTGAAAAATGTAAAAATTTCTACATGAGAAAGAACTAACTGTTAGCATTTGTTTTATTGAATGATAGGGAATGCTAGTAACCTTCTCTCCAACCTTCTATTTTGGACTTTCTCTCTTTTCCTCATGACACGTGTCACTTCCCATACACTTAAAATAATGACATTAATACATCAAACAAACCACTTTTTGTTTTCCAAGTTTACCCTTATTAAATGTATTATCCTTCAATTTATCCCTTTTTTTTTTACAACTCGCTTACCATATGCAAAAAATTAAAAAATTCTGTTTTTTTTATAAAGAAAATGTCTATTTTTTTTAGAGGAAAAACATTTTTCTTTTTTGTTTAAAAAAATACAATAATGACCTTAAAAAAAAAATCCACAAAAGATATATCCTTTTTTTATACAGACAGAAAACATCCTTCTAAGAAAGTCTGTTTTAAAAGGAAGTTCATTGATTACATTTTCAAACCATTAATTCGGTAAGTCTGATTATTGACTTTTTTTTTTTTCTAAACCATTAATTAGGTAAGTCTTATTTGTTTGAGTCTTTCAAAAAAGAAGAAAAAAACAAATGTTTTTTCTTATTTAATTTTGTAACAAGGTGATAAAAAAGTTGTAACAAATTTGGTTAATAAATGTAAGGAAACATTAAAATCAATACAAAAAATAAGGACAAATTTGGAAACAAATGTTATCTTATTTGATACATTAATTACATTGTTTTTAGTGTAAGAAAAGTGATATGTCATGAGAAAGGCGGCTAGCATTCCCCAAATTGGAAAAAGAGAGGGGATTAGGATGCCTATAGGGGGAAAAAGAGATTAGATTTAGAAGAAGAGTAAAAAGTAGAAAACCAATTAGAAATTAAAATAAAGAAGCTGGATAATTTAGAAAACATTAAAACTGGTTAGAAATAGTTTGAAGTACAAAGCACATTAAAAAATATGAGACATCCATTTAGCAAATCATATATACTATATAAATGTCACGGTTGAAACAAGCATAACGACATCAAGTAAAAGATGGCATCACCTCTTGTCAATTTGTTAGTACATAAAATGAAGGCTAAAATGAAACAAGAGGGCTCCCAACCCCCCCTCTCGTTTCCCCCATTACAACAAAATCTTAAATGAATGAATTGTGTGGCCTTCTCGACAAAATCCACGTCCGAAAAGAAATGGCGCATGTGATGCATGCCTACTTAGCCCAAGCAACTGAATCAATTTCTGCTTGAGCACTTCTGTATAACTCCAGCCTCTTCGCGAGGGCAGAACGCCTCTCCATTATTGCTGGATCCTCGTTCAGTAATGAGGACAACTGCTTTGTCTGTTCAAAATATTTAGAGTAATCCAAAGTCAATATTTGCTCTCCAAAAGATTGATCAATTTTCACCCCTAGAAATTATAGGTAGAAGATTTTTGTACTAACCTCCAATTTTCCCAAGTCGGTGTAGAAATGGTCAAGAAAGCTTCGTTTTGCCTCTCGGACTTGGCAATAGACAATAGACTTGGGGATGGAGTTACGCAAACTTGCACATACCATATTGACGTAAGCCAGAACTGTTGTCCCTGTTTTTTTAAAGAGCAAAAAACGTAGTGATTGGATAAGGTGCTTTGTCATGATTAGCAATTAACCATGTTATTGGTTTAATAGAAGATAAAACAAAGGTTAACCAACATAAAATACATGCAAGGCTAATTTTTAGTTCATGAGACTCACCAATTCGCCTGAGATATGAATCATTGTATCTATCGAAAATGGAATGTGATGGGTTGCCACCCTTCTCAACATCTTGAGGAAGTTTACGGAAGAAATCAACTGTCAGATAACTACACTCCATATCAACTAGCTTTAGTGTTGCCTTCTTACTTTCTTCTCTCATTCTCTCAAGTGAATCACTAGCTGCATTTGTAACCTCTACTCTAAGAGCAGGATACTGCTTTAGCTCCTGTAAGACAACAAGGGAAACATTTACCCAACCACTTGCAAAAATATGAACCCAGAAGCAACGTTTATATTTGGCAAAACAAAAAACAGTACCATTTATCCAAGATCTTAAGAATCTATGAACCCAAGAGGAATAAGAATAACCAAAAAGGAGGAAAATAACACACGAAAAAAAATATATATTTACCACTGTATTACGAGAACTACCAAAACTAAACACCAAAAGAACAACAAAAGAAAAAAAAAATCAATGGAAACAAAAAATTAAACATGGTTGTGAACATACTGGAGTCTCATTGACAGACTTGTGAACCAGATCCTTCAAAATGGCATGAACCTGGAATCGTGAAAAATTGAAAAATAACTCATCATCGTACAAGCAGCGTAATAAAGTAAATACTTGAAATTCACACTGAAGGAAAAGTAATATTTTTTTCATACCGCATCAACAGCTGCCTCAGCAGGACCTCTAATAGTAATTACAGAAGATTCAATGAGACGACGGTATCCTTGTTCAGGAGCTATTAGATGAGGTTGATATCCATCAGCTTCAGTAATGAGCTTCCTTATATTTTCCATTGAAAGTTGCTTGTCAAATTGCAATCTTTTCAGAGCAGCAGGAAGCTGGTTATCAAAAACATTGTAAATCTTATCACCGCCCGGGCGCCTGTGGAAAACAAAGAACATATTAATTTCAGACCATTCTATCAAATGGATTAACCGAGAAAATGAATACTGAGCCAAGCTGCACATAGGCACTGCCCAGTATGAGAACTACAAGTGATAGAGACATACACGCCATCAAGATGTTCTTTATATGTTCCATCGAATAGACGACATATCTCCATGATTGTATACAGTTTTCCCTGCATGTCCAAAGCAATCAATCAGTACTCTTGTAAAAGTTAAAAACTGAGGTGAATTTCATAGTCGCTTAATTTGAATTTAAAAGCAAGAAACTTTAAAATGATACTACAAGAAACAAAGCAAACTTACTCCAGCGTCAGCAGAAATGGGCTTTCCAAGGCGACTCAGTTCAGCTTCAAGCTCAGCAACGGTCTTGCTAATGAGGGACTGGATCCCCGGGATTTTCGACTTAATTACTGTTTCCAAATGCTGGAACAGTAACCATTGTAATAATTTAGTGAAAACGACCAATATTAACCCAACAGATTAAATACAAAAAAACTACTAACTTGATTTCCTCTTATAGATATTGAAACCAAATTAATGAAGGCTATCCAGTTGCCTACCTTAGAAAGCATTTTTGCTAGATGCTCAGAACCCATTCTTGGAGCAAGGTGCCTGTATTCTGGAGTAGTAGTAAAATACTCGCGTTCTCTACGCCGGGCAGCAATCATGTCAACATTCTTGTTAATGTCCGCTTGTGAGCGATTCACAACCCCAACCCAAGGAAATTTTAGCCGATATGACTTTCCTTCCAATATCTAAGTAACCCAAAAAGGAAAAGAAGCTCAGAATTGATAATTGCAACACTATGCTGCTTCAATGTGTAAAATAAGGGTATCCAAAATATATGCATTACCACACTCCTAGATAAATAAGTGACAGCCAAAAAGTGGGATTTGCTAATCATTGCGACTGGCAAAGAGAGTTATATACAAGGCAGATCTGGAATGGACGCCAGAACCTGATCATATCTGTATGTGTGTATGAACTATGTATCTACCCCCTCAAAAATAAAGTCTGAAGATCAAGAACGTGGGAGACAAGTTGAAGGGGTGGATATATATATATATATATAAAACTAAATAACTCTTTGCCAATAAATGCATCTAGTCATGAATCAGCCTGGATACCTCTATACTAAGCAATTTTTGAAATATTCAGGTATCGAAAAGTCAGAAAGATCTTTTGGGCAATAAAACATGAAGCTATATTTCTTTAGACTTTCTAGCTTAATAGTTGATTACCAAATCATTCAGTTTTAAAACAAGATACTAGGCAAACTTACTTCAACTGCATCAGTACCCTTGTCCATAAGATCAATCTTCGTCAAGACCCCAAGTGTCCTCTCCCCTGTAAAAAGAATGGCAATATACTGAATCCTTTACCATCTACAGTTTCCTATGCTAGATACAACAGTCAAGAATTATGCAAAGATACTTGCAATGTGTAGAAAACAGTATTAGAGTCACCTGTTGGATCCACTTCACGAGAGATTCTAATTGCATCAGATGTAGCAAGATCTTGATTAGCAGGTGAAATTGCTAGAATTATACAGTTGGGCTGCATAAAATGTTGAAGACACAAAATGATTCAGCGTAGATAACATTGAAAAAGAATACAAGATTGCAGTGGATATTACCTTCTCAATGTAGGAGCGAACCATATTTTCAATGTCCTGCACAATAGTATCCGATTGACCCTCTACATGCCAAAGAAAAGTTGTTAGTGTAGTCTTATATATACAGATAGTAGTTCTGTCTTCTTTTGCAAAGAAAAAAAGGGAAATGAAATGAGAATTGTTTAAAAATGTCAAAGGTTAAGTCTTAGGTTCCTATCCGACCAAAAAAAAAGTCTTTAATTTCCTAGGGGAACATGATCAAGCAGATTTTTTTGTTAAGGCAGGTCCTGAATTTTAAAAGTGAGGGCTTCATGTTCCACCTTTCCTTCTTCCATTTTCCTTGAGACTTTTTCAGACAGATAGAATAGCAAAGAAAAATGCATGTAAAGTGCCTGCCTGCATAACAATTGATAAATCTATGAGATCGATGATACTTACCAACAGCCACTTTTGTAAGCCCGGGAAGATCAATGAGTGTCAAGTTGACAACTGCCAAGAATCAAATAATTATAAATAGGTTAAATCCCTAGATGAGATGATCAAAATGTGCCTACAAAAACCTAAAATTATATGAAAATGTTATCATGCAGATAAATAAGAAAGAAAACTTTGGACGCCGTTCCCTGAGATTAAAACTCTATTAGTTGAGGCCCAATGACTTTAATATTTTAGATGCAGTCCAAGTAGAAATGACCTTCCAATTTATGTGTTGGAGATTGTTTTGAAAAGAAATGTGAAACGAATTGCAAAACTTTTGTGGACTATGTTTTCAGGGGGGCAAAGACCAGTATTACAAAGGAAATTTAACCCAAGATTGTCTTGTCACATTCAAACTATTAACTAAACAGTCTATGAAACTTAATTTGAGTCTACCCACATTGTTCCATGTTGCTGCAAGATAGGTCGGATACCAAGTTCACATTCCAATTCCAAAATCATAGTGTTCTTTAGTTTAAGTTAAGCAAACAAGTAAAAGAAAAAAGATCCATTAGCTTACCATTAGGAGAATATATGCTAAGATGAATTGGAACACTAGAAATTTGTTTGCTGCGGCCAGTTTCTCGATCTGTCTCGTCTGAAATCTCCTTTCTCACAGCAGCTGTACAAATGGTAATCATATAAAATGAAATAAACATGCAAGTAGCTATCTCTCTCTCTCTCTCCCTCTCTTACAAGATATATCGACTCACTGGATTTTCTTCTTTGTGATGTTATTTTCAAATACTAATATGGGGAAAATCATCTAAGAGGCGAACTCCTTATTGAAAATTTACAAACTTTGATACAAATAAAAATTAAATAGCATTGTTATATAGCAACAGAAATCCCGACAACCAAATTACAATGAAGATAAAAAAACCTACCAAAATCGGTGAACCGCTTCCTAGGAAGATGGAGGAACTCTGCATATTCTCTGCTGCCTTCTTCAATCTTATGAAGTTGTAAAACAAGTGGACGCCTAGTAACAATTCCTGCAATTATTTCCCCGTGCATTATTAAACAAACATCCAAGAACAATAATCAACAATAACAATTACAGAGAGTTAATGACATAAAAAGAACTAAGCAACTATCACTAGCCAACGGACCAAACTGCCACAAATAACTAAAATTTCTTGGGCTTCGATAGTCTTACCAGAACCACGTGGTAAGAAGTCCTTCCCAACAATGCTCTCCAAGACAGAAGACTTCCCCGAACTCTGCACGACAGAACAAAAATATAAGCAAACATTCTATATAAGCATCACAACATATTCAGTACTTCAACCAATTCTTCTAAAATTTTCTATCATATTCAACAAGTCTTGTTTCTTTTTTCTTCCCAATTAGCAAACATGTTCCACTTAGCGTAGACAATTCCTAGCAGTTCAACCGAAACGCATAAAAGCAATTCCATATTTGTTTTTAAGCACCACGAGTATAAACTAGTTCGAAGCATTAAGCTTTGGTCAACCTCGGGGGCTAAGTTACAGAGCAGATAAAAAGAAAACACAAATCAAAGTTCATATACTCGGATCGATGAGAGAGATAAGAGAAGGTGAGGGATCGGAAGCAGACCTGGCCACCGACGACGGCGATGGCGGGAAGGGAGTCCCAGAGCGTCGGTAATGCGCTAGCTTCTCCGTGGTCACCTAGAGCTGTACAAGCTCTTTGGATTTTGTTCACCAATGAGATCAGGTTCTCCATTGCTGGCTTCGGAGATTGATAGCAACAGCAACTACGGCGTCAGACTCAGATCCAGGAGATCTGAGGCGAGCTCGAAACGTTGACGTTTCGGAGACCTAGATCTGTGAAGAAATGAAGACGAGTCGACGGGCCGGCGAAGAGAGAGAGAGAGAAAGAGAGAGGAAAGTGGGAAGTTGAGAGCTTTCGAAATTTCAAAGTGTTGTTGCTCTTGTTTGAAAGCAAAGTGATTATATGAGAGCGTCCAGCAAATGCGACGACGGTGAGGGGCGGTTTAGCGTGTGGGTTTTGGAAAAAAACGACTTGCGTTGAAGGCCGATGGAATTGAATTCGCCTGGACTCGCTAGATCTACGTTGCCGTGTCACTCTCCAAATATCTGTGCCTAATTTCTTTTCTTATTTATAGGTATTTTTGTTTGTCCACGAAAAACAAAAGTGTTTTTTTTTAAATAATTTTTTTAGATTGTTCAAAGGTTAGCCCCATAGCTTACATCGAAAATTTTAATCAGCTGGCTGGAAGTGAAATTGCTACAGGCAACTACATTTTTTCTTTTTGCTTTTTCTTTGCGTTTAATTTTTTTATATTACAAATTCTCTATTTGAATAGAACAACTTAAAAAACTTTGTACCAAATGTTTCCACATTGCTAAGTCATGATTAGATCCAACCCTCCATTTGGATTTTTAATTTTTCTTTTTCAGGTGTCTTTAAAGTTTTATATGATCTTTGGAGTTTAAGAATCCAACGTGAATTCTCGTTCTTTTTACTTCAAAATAAAATTTCTCAATTTCTATGTGGAATTGTGACACATATGGTAAAAACTTTATGGATATGTTATTTGACTAAATTAATGAGTTCCCACAGGAGGATTGAGTAGCATTTTTAAAGCTTGGAGTTTCTAAATTAGCTCTCAAGTTTTAGAGTCTAAACGCAGAATGTCTTTCGATTAATGAACGGTTAATATAAATAATTCTCTCGTAAATTGATCATAATTTTCCAAGTTACCAACCACTAAAGTCTAAAGTAAAGATAGGGTTTCAATTGAAGTGCGCCAAAACAAGATTTGGAGTTTGAATCTGAGCTGTTGGCTGTTGGACCGTTGGGACACCATGATTTTGTACAGACAATTATTAGCCTAAGATTCTCTATCTCCTACATCTTCATTATAATAAGGGTAAATGAATGAAGATTCTAGTTTCAAATTCCAATTCATGCACTGGGGTTGTTTTAACTTATTAGACAGCAGCTATCTCTATGTAAATTTGAATTCTTGATTTGCTTTGCTTTGTTGGACAATAAAGAAGGAAAGGTCCACCATTTTTGTTGAAGTCCAACCCAACGGCACCAAGTGATGTCACAGTCGGGCAAATCGTTGGGGCTACACAGCTTGCAAGTTTCGAAAATGAAAGATAAAACCCCGGAAAAAATGGCTCCCGTTGAAAAGCTAATAAATTAACTCCACCGATATAATGAGGTGGTTATACTAAGGGGGTCTGTTGATGGGTTCAATCCGATCGATTGGTCGACAAATCTTAAAGACCCCCTCATTTTATAACTCCTCACTGTAACCTCTCATTACAGAACTTTAGGCCTAAGAACGATTTAGTAGCAACTTTCAGCCAAAAAGAACTTGGTATCTCAAGTTTGCAAATCAAACCCAAACGGGTCTTAACACAGTTTATTCGGACATTCCAAATTCCTATATGCAAATAAAACAGCAAAAGCAATCTGATCTCATGATCTTGTGATTCAAAATACATGTTGGATAGCACAAGTAACAGCAATTGGTTAGAACTGTACTACTAAAACTTTGATTTTAAGTAAAGATGAAAAGATGACATTAATTGGCCAGAATCACAACACCAAAATGACTAACAGCTTAAAATCTGCCAACAAAACTCAGGAGGAAGACCTAATCTCTGCTAGGCCACTAAAAGCTTTACATCGAGGGTGAGAGTTGACCGCTAAACCTAAATATAAAGCATATGAAACTATCAGCTTTTCAGTCTGCATGTCCATAAGCTATACGGTTTTTTTGCTAGTCTAGTTCCACTGTTGATAAACACTAAACTAAAATATAAAGCATATCAAACTATCAGCTTTTCACTTGGTAGATTCTGAGGTATCATAGCCAAATGGATTTTTGCTAGCCCAGTTCCACTGGTCCCGGCACATGTCATCAATGCTATATTGCGCCCTGCAAGGAGATTAGACATGTCAGAAATCAATCTTTATGGCAAACCATGCATAAAATTTGCAACACTCGGCACTCACTTCCAGTTGAGTTCCCTCTCTGCCTTTTCTGTTGATGCATAGACAACTTCTGCATCACCGGGACGCCTCCCAGATGTGACAAGAGGAATTTTCTGAAATAGTAATGAGTAGAGATATAAGCTTAACCAAAAAGACAAATTGTCCAACAAAAACTGAGAAATGTTGACCAGGATGAATATTGTGGAACAAGGTCCTAGATTCTTCCTAGGTGAAGTAGAACAAAAGAACTGAACACAATATTCTCCAACTCTGGAATTCTAGTACTCACAAGTCATTATTAGGTCACACACTTCAACTGACTTTTTTTTGTATGGGGGTGGTGGCAGTTAAGGGCTGGACGGAGTGTGGACGAGGTACATGTTAGGTTTGAAATATTGATAGTAAAGGCAAACGAACAAGCTACTCCTAGATTAGGAAACCTAAACGAACAAACTCATAAGCATCACCCATAATTCTGTCCAAATTTGATTATTCTACTATGCAGGTTAGACGCGCCTCTATCCTAACAAATAAAAATTGCACAGATGTACAGAAAACCCTTCACAGAATGAGACCCCACTATTACAAATAGCACAATGTTGACAGCTGAGAGTTGGGCTGGGGGAACCAATTCAATAACCAAGTGCTGTGTCAAGGACTACTGCCTCACTGAACCACTTATGTTCAGTGAAACAAATCACCAGAGCAATTTTTATTTATAAGCATACAGAAGTTTATAAGAATCAGAAAGATCAAAATGAGGGAAGAACACAGAAATATTTGACAAGAAAATACAGACCTTTCCAGATGCACTTTCAAATGCTGCAACCATCTCCAAGACCGATGTTCCTTTACCTGTTCCTAAATTGTACACCTCGCAACCTACGAATAAATACACAAATGATGTTAACAAATTGAGAATCTCTGTGGAACAAAGGAAAACTAAAATGCAAAAGTTCTATATTAAACCCTGTCCGAACCACAATACATGAGATCTACAACACCAAAACAACACATTTAAGGCAAGAGATATTAAATAATTTGGAGGGTGTGGTATGGGATCAAAAAATCACAGGGGCAAACAAACAGGAACACATCATGTATCAAATAATGTGGGGATATTAGAACCCATACCTATCTTATCCTCATCTAACTTGTGCAAGGCAGCAATGTGCCCATCTGCTAAATCAACTACATGAATATAATCACGAACCTGAAACAGAACAAACAATCAAGATTGAGCCTTCATCAATAGTATAGGACAAAGATAGAAAAGGAAAAACAACTGATGCAACCCGAATGCCCCAAAATTTTCAAGTACAATAACACGTTATTAATCCATACAATAACAAAGGTGAAGTATTGATGTACACAGATAAAAGACACGAAGGAAAATATTAAGTAATCAATTAAGGAGAGCATCATGTGCAGATATGAAAGAATTGGCTTAAAGCAAAAGGCTTAAATGAATGCATACCCCAGTACCATCCTTGGTATTATAGTCAGTTCCAAACACCGTCAGGGCTTGACGCCTGCCAACAGCAACTTGCTGCACAAATGGCATGAGATTGTTTGGGATACCACGGGGATCCTCACCAATATGACCGCTAGGATGTGCACCAACTGGATTGAAGTATCTCAGCAATATGATTTTCCAATCAGAGTCTGAGCGGTAAATATCACGAGCAATTTCTTCAATGAAAAGCTGAAAGAGAGCCTTATTAGACATCATTGAAGATATCAAGGAAGAAAACCCTAAGCAGCAATATAAAAAGGGGACAAACACAATCTACATCATCTGAACTGATAAACTGCATAAATATCAAATCAAAATTATGATAAACTAAAATGGAGTTGCATAAATGACGCTCTTACTGAGAACTTAACCTGACATTTGATGAGCTAATTAGAGGTGATATATGATATACCTTAGTTCGTCCATATGGATTCGCTGCAACAAGTGGGAAATCTTCTGTACATGGGACCACCTTCGGCCAACCATAAACAGTTGCTGACGATGAGAACACAAGCTGAAATCATTCAAAGTCATGTGAAATCCATGTCAAAGAAAGATCAAATAAAATCAAAATCTGCATTTAAAAGAAATCACCAACAAAGTACTATTAATATTAAAAATGGGACTATGTGTCATCATATAGAAATCTCCAGTTATGTGTAATCAATATTCTTATAGAGCTCAGGAACTAAGTGTTTGGCATAGCACGAACCTTTTTGCATCCATGGGCAGCCATTACTTCCAACAAAGTAATCGTCCCGATTAAATTGTTGTTATAATACAGCAATGGTTTCTGCACACTTTCACCAACTGCTTTGAGTCCAGCAAAGTGTATGACAGCATCAAATCTGCAATTTGGAGACATCAACAAGAGGAAGTTATAGTAGGATTACCATAGCTTAGATTGCAAAACAAAGACATGCTCAAGTTTTGGGGAAGCTCCTGGGTTGATCATGCTTACGGTATTGAAGAAAAGAGTTTATCCAGTGCTGGTTTGTCCCGGAGGTCCACCTGCAGTTGAAATTGGAAACATAATTATGAGAATTCATGACCATCCATAAATCTAAGTAACAGTGAACACACTGGTCCTTAAAAAAGTTCAAAACTTTTACTATTTCTCAGCGCTTAAATTCATAAATCTGTAAGTTTATATTATAGTAACTCAACTCTGCGCAAACTTTCTCAGCGGCTACTAAAACACAAAAATCATGGAATTAAATAAATTCCCCAAATTTTCAACTATGAAAAACTCAAACTTAAAAACCCAAGTTTTTAATTCAGTTCTTTTATGTACCCAACAAAGAGAGAAAACAAAAAAGAAATTACAACTGCAATTTTGAAAGTTAGGTATAAACAAGCAGTAATCAGACACATATTCAGTTAAAAAACCAGAGAGTGTCAGTTTCTTCCAAATCAATTACAACTAATTGAAAGCAAGGAGAGGGTGCAAATTGAACACACAATCAACCCAATTGCCAAATTCAACAAAAATAGCCAAACCTTGTGAAAGGAGAGGTTTTTGCCGAATTCACGCGCGAGTTCTCTGACACGGTTGACGGCGACTTCGGAGGAGTTATCAAGGTTATCAACGACGACGGTCTTAAAGCCGCCGAGCAGAAGCTGAAGCACGGTGTGGCTGCCGATATAACCGGCCCCGCCGGTGACCAGTATGGTCTTGGCCATGAACGATTCAGGGCTGTCAACACGACAGCGAAGTAGGCAACGCAGAGGAAGATTCAGAGGAGAGAGAGAAGTTGAGGGTTGTGCAAAAGCGTGAACCTTTTGGTTGGCACCGCAGTAAAAGCATGAAAAGGAGGCCAATATATAGGCACCGATGCCCGTCGCCAGCGAGACTTCAATTAAATTATTAATTTTTTTCCTCCTTTTCCAATTTCTTGAACAGGAAGAAGAACACGCAAAGCAGTTTTCTCAAGTCTCAGTGAGGCAGTAACTGAAATTCGGAATTAAAAATTGGAAAAAAGGGATTTTTGTGTGGACCAGATCTGACACGTGGCGCGATATCGGCAGCTGTGATTTGTGAAGCTTCGAAGACTCACATGTCGACCAACACAGTGATGAGGACTTGGGGAGGAAAGTTACGGAGGGGGCGGCAATGGCGATTGGTGTTTGCCTTTTTTAGGTCAGTATTAAATGTCATTGCCAAATGAGATTAAAGGCTAGAATCTTGTAGATGGTGACGGAATTAAGGAAAAAAAAAAGGGGTTTAAGGTTAATAAATATGATGTGGGCCCCCATATCTCTCATGAAATCGCTGGCGTTTATTTGGCGAGATTGAGATATTATTTATGTGCTAATTTATTCCTAGACAAAGAAACGAAATTGACAGATTTTGACCTTATTTAATGGTTGATAATATGAAATTAAAATGATTCATGAATGGCATTTTATTATGCCATCGGTTTTATTGTGAGTCAATATCAAAACCTTTCCTTTGGTTAGTTTAGTGCTTGTTTTAAGACGAATGATAAACATTTTTTTTATATAAATGTGTTACGAACTTATAATGTCTTTTCATATGAATGAAAGTACTACGAGATCAAGAGTTAGTTAACACAACTAATAATGATCGATTCATTTTTATTTTTTAAGGGATCTGAGCTTTAGAGGCTAAATTTTTTGCAACCCATCCTCTAATTTGTTTAATCATGTCAAGGAAGAATTCATAATAGCTCACAAGTTGATATTTGATTGATTGATTATGTCATTAGCGGAAGCTTTACATAGTAAAAAGCGGTGTAGTCCGAGGACAAGATTTCATTATCCATATATGCGGACAATTTTGCTAAACCCATATATGTGAAAAATTGCGTTTGATTAATTTTCTATCAGCTTTAAACCTACAACCATCTCATTCTATCATATAAAATGAGAGGATCTAAAAGGAAGTATATCAAGAATATATTCACCTTCATTTTTTTGGGATAGGATTGAAGAATATATTCTAGATATTAGAAAGATATCTCAAACTCTTCAATCATAAAGTTTTGATTCACCTTTCAAGAGCCAATGAGTGCGATCTCTCTCTCTCTCTCTCTCTCTCTCTCTCTCTCTCTCTCTCTCTCTGTGTTAATCAAACACTAAAAATCATAATTATGTAATTATGTAATAATCCAAGCTCTCATTCTAACATTTGCCAAAACAAAAGAATGCTCTCATTCTAAAAAGGCCAAAATCACAATGCAATCAAAGCTCCACCATCTAATAAAAAAATAAAAAATAAAAAAAAAGTGGGCCTTTATCCATTGAAGTTTTGGCATTACTTATTTGAGTGGATACGTGTTTGTTTTTGTGAAGTTGTTGTGATGACAAGGAACTGCATGGCTTTTTGTGGAAGTGCATAACGCGTAATTGCAAATAAATTCAAAACCTGCTGCTTTTCGTGAATGTTCAGGAAGCGGATAAAACACGGAGCCACCGGCCCATTTAAAAGGCATAATTTAAGGTTCTGTACTTTTTTCACCCAGGAAGGCAAAAAGTCTACGGAAACTAAGGTGACGTGCATGCATGGGGTTGAAAAAGGAAAAATAAAAAATAAAATAAAAAAGGTTTTTTTTTAACTTTAAATTATTCTTGCAATTGAAGTTAGGTCGTTTGGTCACTAACTTCATCAGAATTCAAAGTCCTAAACGTATTTTTAATATAGATGATCATCATCAATGTTCATGTGGAAATTATTATTAGCACATTCTCCAGAAACATTCTTTTTATTTTTTATGTTTTCTATGTTTATTTTAGTTTTTTTTAATTCAACCCAATGAGAAACCTCACACATGCAAAATTTAGGTGACCTTCCATTATAATTTTTGGACTTTTCTATGGTTGGGTTGCAAACCTCTTTTTTCCTTTGTTCATGCCGTATTGGGTGCATGTATAAATTTCTTACATCTACTACTACTAGGTTCGGTTTGGTTCATTTTCCGTGTTTTGTTTAATTTTTCAAAATTTAATCAATACTTGCATTGATAGTTTTAAATTATTAATAGGGGACACATACTATCAATGTACCATGGATAATTCGAACTTGAGACCACTGATATGCAAATCAAGCCCATTTTTACCAAACATGAGCAATATTGGAAATTAAACAAGTACTTCCCACAAACTTTTTTTTTCCTTCCATAACTTCTGTTATATCTTTTCGCCTCTTATAATGCGTCGCAACTTCTCTTATCAACATGTTGTAACTTCTCTAACATATTGTATTGGGATGTATAGGAAAGGAAAGCTAATTAATTAAGGTCCCATCTATATCATTTCAGTTCACCCACCTTGTGATCCTTTTGATGATGTAATGAAGAACATAACAATTAAAATAATAGTTGAAAGCTAATATGTACTGTGCAAAAGCCAAACGTGGCTGGCTTGTTAGCTAATATGTATTGCATCGCTCCATTTAATAATGTCACATTACAGCTCCTCCTCCTCCTCATCCTCATCATTCATTCACCAAAACATAAATTAAATTAAACCACAATTTGGGCCATAAGACACTTGCTTACAACCCCGATTACCTAAATACGACAAACCGTACCCTGTCGTAAATAAAATAATTGCGTTTGTTGGGCCCACCGAAGAGAAAGCCCATAGGCCCAACCGAAGCCCAATCACTTCGGCCCATCAAACCTTCTTTCTTCTTCTTCACTCCCGCGTGTCGTTGCCTTCAGAACGACATGTAAAACGATGTGGAGAAGGAGCACCCGCGTCATTTGCCGCCACGTGGCCAGGAGGGAATATTCTCGAGTATGCCCTCCGCCGGCGAAAAGCGCCGGAACGCTTATCCGGGTGTCAAACCACGTGGCCAGGTTGGGCCCACCGAAGGAAGGCCCGAAGCCCAGGCAGCTCCTGTCGTTGCCGCGCTTCCCCGGCCACCCTTTGCCGGGGAAGAGGTCTCATGAAGACGGCGTCGTTTCGCGCGTCACCGCCGTCAGTTGGGTCAAGTATTACTTCGATGGGATTTACGACTCTATCATCCAGTCCCATTTCAAGCAAGGCCTTGTAAGTGAGAACCACTGTAGTGTTATTATCATTTTTCAAAAATTACGTTTTTTTTTTAAATTTAAAATTTTTAAAATTCAATTTTATTTTGTAGGTTCAGATGGAATGCCCAGGTTTGATTGAAAAGGAAGGGCAAATGAAACCCATGAGAAAGGTAAAGATGCTTGCTTTTGCCATGTTTAGAAGCTTGAGCTTTGTGGGTGTGTTTGATTGTGTTTAATTTGATGTGGGTTTAATTTAATTTGCAAATAGATTAGGCCTAGTGAGGTCATGGAGGTAGGGGCAAGAGTATACGTACCGGTTTCGGTTGTGGAGAGTAGGGTTTCAAGGAGATTTGACTGCATACCAAGTGGAACATTGTACCCAAATGCTGATGAGATTGAGTATTTGCAGAGGCGTGTCAAGTACAAGGCATGTTTTGAAGTTTAAACACTTATCGAGTTTTTGTTTGTTCGATGTTTTGGTTTCTTAGCACTGATATAAATTGGTTATATTTCAGGACTCTGCTATAATAGTGCTGAACAAGCCCCCGAAATTGCCGGTCAAGGTTAGAATCTATGGAGCGCCATTTGACATTTGTTGTAGGGTTCTACTGTTTTATTTGACCACCATTTGATTTCTGTACATGTAATGATTTTTTTAGGGTAATATGCCAGTTCATAACAGCATGGATGCATTGGCAGCAGCAGCATTATCTTATGGTAATAACGAAGGTCCTAAGTTGGTAAGATTTTAGTTTTCTGTGACTCATATTAAATCAAATTCGAGGAGAAACCCTTGCTGTATTATAGAAGCAGTCTTCGACTCTTCGGATCTCCTTTGAGTTTATTTAATTCCCCAATTCATGTAGCCATTTCCAACATTTTAGCTCATCTCTGTTTCCCCGTTTGCATATTTTATAGGTTCATCGGCTTGACAGAGAGAGCAGTGGCCTCCACTTAATGGGGAGAACAAAAGAAAGTGTTTCTCTTCTGCAGTGGTTATATACTGACTTCAATAAGGGGAAATCATCGTGTCAGGTGTTATAACTTGTGTTGCTAGCACTATGCATATGTAATTTTGTTAAAGATTTTATTCTTAAGGCTGATAGGATTTTGGGTAATTTTAGGCTTGGGATGATGCATGTGAAGCAAGATATCAGAGGTACTGGGCATTGGTCATAGGCTCTCCTAAGGAAAAGGAAGGCTTAATTTGTGCTCCTCTTTCGAAGGTTCTCTATCACTCTCTAAATTCAGTTTCCAGGTTTATGTAATGTTGAAAGAAAGATGTGATTGTATCTATGTTGTCATTGGTTGCAGGTGCTTCTTGACAATGGGAAGACAGAAAGGGTCATCTTGGCTCATCAATCAGGATTAGAAGCTTCCCAAAAGGCTATAACTCAATATCGGGTGCTTGGTCCCACAATACATGGATGCTCATGGATCGAATTACGTCCACTCACTAGCAGGAAGCATCAGGTACAATGAATTTAGTGTGATACTGCAGCTATAGAGCATACAACTGTCTGGAGTCTTTTTTGTCTCCTAAAACATTGGTCGATACTGAATTTTAGGCTGTCTCTGATTTCAACTCTGCCATTTCTGTACAGCTCCGTGTCCATTGTGCTGAAGCTCTCGGAACACCAATTGTGGGCGACTATAAGTACGGGTGGTTTGTACACCGGAGATGGAAACAAATGCCTCACGTTGATATTGAGCCAACATCTGGGCTACCATACAAGTTGCGGAGGCCAGCAGGTCTGGATGTGCAGAAAGGAAGTGTTCTGTCGAAAGTCCCTCTGTTACATCTGCACTGTAGAGAGCTTGTACTCCCTAATATTGCTAAGTTCCTTCTTATATTGGATCAGAAGTTAGACAACCTGCACCCTGCAGTTTGTTCAAAGCCAGATATCCTTCGGTTCGTGGCATCGATGCCTTCCCACATGAAAATTAGCTGGAATCTCATGTCATCTTACTTAGTCTAGAGAAGGGCACGTTGCTTTCTAAAACCTGATTTTCATTACTGTAAACATGATTTTGGCAGTGTCTGTACCTACAGTTGTAATCTCTGTAAGTTTGTCGACTCCAGCAAGTGATTATCGAAAAGGAAAAAAGAGAAGTTAGAGAATCATTCCGACCTTTGATCCGAAAAAAGTTTTCTAGTTGCATTCAAAGTTGATTAGAAGTTAAAAATAGGGATCTATTCTTCACACAGAGCATCAGATTTTTGACAGTAATGTTCAGCATTTTTGGTCAACGTGGAAGCCCACGTCATAAAAAAAAAGGGTCCCATTTTTGACACATCAGCATTTAACAGATTCACTAACAGTTTGGCTAACGGAGATGGCAAATTGTAGGTTTTCCGCGACGTTGAGTATGTACTCATAAATGTCCCCAAAATCGGGTATGAACTCGTAAATGACCCTATAGGAGGGGGGGTTTACTGTAGTTTACCCAAAACTTTATCTATATCAAATGGCAGCTTTCTTGCAACACTTACAAATGTGGTGATCAATTGGAAATTTCAATGAACACTGTCAGTTTGTTCTCTATAGACATGAAATGCCTTCATAAATCAAACCACCGAAGTTAGACGCTCTTCAGCAGGACATGAACAAGCAGCACCTGAAGAGGCCAAGCTCTTTCCACAAAGTCATGCCAGGGCAGAGCTTCTCAAACGTCCTATATCCTTCAGCATTGTTTCATGGAATGTGATAGGAAATTGGTTCTGCCCTTTGATTGATTCAACCAAAGAGATATTTTGGGAGTCATCACCATGTGCTTCATCATTTACTTCGTTATTTTAGTTCCTACACCTGTTCTGTGGGCATCGGTTGGGAACTAAGAAGTCTTTCTGCCTCATCATTTGCTTCAACTTGTATTCTCCATCTCTACAGAGAAAAGTATATATGATTAGCAAACAAATGCATGAACCAAATAATATTCTTTCTTTTACTTTTGTGAATGAATATTATATATATTTTTTTGGGTTAATGCAAAGTAAGGAGATGCCTCTTCAAGATTTTCTAGCTCCATGGTTTGCTGTATTTGTTCAGCAATATTTTCCTGCAAATAAGAATGACCTAGTTAGCTTGTATAAAGGCATATCAAAGGGAAGGAACTATGTAATTAATTTGAGCTTACCACATTGCTTGCTGCTTCAGCAGCAAGAACATCAGAGTCCAATTCTACCTCAATTTCGATTATTGAAGAAATCTGATAAGTGGACAGCATAGCTATATTAGTCGACAACATTTAGAGGGGAGGGGGAGTTAAGTTGTGTCTAAAGACAAAACCATACTCTCGCATAGCTGTCAATAAGTTCAATCCGTCCCCTGAGAGAATTTTCCAAGCCTTCTCGAACCCTTTTGACTCTACTTCTTCGAGCACTAGATATTGAAAAACAAATTTGTTTCAGACTAGTTAAGTTGAAAGCAGAGGCCGATGCTAACTCGTTATTTGCTACATCACTAAAAAGACATTCAAGCATAAAATAATTTCAACTAATCATACTACTAGTTAAGAAAGGAAGAACAATAATGTTAGAGAGTTTCACCGATAAGAAGGCTCTCCTACAGCGAAAATTTTGTTCTCAAGTTGGCACATCCGAGCCAACATCCAGACCTGCATAGGAAATAAGTGAACATCTTTCTTATATCTTCAATCCACTCAGTTAATTATGCATGAAAGGAAAAGGGCAAGACGTGATTTCTGCTACAAATTTGTTGAATAACCCTTTTTTTGTTCAGATTGCTAGAGATTAGGCCACTTTTTTATGATCACAAAGCTACTCACTTTTTAGACAAAATAATCAACAAAAATCTTCATGCATGTAGGATGTTCCACTGTAAAGTTTAATAAATCACAGTCACAACTAGCATGGAGGCTTACCTCTTTCTCAGCAGCTTCTTTTAGGCTCTTTATACGAGATTGGAGTGTGTCATATTGAGATAAAAGTTGCTGCTTGATAGCAACTGTATCCACCAATCTCCGAGGAAGCTGACAAAACAAGCAAGTATATTATGAACAACATACATTTCTGAGTTGTTCAAGAAATGTCTTTAATGGAATATATGTAAACATTACAAACCATGTTAGATTGAGTAAACAAAACTACTTGCATAATCCTCAAACATCTAGCGTACCTAAAGAATTTAAAAGTTAGACCCTCATTACTTGTGAAGGGGTTGAAGAAACCAAATACTAATTGCAAGGGACCTGAAATTTCAATTAACAATGATCTTTTTTTTGTTTCCCTTTTCAGAAGGGCGAAGATGGGGGTTTGGGTATCACAAGTTACACTTATAATGGGAAAAAAATAAATTTACTAGCTTACTGCTTACACGACTCAATTGGGGGAAAACCAATGTGTTCAGAGTAACTCCAACAGCAAGAGATGCCACTGCAGCAACTGGAAGGAATTGGGGAAGGCTGGGGTCTATAACTCCAGAGGCAGCATTTCCAGAAGCCAAAACAGCAACAATTGGAAAAAGGATGGAGGGGTTTGTTAGCGAAGGTCCTCCGTCTTTTATAGGGGCTCTTAATAGTTTTGACTCCCGGCCATCTTCATGGTTAGTCAGGCAGATAGGCTCCCCAGGATAAAAGTTGGGAGCCTTAGGACTAAATTTTAAGGGGCCCACCTCTCTGTAAACACTTGATGGAGCTGCTAGAGCAATAGTTACCCTTTCTCCTTCCTGTGCCGGGAGATCAACTGTTTCAGTAGCAAACCTGTTTGTACGAGCCATCCCAGAAGGGGTTTGAACCTGAAAAAGGAGAGGGAAAATGATGATCAACAACAACATAGATATGATATAGGTGGAATTTCATGGATATAAAATGGGAAACTGAACATTCATAATGAATAATATCATACCACAATGGAGTGAACAGCTGCAGGAGCACTTTGCTTCATTATTTGCAGGAATCTTAGCCCCCTTTTCCAAGCTGGAACATCCATGCTGCGTTCGGCAGGAGGAGATCCTTAGAAAAAGTCAATATCCCAGGATCAACACCACACATATATTAGCTGTGTGATTGACATAGAATTAACATGTGATAAGTTTGATGTGTTCCAATAAATGACACTGTAATCAAGTTCACAAGTCTCTGCTAAAAAATGTATAACTGTTATAAATCATATTAATCCATAGCTCTCTGAGGAACTCAGAGCAAGATCATCGTGCACACACTGGTTACGGAAAATGCTCTTGCGCATGTTCTCAAACATAGAGAAACTATAGAGAGTCAATATTAACCAGCTAAACAAAAGCAGATAAATAAACCCACCTGATTTCTTCTGACTCAATACTAGCTATGTTGCCAGAAATAAGTTCGTATTGGTAGCAGCACTTTGCACACGACACTATCTGCACCAGATTTGTGGCATGAGTACCATTGCTTTGAACAAACCATCCAATCTCATGTATTCCTCAAAAATGAGTTCACAGGTTTTTGACATGCATACCTGAATACCATGTTGTGGTTGTGCAACAGCAACAGCTATCATACAGCTTGGACACCTAACAACCTTCCCAAATGGGACCTGAAAACCACATTAAAGCCAGTCAGATGTTTTTCACATGTGTCCAAGACAAATTGAATAAAGGAAAAGAAGACAATTAAAGTACATACAATGATTTGAGTGTCTTATTTCCTGACTACTGGTTTCAAGTGTCCAAAATTGAAAACCAATCAATTAATAGTTTAAAACCAACATCAGCCAACAGAAACAAGTGAAGGGCAGTTAAAGCTGGCAATTATGAGTTTATCATAGTTTCCTTATAAAATACAAATGTAATTGCTCGGGGAAAAACCAAATGCTGAAAGAAAGAGGCAAAAAAAAAGAAAAAAAAAGAAATGCTTTTACCTCCTCAGCAGGAGATACTCCTACTCGGCAAATATTGTTGATCATCCTAAGGGCATCAGAAACTTTCAGTGATGCAGCTAGACCCAGAATCAATGATGTGTATACGCGTACATCTGGTCTGGACCACTTCCACCTCTCAACAAAAGGGCCATTTTCATTAACACCTGCCCCAGAACAAGTGATCAATGCCCCTAGTTAATTTCCCACAAGTAATGTACTAAAAAAAACAGATGAATTTAGAAATGGAATTCAGACGTAAATTTCTTACAAACACACACTCCCATTTGGCATAAGTTGTATGTATTCTAGATTACCATTCAGCAATACTGTCAGCAAGGCAAGCTTTGCATAGATGAACATAAATAGACAAACCCATTCTTTGAAATCCAATTGAAAATTGGAATGTTGATTTATGATAAAAAACAATGCTAGTCTTCCAAACACAAGAGCAACTGATGTTAAAACCCAAACCAATACCTTGATCAAAACTTGCACGCATCTCATAAAAAACAGAGAGAGCCAAGTCAGGGTTGTTCCTTTTAAGGGAAGCTGATACAATAGCACAACAATCAGAAGCACTCACTAAACCACCATTTCTCCCAGTAATTTCTGCGATCATCTGGAGTGCTTCTTGGGCGTCTTTAGCACCCGAAACTTTACTAAGCAACTCATCGTCTAACAACTCGGAGACAGAGTCCTCTGCCAACCCACTACCACTTTCGCTCTCACCCAATGACGCTTTTGTTGTGAGGAGCTTGGAGAAGTTGATGGAAGTAGTTTGGATTCTGAACAGCAAGGCGTTAGTTGCGTTGGTGGTGATAATGGGGAGTGGTGGAGAGGAGTGAGAGAGACGAGAGAGCCATGGGGATAGGGAGCTGAGGTTTATTAAAGTCATTTCTGAAATGGGTTCGATCGAAGTTTGAACCCACCAAGAGTAAAGAACAAAGCTATAGGCTATAATTTGTAATGGACCAATGGAGGTCTGTGTGTTTGTGTATGGGTTTTGTGGTGATAAAGATGAGGAACGAGAGGTGGTTATTAGACGTTACGAGTTGGGACAAGACCAGCGACAGGTATGGAAGTTTAGTAACGTCCATGTATTTGGAAGGAAGACTAGGTCCACCATTTAATGAAAATAATCACAAAAAGAAACATTTTCTTCAACAACATTGGATATGTAGAGAAGCCAAAACATAAATCTTCCTTATTAGGAGAATTCGTAGAGCAGAAAAAAGGAAATCGATTTGACTTGTGTAGAGTTGTTTATGTCACGTGACAGAACTGAGTAACTGAATTTATTATTCTTTTACTTAACACTACTAAGTGACCGGAACAACCTCACACAAGTTATAAACGGTTGAGTAATTGCCTATCACTTGTTAAAATAGGTATAAGCATTATATGTATTTTGATTTCCAATCGGTTATCTTTGTGTTTGGATTATGTAATTTGGTTATTATTGGGAGGATAAAATGTAGGACCTCGTTGACCAGTTCTACTCTATATATCTCTGGTTGTTACAGCTTGCGGTCATGAGAGGTGCAGGAAATTTAGTGGACGTCGGACAATGCTACCATCTCTTGGGAGCAAAATGGCGGGAAACACTGTGCACTCTACATTGAGTTCAACCATCGATCGTCTTCATCCATGTTCGAATTCAAACCCTGTTTTCTTCATAAACTGGCATTTCATTTCCAACATCATAAAGTATATTTTAAAGAAAATGGGAAAAAAAATTAAATTGATTTAAGTTTGTCATATCTTTCTTTTTTATTTATAGATTTTTTCATCATGATCATGCAAATTCACAGAATATAGATTTTCTTCCCCTTTCTTTTTTATTATAATTAATTTGATCATATATGGTGATCATGGGGAACTCAAATTACTTGATATTAAGATTTTCCGATGTAGTCATATACATGATGATGATATTGTTATTAGAGCCAAAGAAGAGCTTGGTCAATGCTGGTCGGAATGATGCAACAACTATTGTAGTGCCTAATTTTTGTACAACAAATTCAAATGTTCTTCTTCCACCCTACCATGACATCCCTAAATCCATATGTTCAGCCCTTGATTGGCACGGCTACAGCATTAGCGTAAGTGATCACCATCATCTCATTTCACATCTCATTTTCATTCATAATCAAATAATTACTTTTTAAGATCGCATGACATGACGTCACAAGGTATGTCGTGACAGTTTTATCAGGATAAGAATGCCGTTGTTACCGTGATACTAATGGGGATACATGAGAATAATTGGATCTCGGTTGGGGTGTCCAAGGACGGGATGATGGTCGGTTCGAGTGCGGTGGTGGGGTGGATGAACAACGATGGTAAATCCGGCACGGTAAAACAGTATTTTCTAAGTGGACGTATGACCAGTGAACAAGTGATACCAGATAGAGGTGACTTGAAATTCACCAATGTTACACCTACCATTGTTCTCAAGGACAAAATAATTTACCTGGGGTTTCAACTCCAGTTTCCCCAACGTCTCAATCGGCAGCCATTTCTATTTGCTTGCGGGTTTGGCAAGCCTGCTGAGAACAATATCCTGCCGAAGCATAAATACAGAAGCGCCTTGGCAGTTGACTTCTCCAGAGGTTGGTTCATTTGTCAATTCATTTCTCATACACACATGCATATTTATTTGCTTGACATACACTGTTGTTAGCTCATTTTCAGACCGCTTTAAGTTTCTGGGGAAATTGTATTTTTCTCTATATGACAGTGTTCTAAACCTCCCATAATGGAGCCTTAACCTATATGCTTCTCTATGTCTACATGTCAGCTTCTCCATGTAAATGACGTAACTGTTAGCTTGATATACATTATTGCCTTATTTTCTTGATAATTTAAGCTTTTGGAGCCTAGTGATTGTCTAATATCGAATCTTCCAACCCCATCATCGCCGCACAATTGCATTATATTTGTTCTGTAAGACATTCAATTTAAGATTTTGGAGTCTAGTGATCATCTAATAGTATTCATTATCTTGGCCATGGGTTATTAGGGGTTTTCATTTCAACATGATCATTAACCAATATGATCCAAATTTGAAATTGAATTAATGGTACAAGCATGCAGGTGCTATATATCTTGGTTTTGTAGACAGCGCAAGCGTGAAGCTGACCCATGGAATATTGGCTATAACTGGATGGGGCATAATCATTCCATTTGGAGTTCCTATAGCCAGACATTTTAGGCAGTATGAGCCTTTATGGTACTACCTTCATTCATCAGTTCAGTTTGTGGGCTTCTTTATTGGTCTTGCTGCTGTGGCTGTTGGAAGGACACTCTACGATCTCATCCATGCCGACTTTAATTACCACAGAGTCCTTGGATTCGCTATCCTCGTACTCAGTGTTCTTCAGGTGTTTTTTTTCCCCTTCTCTTAAACCTCTCAAAATAATACAAAATATTCATCAAAGTCATACTTAACTATGATTTTCGGCTCCACACGGGTTTGTAAGTCAAGAGTATTTATCCGTGCAACCAAAGTTATGTGTTCGATTCTCGAAACTAATGAATATCTTTTTACATGTTTTTTCCTTGTTTGTTGGGGTTGTTTTGATTTGATCAGATATGCCAATTCATTGTGAGGCCATCCAGTAGCAGCAAAGCCCAAGACTACTGGAACAAGATCCATCATTGGGTGGGGAGACTGGTGATTGTGCTTGCACCTGTGAACATTTTCCTTGGGCTTTATAAAGGAAATGGAACAAGAGGGTTGATGATAACATTTTTGTGTTTCTTTTTTACTTTTCTTTTCATCTCAATTTATTTGGAAATACGGCTGCTGCTGCGGAAAAAAAGAGAACCAAATACAAAGTTAACTGAGCCTCCTCTTTTTCAAGTACCTCCACGCAATTCATAGATGTTTTTACTTTCTTTTTAGGATGGTTTATATACTTGTGTACATACCAACAACTCAGAGCCAAGGAATTAGTGTGTTTGATATTTTTTATCATTTATCTTCATCCTCTTGTTAGTTAAGAACGGAATGTCACTTTCTGGCAGTTAAACAGTCAAATCTGATACCAATTTATAATCTAGTTTGCTTATGGAAATATCAACTGTTGGGCAGTTGAATATAGAAGGAAGCTCAGATTAAAATCATATTGCGCTAGCATTCTAAGAACAATCTTTTACGGTTACTGAAACCTTGTCCAACATTGGACAACACTCGAAGAACTTACCTACTTTCAGAGACCAGATATTCAAACGTGAATTGCACCAAAAGAAACATTGGCACAATCGAACGGATAACAGGAAACAACGGCACAATCGCACAGGATAACAAAATGTTGAGGGTGAAAGAGACATCAGAAAATCATAAAAAGATGGATTATACCAAGAAAAAATGGTATTTGAAAGCATGAATTACACAGTTGTCCACAACAGAAGAGACTGCTACCACATATACACACATTGTCACAGTGACTGAAACAAGAACGAAAACAAAGTCTTCCAAAGTCATAAAAATGGAAAAATAAAGGCAACAAAAGTCGGATGGCCCCAATATATTTTGGATATGAACCCCCATCAGCTACACATTGGGATCTAGACAAAGTAGACATTCAATTCCAGCACTTGTCTTCTTGAACCAAGGAAAAAAAAAGAAGAAAAAACCCTTTCTAGCTGGCACATTATGTGTATGAATCAGTTGCCAAATCGTCCGCCTCTTCCCCAAGGGGGCCTCTGCTGGACACCCCTAATGTTGCGAGGTACGGCATTGTTCTGGCGTGGTTGGGCCCTCATCCTTTGCTCCTTCATGTTTGCAAAGAGCAAATCGAGTGTTTGAGGCCTCTGCTTAGGAAGTGCATTCTCTTGCTTCCGAAGCTGCTGCTGCTGCTGTTGCGGAAGTGGCAGCTGCACACCAAACACTGACTTCATAAGCAACAGAGATCAAATGGCATCTATTCAGATTCCAGATGAACCACTAATAATACCGGTCAAAATCAATTTCTTTTCTCACAATGATTTACTTTCACAAAGAACATATATGAAAGGAACTCCAAAGTGTAATATCCAGAGTGTAAACAAAAACTACAATTTGGTTCCTTATACTCCAAAGAAATCTAAAAGCTTCCACCAAATTGGTGGATTGCTACAACCCAATGAACAAGTTTTTAGAAACCACAATGTCATTGACCAAACAAAGAAATCATTTACTATCAAGACTATTCAACTCACACTCATTGTCCATTCTCAACCATCACCAAGTAAAGGCAATCATATACCATCAGGACTCTTCAACTCACACTCATTAAAGATTTCTCAACCATGACCAAAGAAAGCCAATCATTTACCACCACGATTCTTTAACTCGCACTCATTATAGATTACTCAACCACACAAGCCACTAACACTCGATAATGTTGAAGGGAAAAAAATCTAAAGGTCACCATTAAGTTAGAAAGAATACCTTAGTACCGTAGCCAACATTTCCAGCCCTTCTCTGAAGAATTGGAACACCAACCCTGCATCCAGAAATAGAAAAAATGGATGAAGAATTGAATACCATGTACCTTAAAAAAGCTAGCTAACTTAGACAACAGAGATGATGGCTATCAATACACCTACACCAACACCAAGTAATTGCAAGGGGATCACGAGCAGATATGCATTCGACTGGATGAGAGGTTAAAGTGCCTTACCATCACAATTCTAAACATATCCAATTAACGCGACAAACCATTAGAGGAAAAAACAGTTGTAGGAAAATGATGTTCTCTCAGCAGTGTGGTTCCGTTTTAGTCTGCAAAAGGTACTTCTAACCACAAACCTTCATCTGAATTCAAGCCTCACCAAGCAAACATATTCCTCACAGAAACCCTCAACAAAACAACTTCACATGGCAGCAGAATTGATGAATCACAACAGGGGGTTCATTTGCCATTAAACTAAATGAACATCCCATTCATCAAATGGGTAAAATGCCTTCCCCAAGGAATTTCTGATCCTGGCTTAAGCAGGCAAACACATCGAGAGTGGAAGCCACTGGAGCTTCTGTTGAACGACAAGTTATGGTTCTCCAACCACTTGTAGACCACAAAACATACTACAGGACACAGCTTCCAACCACTAAAAGAATTGGAAAACAACAAAGGGGCAGAAGTCTTGGCCCCTACTCGACAGTCATCAACTGAATATTAATCCCCTTCTGTTATCCCATTTAACAAAATTTCTATACACAAAAAACCTGAAACACAACTGTTGCTTAGTTTGTTCTTTTGTAATCTGCAACTGATGTTTGGTTGTGCAATTATCCACTTTAATTCCAACCCATTGCACCTTAAAGCAGAGGAGACTCAACCATCCATTCAGCAGGCAATAAATACCCCAGGAAACAAAGAGGAGGAAGGTGTAAGTATCAGCATAAACTAGAAAAAGTGAAAAGTTCCATGAGACAGAAGCTTCCCGAAAACCCTATGGCTCATCACAAAGGAGAAGAACTCTCCAATGTTGCCTCCCAGATCATAGACATTGTTAATACATATTTGCAAGGTCAACTGAAGAGAAAATATTAAAGCAAAATGGGTAGAATAGCTGGACCTATCACATGCCAGGACTAGTGATTTAAAAGCTTGCAGAAACGCCAGTATATTCAGCATGAACTGAAAAACAGGAGATAGTGATATCTTGAATTCAAAACCAGGGAACATGTGCCAACTTCCAAACTCTTTAGGGAAACTACAGTAATACCCACTCGACATAGAAAAACATGTCAATAAGCTGGACCTATAAATCACATCTGAAGGACTAGTGATTTAATAACTTGCAGAAAGCCCGCATATTCAGAATGAACTGAAAAACTGGAAAGGGTGATATCTTGAATTCAAAGCCAAGGAACATGTGCTAACTTCCAAACCCGTTAGGGAAACTACAGTAACACCCACTCAACATAGAAGAACACGTCAACAAGTTAATCCTATCAAACACTGAGCCACTTAGAATGCATAACAGTTACTAGCCCTCAGTGCATGCTCTATCCAACGTTACATAATGCTCAAGCTACGTGCTACATACTTCAAGTAATCAAACTGATTTCACTTTTTTCCGTATCTTGCAAATCTTATCCCTGTCCAAGTCTTGTGATCCCATTACCGACCAGTGAACTCAACCCCACAAATCTCCAGTTGTAAGAATGTCCATAATAATTTGAGATATGCACCACTTAACATATGGTAACTTTGCAGATCGCAAATTGAGAATTTATAATGCAGACATCTATTCTGGATGGCATCTACAGAAACAATCAACACTTTGAAACACTCCCAAATTGACTTCTTGCCGAATAAACAAAATATATGCAGGTGTTCCACAATTATGGGAGTTGAAATGTTTTATCCGAAGCAAATGACAGAAGGTCATCACTAATATAGAAGCACCAATATTTACCTGTAATAAAGTAAATTCACAATAAATACAATTAGGTACCAATTATTGGGAGCCACCAATTAAGAACTAAAAACCAAAACGCATTGCAAGCTTCCAAAACTAGAAGTTAATACCTTGGTTTCCAGTTAGGTACCCGGTTACGATTAAAAGCTCTATTGCGAAGAGGAGCAACTGCTAGCTTTCGTGCAGCCTCAGCTGCAATGGGAAATTGGTTCCCCTGGAAATTTGACCTTCTCTGAGCTAGAACCCCCTGATTAATTGGAACCAAATAAAGAGACAATATGTTAGTGACAATGCACAAAATAATTAAAAATAGAATTCAACTCAGCAATATCATTCACCCACCTGTCTAATGGAAGATCTTGCGTCCATAAAGCGCCGCAGCTTTGCTGGTTTATCTTGAGCAGCAACTTTTACAAAATTCTGGGCTTTATTCTGCAGAGGGAGAGACATTTGATACTATTCAACAATTTTGTGCAATGAGAATATTTCATTTCAGTAACAGTTGTTTTCTCTTAAAATATGAAAAAGAGAGAAAGAAAGGAACTTACCGAAGCCCTTCGCTGCTGCTTCTTACCCTTTGGAGCAACTTTTGACATTTTAATAATGTCATCTACATATCACACATTATCACACGTTAGCTCATAAAGGATAAAGAATACAATGAAAGATAATTAAAAAAAACACATGGGGGGGGGGGGGGGGGGGGGGGGGGGTTGGGGGTTTTTTGTTTGGGGTTTAATAAAATACCTATGTCATGGTCCATCTTCTTCTCAGTCAGAGCAATTGTTTCAGTTGTAAGTGGTTTAGTCGCCATCTGATTTAAACATAACAACAAGTCTACACATAAAAATTGACAGCAAAAACAACTGAACAAAAAAAATCCTAGATGCTTATACCAACCAACCAATCATGAAAAAAAGGTTTCATATTTAAACATTATAAGATGAGACGGAGTTTGCAATAATAGGTACAAACGAAGTTCAAAATACACCAATAATACTGCTTGGTTGCTGAGAAAGCAATAAGAATCCGAAAGAGAAAACACAATTAAATCTCAGCTTAAGTATTCGTTCAGAGAAAAAAAAAACCTAAAGTACCGAAATCACATAACAAAGAACCAATTTTTTTGCTGGATTTTTCATAACCAAACAGAAAAGGTCTCAAAAAATTCAGCTGAAAAAAGTGCAAACTTTATGCGCTAATACAATATTAAAGAGAGATTTAACAAGGAGAACTTACGGAATTTTAGAGAGCAGAAATTTGATCGAGAATCGTAAATCGGGAAGAGATTCTGAACCAAATTAGGGTTAGGGCTTATGAGGATGAGGAGAGCAATTTTCGTGTTTTGTGAAAAAGAATACGCGTTGAGAGATGAAGGTCTACTATTTATAGTGGAAGGAAAGGCTGGCAAGTAGCTGTGGGTTTTCTCGGCGGACGTCAATTCCGAATCCAATGGGAGATAATAATGAACTTGATTTTTTTATGAAGCGTCTTATGTCCTTTTGGGCTGGAACCACCGTGGCGTAGGGTAAGTCGTGTACTGACGCGGCATAGAGCAGTGACTAGCTAGCTACTGTGGTGCGTTGTCGTTGAGAAGGTACTGTCTTGGCTTGGCTAGGGTGGTTCGGCCACGTCATCGATCATTCTTACTGAAAATATGATTTTTTAATCGCATAGATTGTCAATTAGGATATGAGTGTTTAAAAAAAAAAAAAAAAAAAAATATATTTATATAATTTAATTTATGAATATTATAAGATAAAATCTAATTAAAAATTGATATTGATAAAGATTATTGATTATTATGATTTTTTTTTTATTTATTTTGAATTTTCTTAGTCTAATGTGTTTTGTTGTGTTTGTTTTAACAAAATGAATATTAATTAGTCAATCATATATGAAATACAATGCATATAAAAAATGTCACATTTGATTTTGATTTGATACTTTGTAAGTGCCTTCATTAAGAATCCTAAATTGTGAAGGCATGTTTGAAAGCGCTTCTCATAAGTCGCTTTTGTTCACTAGCGCTTTGATCCCACATACACCAAAAATTATAACTCTTTTGTCCAATTCCTAATGGGATTACTATTTTTATTTTATTCAATTGGGTTTCCTGGTTGTTCAAAGAACAACAAGGTTCCATGGCTATGATTATTACTGCATTTTATCTTTAATTCAAAAGAAAAAGGAAACTGGATTTAGTTAGGAGTGTATCTAATCAGACAGCTCTTTCTAAACATTGGCACATGTTTGACCCTTCTTGTTTGCTCAGGAGAAAAAAATTAATAAAAATAAAATAAACCAATGGACCCTTTTTTTTTTGGCTGCTTTTTATAATTTTTATAATTTTTTTTATAAAAAGATATCTCCTTTTGAGAGAGGCAAAAAATATACTAAACTTACACAATATACAAATGCTAGGACTCGAACCCATGATATTTTTCAATGGCATTACACAACATTTCTTTAGCTATTAAAATTTAACATTTCCATACATGAAGTTTCATGCCAATCCTCAAACTAGGGGAAAAGTAAATCAAGTAAAACACATCTACGCAGACTGCAGTTACATGTAGCAAAACTGAGGTAAAGGATTATTTGAAATCGGTGAAGAAATTTATTGATTAGGGTACAAAATAGCTGCAAACAATTACACTCACCTCAATGGAAACAATTTTATTCTAACAATAACCTCTACTTTCCCCACTCTTTCACGTGGGACCTACATTGCCGGAAGATCACAGTAAACAAAAACTTCAATCAGTTCTCTCCATACACCCACTTCTCTGCATTGCTGGTGTAACTAACCAACTCATTTGGCTTAAACCACAAGTTGATTTCATCCTTGGCAGTCTCTGGCCCATCGCTGCCGTGGATGATATTTCTGCATGGCAAAAGCATAAACAGATTGTGAGATCAAAGTGATACATGCAGCAGAGCTGTAACACCAGCTCAATTTAGCTGCTCCAGTCTAAAAGTTAGAATTAGAGAGTTGCATGGCAAAATCATTACCTTCCAACAACAACAGCTAGATCACCTCTGATAGTTCCTGGTTCTGATTTTTGTGGGTCTGTGGCTCCAATGAGTTTTCTACCATACTTGATCACACCTTCTCCTTCCCAGACCTGTAAGGGTTCGCGAAAAATGAGTTTGGCTAAATGGAAGGTTAGTCATATTGAGGTGAATTCTAGTTCTACTAACCATTCCAATAACAGGTCCCGAGCTAAGGAAGTCACATAGACCATTAAAGAATGGCCTTTCCTTCAGATCATGATAATGCTTCTGTGCAAAATCCTTCGTAGGAATAACTACTTTTATGCCTACAAGCTTAAAACCCTTGCGCTCAAATCGGGATATGATTTCTGCAATCTGGAATAAAAGAAAATAAAAGGCTTAGCACAAATAAGGTATAAAAGGTGTCAGCCATACTTCAGGTTCAGGGGAATAAAACCAAGGTCAAATGGTTAAACTTTACCAGTCCTCTTTGAACTCCATCTGGCTTTATAGCAATGAAAGTGCGTTCCAACTGATGAGAGAAGAAAAGCTTTGTAAGAAGAAAGAAAAGAAATATTAATCAACAATGAGCAAAAAGGGAACATAAGGTATTGAAAGTACCTCTGCAGCATGAACCTCCTGGTCGACGAGCATGTAAGCTATAGAAATTAGAAAAAAGAAACCAAAGGAAGTGTTAGGATTAAGTTTGTAAAGACTGCAATCAAAAGAATACATCCGGGCATGCTATTGCAAAGATGTTCTTTTAATAATGGAAGAATGACATAAAATTTGATCAGTGCGGAAGTTTGATGATAGATAACATATGTTCGGGGATCCAACTGCAATGTCAGGTCGGGAGAAACTAGGGAGGAAAGTCAAGTCCAGAAAACATCTCAAGCAAAAATATTTCAACCCTTTTCTATGCTTAAGCTAAGCACAGTATGGATGTTGTTGAAGAGGACCAGGAAGCCACAATACTAAAACTTTGGCAAGGGACAATGCCCCTCTTCGTTTATGGACAACAAATTTTAAGATCAGATACATTTTACTGCCAAACCATCATCTCCTTTCCTATTCCCCTTTGCTCTCACTTTAAAAAAGAAATGTTTATATAGCATCACAAAAACAGAGGTCCCACTTTCAAAAGCAAATCTAACAATCCAAAAAACAGGATCCTGTTTACAAATCAGCATATAAATATTTTATATTGTTACTTTTAGGACAATTAAAATAATTGTTGTAGAAGATCGCATGATCTTGGTCTAGATGAGCAAATTTAAAAAACAAAAAATCATACCATGGTAAAAAGAAGAAAAGGAAAATGGAAATTGAGTTTGATTTTTTCAATACCTGCTGCAGGAAGGGCAAGAGCTCCTGAAATCCATCCTCTGGACACATTTTCGGAACCAGCTCTTCCAAAATTTGAAGCAAAGACAGGCACCTTTGAACTCAAGGTTACTGCTGCAGCAGCAGCTACAGCTCGCCCTTCTGCAAAATGCAAGGTACACAATTAAACACAAATATCATCCCAAATTGTTCGGGGGTAAAAGTAAACAAGTGGGAAAAACCCAACACATATAAAGGTACTAACAAAAGCACAACATCATAATATATACATAAATCTAACACTTTTATAGGAAGGGTGCTATTTAATTAGTCGATCAAACTTTTGTTATTTAAACCGTTGGATTGTTAGAGTACTGATCATGATATGTAGCTACTGGCTAATCAATCATAACATGAAAAGATCCATACTTATCAATCATAAAATCAAAATCTAAGAATTGACATATCAACCGTTGGTAGGTGGGACCCACAAGATCGGTGTCCCGCTTGATGCCGGACTTGGATCGATGATGTCAAATCCAGAAACAGATCAATCATCAAAGAAGAGAAGGAATTGCAAAAAACCAATTGTAATTGTCAATAAACAAAAACAATGATTGCATGGAAAAGTATAGTTTTTCAGTTTTGACGGAAAAGCAATTCCTGGAAAGTAGTTCGTGTTGAAAAGTAAAAGCTCAAACCAAACAATCCAATCTACTCATTTCCTGGTCAAGCTCGAATTTTTGCTTCCATATAAACAAACAGATGGTGGTTTCACAGATCATCGATCTAGCTCCAAATTTACGGGAAGGACCAAACATTTCATCAAAACCAAACAAGCACGTAGCAAAGCTAAAAACAGAGTGGAAATGAAAGCAATGAAACATTACCAGAATAGAAACGAGAGCTCTTAGGAGCAGCAGAGAGGAAGGACCTGACAGCTCTACAAGCGGATCTGCAAATCTGAGAGCTCATTTTCAATAGCTGAAAAGGGCTCAGAGGAAGAGAGAGAGAGGAGAGAGTGTGTATCAGTTGTGTGGAGAGAGTGAGAGAGAGTTGTATGGGAATATATGAGGGGTTGGTTGGGGTCTGCTTGTAGCTTGTGGTTAAGTCAAAACCTATCCGAACTCTACGGGGAAATGCGAATGCGATACGATGCGTAAGAACCAACTACCGGTTTAGAATTGGAGCTGGCCAAATTGGGCTTTCTCCGCTGTGCGGGTTGGTATGGTTTTAAAAAAAGAAGAAAAAAGAAGAAGGGAATTTCGTTAAAAAAAAAAAAAAAAAAAAAAAAAAAAAAAAACCAAAATGAATTAACCCAAAAAAAAAAAAAAATAAAAAATAGGGTTTGATTCGGGTTTGATCAATTGCTTGCGTCAACCCAATAATAGGAAAGTGCAATGAAATTACATATTTAATATATGTTTGATAGTGAAGATATAGGCTTAGTCAAGTTGGCTCTACCCCCGAGTTCAAATTCCTCTTCATAGTTTAGATTAGATTAACGTAGAATATCATTTGTATTAAAAAGTATAAATACATTTAATAACTGTTTTATATTAATATAATTATGGGATATTACCTTGTTTAATATGGTTACAAGTTACACCAACCAAAAATATGCTAAAAATGGTTTTCAAATAAATTTTTAAAAAAAGTTCCATGCATGTCAGAAATAAGTATATAAAAAGAAAAGTGAAGGAGCACTTTTCTCTCTTTTCTTGGCCCTTTTTGTGGGATAGAAAAAAGGGCAGTACCTCTAAATAAGTAAGAAGCTTCTTTGCATTATGATACTTGACGTATACGATGAGCTCTGCCTGAGTTAGTCAGTTGAAAAGCCTTTCACCACCCAGCCTACCTTCAATGGGAAAAATGGGAAAAAAAAAGAAAAAAAAACCCTAGGAAACTTCCTCACATAGCACATTTTGGGCTGTGGCAAAAAAAAAGGTCAAAATTATTAAATTTATTTATTCTTCAATTCTAACAAGAGGTGAAAATGATGGCCCCTCCCTTGTTCACCAAAAAAAACAAGAGGTGAAAATGTGACAGAGCACATGCTTTTGGTGATTTATTAGGCAGAAGTAAGTAGATAATCCACCACCCTAAACTTTTTTTTTTCCTTGGGGTCCATTGTCTCCCGTCCTTTGGGACCTTTCTTCAATTTATATGATTTTATTAAGTTCCTGTAACACACACTGTTCTATGGTCGGGATGTTTGGAATTTTGACCTACCTAATGTGATTCACGTGGTCCACAATAGAAGATTTTATGTGAGAATTTGGTAACAAGCAAAAAAATAAAAGGTAAGGTGAGACAAAGTGTTCGTCCAGCTTGAAAGATATGCTCCAAAGTCGCACTTTAACAGTGCCTGGCGAGTATTACTTCTCCTTCGCAGCCAACGGGTTCATAGCTCAATAGTAAAAGTACTTATCTGCAAATCAGTATTCATCCAATGGTATTCAAGTTGGATCCGTCTCTTGTTTTACGTGAATGTTGAGCCCAACCCGAAAGAGATCTCTACCTTGGAGTACAATGGTAGTTGTTTGTGTTTCATTTTAGGTTTCTTCCCCCAACAAAGACATATGGGGTGAACACACGGTTATTGTTAACTGTTAGAAAGCTGTATTTAGATGACCACATGAATCATGATTGGTTCACTTGCTTTGGTTGAATGAATCTTGTGCTTGCAGGCAGCCAAGCCACCAAAGCATACGCAACAATCAAATCTTTCTTGGGTTAATCAAACTTCAACACCACACTTTTTGGTTCCAATCTTAGATTGCCACTTTGCATAAAGCAATTTGTTGTTCAATGTTGTCAGGTGGTGCTTGTGAATTGTTTTGTTTTTATGCTAATTTGTGCATCATTAGAGAATATTCCACATATGCTTTTTTATTCTCTGGTTACCATTATCAATTTTATTTTATTTAAATGAAAATACAAGTATTATAGCAAAGATAGCGTCTCATCTTTCTTAAAGACATGACACGTTGAGAAAATGTCAACTTTCTAAAATAAGCGTAAGATATCAGTACTAACATTGCTGCTTCAATTAGATGCTATTCTTATGTACATAACATATGAATGGATGTAATGACAACTTAAATTTCTACCTATTTACAACTTCCTGGAACTAAAGTGTATCATTTCACATCTCACATGCGCCATTGGAGCTGTGGTGGCATCTGAACCCCCCAATTTGCAGTCGGTTTGTAGTGCTGACAACCAGGAGTCCACCTGAGAAAAATTGGGAAGAAAAGTAATTGTAGGATTGATCATACAGAACTTGACAATTTGTTATTAACCAAAAGGAGAAAAAAAGAAATCTACGTCAAATGAATTGGCATAGTTTCAAGAACAATAGACTGCAAAACAAATCACTGGCTTACCTGTACCTTAGAAGCACTTGAGCACTCGAATCGAAGTCCTTGAATTGTTAAGATATAAAATGCATATTGTGTTCCTTCATTATCTCGTGTAACGCTTGGCAAGGGACCTATTTCAACAATATCAGATAATAGGGTGGAGTCTTGGGGACTCAGATCTGGAAAAAGAGGAAAAAAAATAGCTCATCAGTGGTCAGAATATGTTACGTCCATATGAGAAGAATAATGGTAGGGCATCACAAAACTATGACGAATTTCAATATATAAAATCCAGGGTCTTTGAGATGCAGATCGTAAATTAATGTTCCATGATTCATTATTCTTCGTATTTTGATAAACAGAATTTGTAGTATATCTTAATCTTGGGAAAAGGAAAGTGTAGATAATAAGGAAACTCTCAAGTCTCAAGTCTTGTAGCAAAACTTCTATCAACAACTTTAACTAATCCTCTTTGTCAAAAAGAGATGAAAATTTTGAAACTATACTTGACACCTGTGAAGCAAATTTCAGAAAGGTCTAGACTCAAATAGAGACAAGGCAGCCTATGACTCTATTTGATCAATCAGAGGAAGCATTCCACACTACTATAGATAAACACAATGAAAGCAAATGCGAAATCATGGCCAACCAATCAAACTATGAGGTGTTAATGCAGCGTCAAATCATTCCTTATTCCCACACAACAGCAGAGAAATTCTTAACGCTCATAAAATAAACGTTAAGGATTATGACACAATGATTATTTACCTGTGGAAAACAAGTAGAAGAAAATGCATGGCCCTTGCAAGACAACAAAGCGAGGAAGCCAGTCATCAACGTCAGTATCATCAAGAGGGGGAGGTTCTCCTGGTAGCGGTTTCCACCTCTATCAGAAGGAAAAGAAAAAAACATAATTGGTATCATCCACTAAGTACAGGCTCAAAGTACAATTTGACTTAGGGTAGTCATTACAGTTCGGATGTACAAATAGCCAGAGAGACGAGCAGATCGCAGAATTTCATCAACGTGTTCCAATCTAAACAATAAAACATAAGCCTGTCATGGTTGATACGAAGAAGACAGATTTTCAGCTAGAATTGCAGTTCTCTCTAAATAACCTATCCCAAAAGGAAAACAAATCCATGTCTAGCCCCAAAGCAATATAAGAACTCAGTTCAAAAATGAAAATTTTCAAACACTTTTGGCACAGAGTCAGCCATACATTGTGTTAGGGGTATTTATGCTGCAATCAAGGTACAGCAGAATTTAACTAAAAGGCCAAGAGAAGTAGCAATAGTATGAAGTTTGCAAAGAGCTAAATCACATTTCAATGGTAAAACCATCAAGTTCTCTTACTGAGCTTTCAAGTGAGCTTCCTTCTCTTCTAAATCAGCAAGATCCGATCGAAGTGATTCTAGTTCTACAGCAGTTAGCACAACCTGCCAGTTAAAGCAAATCTAGTCGTCAGGGACATGGAAATCTCATAAAATCCAATTGAGGAACTGCTAGAGTTACTGAATCAACCTTTTCCTCGCTATCCGTGCTAGACCCCCATGGCAGCCCCCGCAGACTAAAAAAGTTAAACTTCAACATGTATGCTGCACTTCTTAATTTTCTCCTACTCCACAAACGGCTATGAGACCTATGCTACACCAGATTAAGCAAACTGAATTTAAATTAACATACAGTCTCTCAAATTAAATCACTTTTTTGTTTCACTTTGTTTCTTTTGTGCTTCATTTTTCAAAAGAAAAAGAAATACCTCAAATAATTATCAGTTCTTGGTTGTGAAACAGACGAAGAAGCTATGTCCTGAAGAGAGTCAATACTAGGTGCGGATGCTTTGAAATGATCTTTGATGATCTTTATGTTTCCAAGACTATCATCCATGAAGCTTACTTACACTTCTAGAAGAGGGTGCAAACCTATGTCCATAATATGCTAAATGAGATAAGAACTGATAATCAGCATGTATAGAACGACAAACTGCAAATTAGATCCAACCACAGCATCATATGAAGATCTATTGCAGAGAAATATAGTTGTGAAGCTCATGTACTTTATCGTGGCTGATCAGAACAGCTTTTTGGGTGGTTATGTTAGAAGTTGAAGAACAGGGTTAGGACTTTGGAGGTGAAGAAATAGTTAAGATCTACTTCAACTAAGTTCACAAAAACTTACAACATTGATTCCAAGATACATTCGCAGAAGATGTATGAACCAAAATTCTAGTCTAGATACTTGTCAATAGGCACTAACTATGTCGAGCAACGGAAGTCCTAATTCTCAATCCTAGAAATAGGGTGTGTTGTGCATATGTTAGTGTTCAATACATACAATTTAATGTCGCAAAATTATCAATTATAAACTAAACTATACAAAGAATAAAGTATGCATAAGCATTTTATCTTGCCAAAACCTGGAGATAACATCAAGGAACTTGTATGTATTCTCTACCGCAGAAGAATACAACTTAGCCCAACTCAACAATACCCTCCTAATATTAAATTTGAGTCACCATGAAAATCCTTCTTCTGCTTTCTGCTCCACCGTCATATTTACCAATAGCGATGCTTTTAACTATCCTCCCCTCCAAATTTTTTAACCTTGTTCCCATACACACAATATGACCACCCAAAAAGCTGTTCTGATCATTCACAATAAATTACATGAGATCCACAACTATAATTCTCTGCATCCCCATGATTTTAAACTCCCCAAAAAAAACAAAGAGAATCTTATCTATTAAGACATGAAATGGAAGAAGCGTGTCTCAATAACTTGGATTTCAATACATAAACTCTATTCAATTTCAACCCAAATCAAACCATAATTCTCCACTAAAACTTACAAACAACCAGCTCAATACCACCAAAAGTTGAGATTTTTATACACAGGTAATTTGCACACAAACAGAAACACTCAAAAGAACCTTCATATTTCTTGAATCTGATCAAAATCACAAGACACTTAAAATTCTTGCAGAAACAAAATTAAAACTTACATGAATTCATCGACTGGATATAAAGCATATCAAGCAAGTTGCAGCATAAGAACAATGAAATACTTTGAGACAGATAATGGTATTTAATAAAAAGCTAACAGAATTAAAAATAAAAATAAAAACAAAAAAGAAAAGGAAAGAGAGGAAGCGTACCCGTAGAAAGAGACTTTTACAGAAAGACAGGCTAATGGAAGGTCCTTGTGTTCATGGAAAACGTTTGACCTCATTCATGTTGACTATTTGGTATATAGAGTTGCTCAGCTCTAAACGTGAGATGACTCTTTTACCCCTACCAGCCCGTGTTTTACTTGGTTACGTAATATTATGCTGGCCTTTGGGCTTTTACATTTTTGAGTGTTATATTATAATATTTTATTTTTCATGTTGATTTGTATATAACTTGTGATTAACATTACCTTTGATGATTATGCTCCAATCATAATGTCTGTGGGCTAATGATTATCCGCCAAGTATTTCATAAATTCTTTTTTTATTATTTTCCTTTTCCTTATTTTAACTGACAAAGTTCCTCTTTAGTAAATTTAGCTTTTAGCCAAAAAAAAATTTTCACTTTTGGAAAAAACCAAAGCTTTTTCAAAAAAGACAAAAAAACATCTCAACTTTCAAATCAAAGACATGCAAATGTAAAGGATTTATTAGGAAATCCAAATATAAATAAGGGCAATTTTGTCCATTTTGGCTTCTTTTACAAAATTTCTCTCTCCTTTGTGTTTTTCCAAAGTCTCCCATACACTTGACAAAATAGAGCTACAAGCTCCTACATAAATTTTTTTGGGCTTTTTTTTTTTGGTCAGGAGAGAGTTTGTTTTTTTATGAAATAGTTTCTCATGTTATATTGTCAAATTATTAATTTAAATAAGAGTTTTTATCACAAATGGTCCTCATATTTGCCAAATTATTACTTTTGATATTTTTGTATTTTTCTGACACAACCATCCCTAGTTATATATTATTCACTTACCAAAACAACTACTTGCCATCGATATAGGATGACACATTAGATTCCACCAATATATTGCACCAGCCGCATTAGCTTTTCCCCATTAATATTTAATTATTTCGCGCACCAAAATCTTAAACAAAATAAAGTAAAATACTATTCTAGCAAGAAACATCAAGTACAATTTTGTCATCGTAATTTTAATTGTACAAATTTATTTATTTAACACTCATATAATAACATCTGGGAATTTAAACTGGTCCCAAAATTTATCGTGTCAAGACCCAATTCAAGAATAAAAAATATTCTCAAATCAGGGTGCGTGAATTGAATGAAATAAAATAAAAAGACTGATATATAAAAAATAAAAATAAACTAATAATCTTGCAAGTGTACAAGATATAAATAAAACTTTATCACTCTAAAATAATCCAACTTCTTTGGTTTCGTCATTGTCTTGCCCATTAATTGATCTAAAAAACAAAATAGGTGAGGGATGAGCAAACACTGCTCAGTGAGTAGATTATGTAATATATCAATCAAGCAATGTCATTTTACACACTCTAGAAAATATAATAAAAAAATGCACAATTCAAATCACATCACATTATTACTTCATATATCCTTCACAAATTGTACCCAGCACATGACCCCTATCAGTCTCACTGCACTAAGTCCCCTTTTGGTACATTTATCCTTCGGATACCCTATCACTAAAGTTCTCATGTCCCATGAATAATAGTACTTCACAAAAACTCCAAATAATATATTGTGTGAAATATTACACAAATTAGATATGTTTGACTTGAAAATAGAGAGATATTTGTAAATAGAATAAATCCATGAGTTTCACATTTATCACAAAAATAAGAACTTTTAGAACACACTTAACCTACTCACCATGATATAAGTATGAAATATTGCAAGACAAAATGATACTTGTAGGAGAGGCTACAGATGCAACCAAATAATATATATATATATATATATAATATTTTAAACCACCAAAAGATAAGATAAAAAGATTGTTTGTTTAGCTACGTTTTCTTACTAATGCTTATCTTGGATTCACAGTCTCTGCTCTTCAATCTATTTGTTTTCTTCTATCTTGATTTATTTGATATTTTTACTCAGTTAAAAAGCCCATGATACAGCCCTGAGTATGGACGTACTTCACAGCATTAATCAAGTCACTGAAAAAAGAACCTAAACATAATAAATCATTTTAATAATAGAAAGACTAGGATAACTATTAAAATTGAGAACTATCTTATCTCAACCCTCCCATAATCTGAGTGTATCTTTTGCACCCCATTGTAAACTTCTTCCCATCCGCACCACACCGTAGCCAACAATTTTTACTTTTTACTCTAATAAAAATTGTTGGCTATGGTGTGGTGGGGATGGGAAGAAGTTTACAATGGGGTGCAAAAGATACACTCAGATTATGGGAGTGTTGAGATAAGGTAGTTCTCAATTTTAATAGTTATCCTAGTTTCTTTCTTTTATTAAAATGATTTATTATGTTTAGGTTCTTTTTTCAGAGACTTGATTAATGCTGTGAAGTACGTCCATACTCAGTGGCTGTATCATGGGACTTTGAGTGATAGTTGCTTCTTCGCCTTACTTCTAACTATAACTCAACATATTCAATTCTCAAAATATCTCATACCTTTCTTACTTCTTCGCCTTTCAGATCAGGAAACCGCACATGTAAATGCTTATCAATTAGATTATGCCACTTCTTTGGAACTGTGTATCTGTCATGCTTAGTCATAAGTTGGTAATGTTTTTGTGTGCTCTGTTAAGTGACATTATCCTAAAAAATTTAAGTTATTATGAGAAGAAAGGAATGACTGTTCGTTTTAATATCATGATTTGGTATGCAGCTGAAAAGGCAATTCCATTATACTTGGCGTGTAAAAGAAAGCTGCTATTCACGAGCTTTCCAGGTTAAGGCAGTCCATACAGGTTTCCTGTTTAGGGTTCTGCTATGTTTCACGATGTTTATTTTTCTATTTTCTGTTTGTCTGTTGTGGCCATCTTGACCACCCCTGCTTTATTGTTTTCTGCAATAAAATTTGAGTCTCTTCCACAAAAAAAGAAGCTTGGGATTCTTATTTTGTCTTGCAATTAGTAACTATAAAATGCAATGAGATGAAGATGTGTTCTCTCATTTTGTGTGCTTCTGATTTTGGTGCTGATTATTTTTTCTTAAACAATGTTGAGCTTTTCTTCTTCAAAATGATTTTTCACTATTTATGCTAGTGAATTCCTGATACTTCAAGTTTAATCTCAGTAGCTTCTTCAACTTGCATTGTTGGTTACCTTTAATAAGTCCAAATGTAGATTGATCACTTTCTTTTATACAGTTCCCCTTTATTCTTCTTCTGCTTTTGATGTTCCCATTTTAAAACTGCTACATGGACTGGTTTCGTAATGCTCTATTTTGTATTGTTTTCTTCGCCGTTGTTCCTGCTGATCCTGTAATGAGGTTAATGTGGCCCTATCATTTACGTCTTGTCCTCCATTGTTATTCTTTACTTCTATGGTTTTTCAGGAGGAAGAAGCATTGGGAGATGATGAAGGAAATGGTTCACCATCAAGTCCTCTGCATGTGCAATATGATGAGGGATCCAAAAGAGAGCAACAAGTCAGTGGCTCCAGTTGCAAAGCGTGGGAGAAAAGCTGCTGGTCAGGGTGGCGGTGGAATGAGGAGCCGAGGGAGGAAGAAGGCTCATGAGGAGGAAGCACTACAAGGAAAAACCTTTTTGGCGACCACCACGTTTGGTCGCGAAAAGGCTTTATTTCGTCGCAAAAACAATTTCGCGACGAAATATTTTCGTCGCCATAATGGTCGCTGAAACGTCGTGGCTGAAAGTTCCAGCCGACGAAAATTGAAGTTCGTCGCCAAAAACTTTAAGCGACCACATATTTTCGTCGCCTAACAGAATTTAGTTGGTCGCCTATGAAGGAGAGTTCCCGCTAAAACACCAAATTTTGGCGCGTACTTAAAAGGGATTAGGCGACCAAATTTATTTGTTCGTCGCCTATTGGCTCTGGCGACTAATGGATTTCGTCGCAAAAACTTTTTTTGTTGTTTTTTTTTCCTAATTTCTTTTGTCATAGAAAGAAGTTTTCTTACAAACAATAAATAAACATATTGTAATTTCGGGATACAATAGATTTAGGTAAGCTAATGCAATAGAATTGACATAAAAGTTTTGAACATTCAAAGGTACATGAGCATAGTAGTCATTTAAGTACATAAAAGGTAGTACCCTATATCCAATAAAAATAAGCATAAATGAATAAAGAACTCTCCACTCAAGTCTAAAGCTCAGGCTCGAAAATTTCTTGCCCTTTGCAACCCCAAGTTTTTGCATTCATTATTTCTCCACATGAAGACTAGAGACCAAGCCTGTGGGATAGGGGGGTCGTGATCTGATCTCTTGGAAGTTCTAATCTCTACCAATTGTTGCTTCACCTCAAACTCATCCATCATCTTCCTCTACAAAAGAAATAAAATAAAGCAACATCAATATGTACACATATATATAAATATGTATATACACAGTACTACAAAAGAAAAATTGGTATTAATATGGTACATCTTTGATCTGTTCCATTGGAACCATCACTCCTTTTATTGCTATATATGCAGATGAGCAGAAGTACAAACAAGCCCAATTTAAAATCTCCAACTTACATACACATCAAGAAAAGACAAACTTAAACTCAACGCAGACTAATTTCCTTATAAAAATGGAGTTCAAATAAGTTAATGCACTTTAACTTAAACTGAAGAAAGAAAACTTACTCTTGCATATCTTTGGCCCTGCTCCCACTGATCTCAGACTTATTATTTTTCAGAGGAAAAAGGCTGTCTGGGAGGCAAAAAAAAGGAAAGTTATAACCTTAAGGATAGAAAGAGCAGTGAAAGTTTTGGTGCCTAATCATAAATAAGTAGACTTAAATCATATTCCTTTTGCCAGTCCGATATAGCAATTCAAATTCCTTTCCATTTATGGTACTAAAATATGGATCTCCTGTGCCATCATCATTGACTAGCAGCTCTAAGCATATACAGAAAATCAGGGGAAAAAAAAAGAAACAAAAAAAAAAAAAAAAAAAAAAAAAAAAAAAAAAAAAAAAAAGGAAAAAAAAAACAACTAATCTCTGCTGCAAAAGTTAGTCCTCTGGTCTTAAAAGCATGGATGCTTTACCAGCTAATGTAAGTAGAAATTTCAACCTTCTACATATTGCCAACCTAAAAATTTGAGAACTACTTGAACTTATAATAAACAAGATTAAAACTGACAAACAAAAAATAATAACCTGTTAAACAGCTGTAAGTGACTCCCTTGTATGATCAAATTATTTCTCTCTGTTCAAAAAGACAATAAAAATAAGATAAGATCTCCTCTCTCCAACAAAAGGAAATGGATCTATATGGGAATGTTTAATATGCACGGTCTAAACCAAGAAAACTAATTTTAGAAAATACAAACATAGCAAATCACTTAATTTTGAGAGAGCTTTAGATCAAATTACTCTTCAAACTCAAAATAGTATATGCCTCCACCCTCCTAAGTTTAACTAATCATCATAATTCAAGCAAATGCCAAAAGCATTATTCTTTTGCTCATTTAACCCAAAACAACAACATAATAAAACCAATCACAAAAAGCACCAAATATTCAAGAGAAAGCCCCAAGATAAAACTAAATGGTCCAAAACGAGGTTGTGGTGTCTCCCAAGTCCAAGGGCAGAAAGAAATTATTTTTAGGTAAAGGTATTAAAACAAGGGAAGCACAAAAAATATTAAAAGGAGGTAAAACAACATGTATAACCCCAACAATACACAACATGAAAAAATCGACAACTATGTAAAAGGTACAGGTTCCTCATTTCAAATTAGGAATATTAAATAAAAAATAAAAGGCAAGTGCTATTTATTAAGTTGGTCACCGATATTATCCACATACAAAGAACCATAAACTAAAATGAAGATAGATGACAGACGCAAGAGGAACGAAAAGAAAAGAAAAAAACTTGTTTCAGTTTCGAGCTATTTGATAATTCAATGACCCTTGATTAAATTTCATAAACATTAACATGTTACAAAAACTCAACAAATAAAAAAAAATTTATTTATTTTAAAAAAAAAAAAAAAAAAAAAAAAAAAAAAAAAACAAAAAGAAAATAGTCATACCTATACCTAACATAGAAGCAGCAGATGAAGAAGTGGTGAAGGACGCCAACTCAGTGGTTGAGGGGCTGTCTACGACCTCGTTATTACGACAAAAACAAACAAGATTTATTTTTCTAGAATCAAAATCAAATAATTACAGAAAATTGGTTAAATAAACAAAATAATTAAATGAACACACCGTTGAATCTGGGTTGGTCTCTGGGTGAAGAGATTGTAGAGAATCTCTGGTATTTGCGTGAGTCAGAGAGTGGTGATGTAGCAGCAAGTGGAGTAGAGAAATCTGGAGGGGAAGAGAGAATGGGAAATAACTCATGGCATGAGAAATCTGAAGGCGGGAGGAAGAGAGGTTGGGTATATGAGTGATTGGTCATCGACGAAGGATTGCGCTGGGAGCGTCGATGGAGGATTTACTTGAAGGCGTCCGTTGTGTTGTGTGGGAGAAGAAGAGAGTAGGTACCAGAGAAAGGAAAGGAAAGGAATTGGGGGAATCGATGGGTTTGGGGGAATTTTTTATTTTTTATTTGCTTGAATTTAGTCTAAAAATCAACCACAAAACCCAAAAGGCCAAAGAAGTAAAACTAGTTTAATACCTTAGATGCCTACCTCTCCGTGATCAGCAACCAATTTGTTGGTCGCTAAATCTGACGAAATTTTTGGGCGGCAACTTCCATTTGCAAACGAACCAAGTAAACTTAGAGACCAAATATTTTGGTCAGATTTAATTTTAGATTTCGCGGGTAGCCAAAATTGAAAAAGGGCGACCAAAATTACATTTGGTCGCGAATTCATTGAACAGCGTCGAAATATTTTGGTTGCCCTTCAAAAAGATTTTGCCGCCAATTAGTTGGTTGAAGTCTTAATCCATGCCTACATCTCACAAAACTTTTGGCGACGAAAATACAAAATGTCCTCGCTAATAACTCTATTGGGCGACCAAAGTTGGGTTGGTCGCCAAAAATTTGGTCGCAAAAAAGGTTTTTCCTTGTAGTGAAGCATTGGGCGATGATGGAGATGCTTCACCATCTAGTCCTCTGCATGTGAAAACTGACGACCTTCTTACTTCTTCGCCTTTCAGATCCGGAAACTGCTCTTATAAATGTTTATAAATTGGATTATGCCACTGCTTTGGAACTGTATATCTGTCTTTCTTAGTCATAAGTTGGTAATGTTTTTGTGTGCTCTGTTAAGCGACATTATCCTAAAATTTTAAAGTTGAGAAAACGAAAGTTTTGGTATCATGATTTGTTCTGCAGCTGAAAATGCAATGACACTACTTTGTCTTACAATTAGTATAGAATGTGATGAGATTGATGAATGTAGACAATGGGGTGTACACTTTCCCTATGTATCTGGTATAGCTGGACAGTCTAATATTAGTGATTTCATTATTGAAACACTTCCACAAATTGAAGCTTTTATCTTCAGTCAAAGGTCTATAGAGCTAAAGAATGGTTAGAATTAACTCTCAAGATCCGCTTGGTATGCAATTTTGGATTAAAGCTAAAGAACACCTTGTGTCTCTGGATATTTAAAATAAAAAGAAAATAGTAGGACATCCCTTCATCACCATATATATTATGTTCCTTTTTTGTGGTCAAAATCATACAAAATTCACATATTATACACATAATTCTCACATATTACTAAATAAAAATAATGTATATTATTAGAAAGGGTATAGCCGCACGGCTATACTCTGTTTTTTAATTGTTTTTAAAAAATAGTACAGCCGGCCCATTTTTTATCGTTTTTGAAAATATTATAGCCGCACGGCTTTACTATTTTAACACGTGGCGTATATGCTGTGGGCCACATATATAGTATAGCCGTACGGCTATACCAGATTTTGAATTCTTTTAATCTATTTTTTAAAAATAGTATAGCCCCCCGGCTTTACTTGTTTGACACGTTGCACTAGGCGCTGGGTGCTTTTTTTTTAAAATATATATAAATCATATAGCCGCACGGCTATACCTGTTAAAAAGAAAATGTATTCCTTGAGTTTTGCCGGCAAAGACCTCTGCCGACGAACTTTCGTTGGGAGAGGTTTTTTTTTTTTTTTTTTTTTTTTTTTTTTTTTTTTTTTGAGGTAAATTTTTTAAAATTTGTTTCTTTACTTTTGTTTTTTGGCCTACTTTTAAAATTTAATATATATATATATATAAAGCAAAAGGCAGAGAATGGTGAAACATTCAAAATACCAAAAGATGGAATTTGTAAGATTTCAAAATACCAAAACATTCAGAAAAAAGACATGCCTTCACCCCCCCACATCAGACATACCTGAAATCTTACAAATTCCGCCCCCCACATCAGACATTTCATAAGCTTTATATAATTCCTGAATCTGCAGTCTTCCTTGCCATTACAGGAAAGGAAATGGCTGCACTGGCTTTTAAACAATGAAATGGATAAAAATTAAACAATGGCATGTAAAAGAGTTGTGTAAATATTTTCAACTATATGGAGGTAACAAGATTGTGTGGAGGCAATTAAATCATAATGTTTTCAACTTTCCAGTTTGCCAGAATAAGCATGGCACATTTAAATCCAGGATCAAAAAAAAAAAAAAAAAAAAAAAAAAAAAAAACAACAACATCAACATCATGAGCATGGGTCTATTTATTAATTTAGTAGTAAGGAAATGGATCATTATGAGAAGAGAAATTGAAAATCTACGATGTTATTAGTACAAAATGAGTACAAATGCTGTTCTTCTCACAGAGCTGACATGTTTTGGTTCAGGCACTAGGACTGGTGACAATATCTGAGATCAATTTTATCAAGGAGCAGAGCCCACCCAAAAAATTATGGTCAATAACACCTTTGCCTTGGATGACATGCGCGAAATCGATGAGTTTGATTTCAGCACCTGAATTCCTCCCTTGCAGTATTGACTCCTTCTCATACACCATCAGCACTGAACAAGAATAGAAATGGAAAATGGTCTGCTCCTCAGACCATGACTTCAGTTCCAACAATTGTGCCAATATCCCAGCAGGACCACCATAGACAGTCGATGCAAAAGAACAATCTGGTTTGATATCTGAATCTGTAGATGGGTTAGAAGACACAAATTTCCTCAGAGCTAACCTAGTATCCTCAACGCTAAAGTTTAGAACACACTTCTTATCAGGCTTCCAAAACCTGTAGATGGTCTCTCTATCTTTCTTAAGACACTTTATGATATAATCTTCAGCAGCTTGCGGTACCATGTTCTGGAACCAATTTTTGCGTCTAATACAGATGGATTGATTCTACTTGAGACAATACCTTCCAATGCAAGGTGAGGATACAAGCCAGAACCATCAGACGCCTCTAAACGCTGAGTGCCATAAAAGACAGGGAAGAACTTGCGGATGTGGTCTGCAATCCTAGTGTCAGTAGAAAATGATGTATAGAATGCTAGCTCATGGGACCACGCCCATCATTCTGAAGAGGCTTGTAAAAGTGCCCTGAATCATCTATACGAGGGCCAAGCTTCCCATCACCGGCTTGGCGGCCAGCAACTTGATGATCTGGGACCTTAAGCATAGTCTAGAACGTAAAGAAAATTATTAGATGTAATCAAATTACAAAGAGGTTGTCATTGTAGGCAGTAGACAATTAATATTTAAGATTTTGTGAACAATAAATATAGTGCCTTTATGAATTCAAGGATGAAAATTGTATTAGCAATAAAGAAACCACTTGAGTATATCAATTACGAGTTTCTCATCTTCAAGAAGTGAGATGGTAGCAAGATGTATGAGTTTTCTATTATGCTAAAACTCACCAACTTAGCACATTCAACTCAAAGATAATTAATGCTTTCTTAGTCCCTATAGAAAAGCAGGTTCAAAATGATAGCAAGATGTATACTGGAGTAAATTCCCGCTATCATGTTTACATACCAAAGCTGTATATCTAGTGACATGCTCTAAGAAATCAAAATCTCCAGAACCCCTCTCTGTGTTTTTGGTTGAATGAATAAGTTTAATATGGGGCTTCTCAAATACCTTATAAGTAAAGAATGAAACTGTTGAAACAGACATCTTATAAAACCATGAGGCAGTTGACGCTTTCTTCAAAATTATGCAGTGTTTGTGTTCATGTAGTATGGATATCATGTCCACTCTTATTTGGGTTAAATTGGGAAATTTGTTATATACCTTCGTGGCTGTTCATTCCTTTTGCTTGCCTTACAAGTTTTTTTTTGGATTGTTTTGTTCATCTGATTAACTTAGGACGGTATTGGTTTTCATGCAAAGTGACTGAAAAAATGGGCTTAGGTTTTCGTATAAAACGAGTGACAAATATAAGAAAGCAATGCAAACTTACTAAAACAAATATAAGAAGGCATTCAAGTTAAAAACTTCACTTAGGAAATGGTTTTATATCAATTTGTAAAAATAAGTCTTTTCTAGACGTCCCTCTTTTGTTTTATATGCTGAAATGCAGAATATATTCTTGATATGGACATCTACGTATGTAGTTTGAATTTTGAAGTGGCTATATATATATTTTTTTTGACGTACCAAATTTATTTATTTAATATTTTTTGAACTGAATTATTATATATATATATATAAGTATATAACTATAAATCCAGGCCATTCTAATAATCTAAGCCTCAAATAAATGAGGCATCAATTTTTAAGTTTTTTGAGTTAAGGGTTTTTTTTTGTTTTTTTTTTTTTTTTTTTTTTTTTTTTTATTTAAATAAATAATCATTAAACATTAAACAATTAGAGTAATTCACTATTTTTTGGTAATGCAATTTTGTTTCTTTCTCCCAACAAAAAAAAAAGGTTCTAACTTGACTTTGTCATTTGTTGTTGTTACATTGAATTGAATACATTTTGCCGATGTCCGTGAGGTATGTCTGAAAGAGATGCAGCCTTCGGCTTAAACAGTCTGGGTATGGGGGCATATCTTGATAGAATAATGGGATCACGGAGAGATGTTGTTACTGCCGCATGGAAGACCTTGAAGTTGAAGAGGGGTTTGGTACAAGGTTTGATATGAAAAGACCTCCATGTTTTTTTCCACCCATCTTATAGTTTATGGTTCCTTTGGATCTTATTTGCATTCAGTGCATAAGATGTTTGCATAGCGGCAGACTAATCAAACTGGGCGGGAGACTAATCAAACCATTGCTGATCATTGACAACTGAATGATGTTGCGCTGCTGATTGTTGACAATCATAACAATAGTCTCCCCTGGCGGATCCAACAATTTTTCGTGTTCATAGTGGAGCACAGAATAATACAATTCACAATTGTTTACGATTTGTCCGTTATGCGGGACTTCATATGAACCTAAACAGTTTGATGATCCAGGCACCTAGACTATTAATGCAATGTAGAAACATGATAACAAAAAAGAGCATGAGACTGAATGAAGTAAACAAAGGCAGCAACCACAAATCATAAGATAAATAAAGAGGAGGCATAATTTTGATCGGAAAAAACGTAGAAATTGTTTCAATGTGTACTTTCAAAAGCACCATGTATCCGACTTACATTCACTGACCCAGACCCAATTGAGTGACCCATCACACCCTCATCAGGCACTTTTGAAAATGGTATATGATCACACCTAGTATCAACTAACATCCAATCATCCGCGCTACCAGCAGAATGTTCACCGCCTCCGGAGTCACCGGCTCTGCTCAGGTGACCAGGTGAGCCAGGAGCAGATTGCGACTCATGGTCGATAGTAGGACAATTGTCGTTGATACAGCCATTTGAAGCGTCCAAACCGACAACAGAAACAGACTCGTATACCTTCTTATAGGGGGCAGAACAAGTAGGAAGCAACTTCTCTGGTTTGGACCCATTGGAAGATGAAATTGGCTCTGTTTGCTTCTCTAGGGCACAATTCGGAACAACATCCATGTTCTTTGCACTACAAAATGATGCTTTCTGTTTGTTGAATAATGAGGGGAGAGGTATGGCCCTCTGCTGCTTGTAAAAGGACATGGCTCTCTACAAAATAATCACAAATCAGAAGTGTTAAACCCATATATTAGGCTATCGCAAAACCAAATACCAATACTTAAAAAAATTGTTGTATTTTTATAACATAATCATGAAAGGGTCCAAATTTCTGCATCACTTTATGTTGGTAACTTGGTACTAATTATACAACATCTGAGTTCATACCTGAAAAACACAATCATTTATGGCAACAAAAAGAGAAGCACTCGAGGCAAGTTTGGAAAGCTCCGCTTGGGTTTTTACAACCTCCTGTAAAACAAAGAAAATACCATTATGATTGAAAAATTAACATTATAGAAGATAAATCACAAGATCCAACTATAAATTCTACCTCCAGATAGAGAAGCTTCAAAGAATCTTCATCAACATTTTGACTCTGTTCTGCATCCATTAGTTTTAGGCATTGATTATATAACTCTGGATGAGTAAGCTCTGCCGAAATATCAAGCTTAGAAAGATATACAAGCCAGAGACGATCATCATCATCCTTGGATATCTTAGAAAGTTCTGGTAATTGTTCAGCAATACTGTTGGATGGTTTAGGTGGTTCCTTCGCTAAAGCATCATCATTTTGATCAATTTCAATCTTCTGACTCTTGTCCACAAGATCATCACACTGGTTCTCTTCATTTGGAACTTGCAGACTTGGTGCTCCTAACCAAATTTCATCCTCTTGTGTTCGTACTGCAGGATCCTTTGCCTGAAGTACAGAAGGCAACTCTGGATTCACACCATCATGTGGGCCCTTCCACATATCTGTTCTTGTTTCCGACCGCTGGCCATCAATTGGTTCTCTATTATGGTTCCAGTCAAGCCTCCCATATGCTAGAGAATTAGTCTGGGCAACACTGTTAATTTCATCCCATGCATACAATGGAGGAGGCTGAGAGCCATCAATAGGATTCTGCCACCCAAATGAATGGTCTTGCCTGAGGAACCTGTCACCATCATGGATATGATGGGGAAATAAAGAGCGTATATCCATCACAGGTCCGACACCATACATTGGCAAAGCAGAAAACTGATGCATAACTGGATGTAAACCAACAGGGGGAGGACCATGACGGAAATGAGTGAAGCTGTTCATTACTGGAGAAGGCCGATTTGGAACAGCACTCCTGGCATTAACTGGAGCACCGTTCCTGGCATTACCATACATTCGTCCAACAATGGAACTATTATTTCTCTTGTATCGATGGCGAGGTGGAGGAAAATTGGACCATGAGTTGCTAGGCAATTGATCAGCTTTGACAGAAGATAAAGAAGAGAAACCATCAATATCTTCCCGGGATAACTCACCTGTAGGAGGTGTCTCTGAAGGCGGCTGCAAATTTCCTTTGCCTTCAGTACCAGATGAGTCTCTGTCCTTGGTAACACCACTCCTCTTTCCAAATTCTTTACTATCAAAACTCCCCTTAATACCAAGTGTGGTAAACTTAGAATCATCAACTAGATGCACAGCAGAAGCACCGGCATCAGGATTCAAGCACCTTTCAGCGGATAAGTCACCCAAATGGCTGTCATCCTTGTCAATCAGTCTCTTAGTAGGCTTAGACAAAGAAGACTGTTTGAGTGCTCCACAAACATCTGCAACCTCCTTAAAATGAAGGAGACTATGCCTTACCCTTTCTTGAGGTTCAGAGTCACCAGACATCAATTCTGCTTCCCTTGAGTGCCTAAAGAAGGCCCACAAGGACATTCATTAATAGAGGTTCTATAGCACAAATATTTTGACAGTGATTGCTTCTTGAACCAAAACCAAAAGACCAAAAGAAAAACAAAAAAGTGAAGCACTAGCAACCATAAGATCGTTATGACATATCCAGACAAACTCCAAGTCCCTATATGCAAATTACTACTTAAAATTGTAAAGAACACATAAAAGTAGTCACAAGCTAATTTGACTGAATTAGAAAAGTTTCAGCATGTCACATTGTTCAATATTTCCCTTCATCATAGAGAATTAATGCCCGACATCCATATACAACTCATTCATCTTATCTTCATGTCACTTATCAGTATGGTCTACAAAGTCCATTTTTGAAACAGATAATTATTGGCACAAAACCATTCATTCCAAAAACTGCTACAACTAGGCACTGAAACATGCATAACCATTCAACACTGAACAACAAATGCCTTTTCTAAGCAAAAACAATGCTTGCTGCAGCAAGCAGACAAAAGATGCCCAAAAAAAAAAAATCATTTGAACATAACAACACTTGCTGCATTCATGAGTACAATCGAAGACTGCATTCTCTAAAAATCCTTACCACATGATGAGAACATAAAATAAGAAGAAAAACAATTACCTGCATTGGTCTTTCGCAACATGAGAATAGGAGCTAGGGAAACTCATCTGTCTTTTATGACTTGCACTAAAGTCTGCATCAACACAGCATTGGTGAGAATCTTCTTTATCATCAACAGACTTTACCATGGCTATGCCTGTAATTTTCTTTTCTGCATCAGCGTGTTCCCTGGTACTTAGGCACCTACTGTAGATTTGGTCCTCTTTATCATCATCTCGCTTTCCCCTATCATCACTGTATCTAGTGTTTTGACCATCGTCATAATTACTACTATCAAATCTTGATTTCTTATATCGAATTCCACCAGCATTACTTTTATCCCTTGTGTACTTAGTACCTGACCTGTCACCATTGTGATCTATTAAGGCATGCTCATCCTTGTGCCTGTCTTCCCAGTGTGTTTTCTTCCAATCAACATCTTCCTTAGGCTTGCTATCCCTGTGCCTCCTATCTCTGTCAGCATCTTCTCCATATCCATCCTTGTAACTTCTGCCACCATCTTTTCCATACTTGACCTTATAACTTCTCTCACCATCTTCTCCATACTTATCTTTATAACTTCTGTCACCACCATCTTCTCCATGCTTTACCTTATAACTACTGTCAGCATCTTCTCCATCCTTATCCTTATAACTTCTGTCACCATATTCTTCATGTTTTACTTTATAACTTCTGCCAACATCTTCTCCATACTTATAACTTCTATCACCATCTTCTCCATACTTGACCTTATAAATTCTGTCACCATCTTCTCCATACTTATCCTTATAACTTCTCTCTGCATCTTCTCCATGTTTAACCCTATAACTTCTGTCACCATCTTCTCCATACTCAACCTTATAACTTCTGTCACCGTCTTCTCCATGCTTAACCTTATAACTTCTGTCACCGTCTTCTCCGTGCTTCACCTTATAACTTCTGTCAGCATCTTCGCCATACTTGTCCTTATAATTTTCATCATCCCTTCTATTCTTGGCATGCTTTCCCGTTGAAGACCACCGACTATCATTATCATCTCTTACATAATCTTTATATTTCGCCTTGTCAACAGAGCCATCTCTGTTCCTCCTAATTTGTTTCTCAAGCTCCTCCTTTAACTCGGGATTTCGCACCTCATCTTTCAAATACCTCTCTACAAAGTGAAACATATAAACTTAAATGATACATGATAACAATCAGGTTGAGTGCAATCAATGTGTATAAAAATCATCAATAGAAACTTTTCAAAGATTAATTATATTCTTATTAAGAAGCATCAAGACCTCAAAGTACATTGCACATTGTACAGTAAACATTAATAGGAACAATAAAATTATTTAAAATAAAAAATAAAAAATTCAAAGCACAGCGTAAACACTCGCAAAGAGAATTCAATCACATTACCCATGTCATCCATTGCTTGTCCAACCTCTGGAACCCTCTCCTTTACATCCTTCCTAATCCTCTTAATATCTTTTCTCCTCTTTGAAGCAATGTACTCGACCTCAGCTGAATCTTCATTATCATCTCTCACATAATCCTTATATTTTCCCTTCTCAACAGAGCCATCCCTGCTCCTCCTAATATGTTTCTCAAGCTCCTTCTTTAGCTCAGGATTTCGCACCTCATGTTTCAGAAGCATCTCTACAAATTCAAACATATATACTTTTTCAGATGCATGATATCAATCAGTTTGACCGCGCTCAAATGCGTATACAAATCATCAACAGCAATGTTGGAAAAGAATAAAATAAAAATAAAAAGTTCAACAAGACGCAGTAAAACCTCAAACTACATTGCAATCATCACCAGAAACAGTAAAAAAAACTCAAAAATCCAAAACTCAAAGCACAATGGAAAATACCCACGCAGAGAATTCAGTCACATTACCAGTGTCTACCGTTCCTCTACGAACTTCTGGAACCTTCTCCTTCCCAACCTTACTCTCACTATCTCTTCTCCTCTTCGAAGCAATGTGCTCGACTTCAGCCGAATATTCGACGCCATTGCCACGCTCTCGCGGTCTTCGCTTCTCATCGGGGCGCGAATCCTTAGAAACCCTAACCGAGCTCTCTTCTTTACAATTCCTGCTCTTTTTCGTTTTTACTTCGCTAACTTCTTCGTCAACTATTTCTATGTCCTCTTCTGAATCCGAGTGGTCTAATGCGGCGTCGTTTGAGCTGTGCTTGCTCTGCTTCTGAGTCCACTTCTGTCGAGAGTTCTTCCCCATGGTTGTTTAACTTCCGCTGAGAAATGAAAAACTTGTTTTTGTTGATTAAAAAGTACAATTGGAAAGAAATCGAGATAGAAATCCAGCGTCGGTGAGAGTGGGTAGCGATTTCATCGGAATCTGACGGTTCAGCAGATTGCCGGCGAGAGAGGGCGGAGGAAAATGGCGGTTTGATGATATGAGAGGGTTTTGGGACGGAGGAGACGGTTGACTCAAGGGGTTTCTGATTGATGTGAAATGACCAGATCACCCTCGTTCAGATTCCCGGGTTACTTGTTGCCTTGTTGGTTTGCCACGTCAGGTTCAGCCATGCCCAACTGGAGGGAACACATTGTCAAATTTTGCACACTGCCATCACTTTTGGGCATTTCGACCAATAAATAAAAAATAAATAAAAAATCACTTTTGGGCCACACAACGAGCCCAATCCTTTGGAGGCCCTTGACGTTTTTCCACACTCTATGTTGGGAGAAAGTCTTAAGTTCGACTGCCATATACGGCAACACACTCTATAGTCTTAGGTTCGACTGCTGTATACGGCAACACACTCACAAATGAATGAAACCGATACATGAGCGTCTCATCTGATCCCACTTCGACATATAGAACAGTTGTACCTAAGACTTTCTCTGAATTTGATAGTCGGTTATTAAGATTTTTCAAAAAATAAAAATTATTGTTTACGAATTAGTTTATTCACAGATGATTGAGATGTAATGAGGAAATAAATGTTTAGTCGACGCAGTAATAGTATGGATATTGTGAGTGATGAGGTGTGTATGTTGAACTGATGGGTACAAGTGTTTGGCACGTGTCTTTTTGCTGGCCTACATCACAGATGAAGACAATAATACTACAGGCATCAAACAGATAGGGAAGATAGAATCATAGGACGTAACCCAACAAGAGTCTATTGTGGCCACAAATTGAAAGTGTTGATATTTCTCTCTTCTTCTTCCTCTCTCTCTCTCTCTCTCTCACTCTCTCTCTCTCCGTAGTAAAACATGGCTTCTAACATAACTTTCCCAAGCTTTCAAGGCCCTCTTCTCAAATCCAATTTTCTTGGAAAAAATGATCTCTCCAATCGTGCTCATAAATCGTCTTTCACAATTCACAAACAGCCATCGATCCATTCCCTAAGGCCATGTGCCAAATTCAATCTATCTGAAATCTTGGGAGGCAGAGGGCTTTGCAATGGTGAAGAAGGTCTGCTACAAGAGCTTACAAGAAATGTTGAAGAACAAAAAGATGTGGAAGAGCAAGTATCAGCAGCCGTTGCTGTTGAAACAGATGAAAAATCAGAAAGTTCTGCGGCAAGTGCTCTTAAAAGCGTTCAAGAAGATGCTTTTGAGAAGGAGCTTATGGGGCTTACTGGGGGATTTCCTGGTGGTGAGAAGGGGTTGCAAAAGTTCATTGAGAAAAACCCACCTCCCAAAAAGCCATTGGTTGCAGACTCTGGATCAACTGCGGCACTTGTGAGCTCAAAGAAGCCAAAAGCACCTGAATTGCCATTGTTGCTGCCTGGTATGATTGCCATTGTGAACAACCCTAATAGCCCTTATTACAAGTACTGTGGCATTGTACAGCGAATCACCGATGGGAAAGCTGGGGTTCTTTTTGAGGGAGGGAATTGGGATAGGTTAATTACTTTCCGACTGGGAGAGCTCCTGCGCAGAGACAAGGGCCCTCCTGGGAAAAATCCCAAATCTGCCGTCCTCGAACCTTTTCTCCAAAACGATTCTGAATGAGTCATTCCCTTTGAAACTCTATCACATGCATATGTATTTGAATTCGGAATGTGCAGTACTGAAATTTCTAGCTTAAATGGCAACCACTTGTTGAATGAGTCATTCCCTTAGAAACTCTATCACATGCATATGTATTCGAATTCGGAATGTGCAGTACTGAAATTTCTAGCTTAAATGGCAACCACTTGTATTGTAAATTGCATGAACAAGACTACAAGAGAAAACATGTCATTAGGATGCCAATCAAGATCACATCTTTATTGTTCAAAGCGTTGTCTATCATTATGAATTTCAGCTAGTAGGTTATTCTTTAAACAATAGAAAGAAGTCAACTCTGGATGCTTCCAGGTGCTTAAAAAGGGTCAAAATATTGTCCAACACATAGTCCTCTGTACTTCAATCTCCACACAGGATCAGATGCAGCCACCCAGCTGCCCAAAGACAATTAACATAAATAAGTAAATAAGTGCAAGCCCAAAGAAATGACAGACAAGAAATTTGATTTCAAGTTTGTCACATTAGCCAAGAAAATTGATTTCAAGTTTATCACATTAGCCCTTTCAAAATTTTGATGATGATGGTTCACTGGACTAGCGCCCATCCTGATCAAGACTCAAATGTTTAGTTCACACTTTATAACTCACATATCAAAAAGAATCACCATTCATCATATACCATAGCTTTTTGGCGAACAATACATGTATCTTAAACAGTGAAGAGGAATTTCCTAACAACTGCTGACTTAGCATAGATTTATTAACTATTAGTGAAACTGAGGAATCCACCACTTTCACAACATTAGCTACATTAGCCATTTTCACCACTTAATACCAATAAATACATGATGCATCAAGAGGCAAGCATTATCCTTTTTATACAGTTGATTATTTGTTTAAGCCTCAATAGTTATTAAAATCACAAGACAGAGGAAGCACTTAAGGCTGCAGAATTCATTGCATGAAAATTTGATGAATCAAACCATAAGTGTAGAACTTCTTGAGACAAAAAGGAAAGTTCCACATACCAAAATGGCCTCAATCTCCTCTTTGGACAGTGGTGTTCGTTCGGGTTGAAGAGAAGCTTTTCCTCCTAAGGTGGTGGTGGTTGAGGCCTTTGAACCGGAGAAGAAAGTATGAGAAGCATCACTAGCCAAAGGTTCTGCTTGAACACGAGATTCGGAACCTGCCAAGTAAATAATTACAAGTGTTAAGAAAAAACACGAACTATGACCCAAAATGAACAACATAGTATCTAAACAAATGTGTATGACTCAATGGAGAAGAACAAGTAAGAAACTTCAAACAATAGCTGAAAATGAGGATTACAATTAAGATGAAGATCAACAATAGATTCATCACGCATGTCCAATTTTGCTACACCGATAGATATGCAACACGCACAATATATGTATTTAATGTTCTTAGACTGTCAATTATGACTGCAAATTCAAACATGATTTCACCTTATCAACAGTTCTCATAAACAGTCCAACTGTCTGATAAAATAGCATTATCCCATACATATTTATATGTTGCCATAATTTGAATCCATATTACATGATTCTTCGAGTCTGAATATTACATGACTGAACATGAGGCAATCAAAACAAGAAAACTCAAAAGTTGGTTCCCCTAAGTTATATGACTCCATATTGTCAATCTAAATTGTAGCATTGCCCACTTGTTTCGCGTACATGTCACCACATCAGAATGAATGAAACCGCCAAATCGATTAAAGATCAACAACTACCCATAGAAGTGGGGATTGGATTTGGGGTTATGTTGCATTAGTTCACCAACCTCAGAAAGTATAACGTTTAGGCCGAAACATTCAGGAACCTGCAGAAAATTCAAAACTTACATTTGAGGCTCCCTCCCCAAGTGGCATCTTCCGGTTAATCCTATTCTCAATGTAATCAATTCCCATATTTTTAGCACTGCCTACACCTTACTGTTTATGCACTTAAACCAACAAACAGAGATTTCCATCCAAAAAAATCGAGGCAGCTAATCTTAGTAAATGAAACCTATCAATCTATTAAGCTCACACAAATGGTTGCCCAGAAGCTTAAACCAATGGCATTGGCAACATGTTACAAAAGCAACCAATTGAAATCAGTCTATAGTTCATACCATTAGGCGTTTTGGAGATATCACGTATCTAATCTGTGATTCAATGTGAATACAGAGAAAGAAAATAAGACATCAATAAAGTTCCCAAATTTACAAGCAACGCACAAATCTTAGGCCAATTCAACAGAACCCATAAGAATTGGAACAAAAATACAGCATAAATTCAAACACATATGCACATACATGCATAGACCTTAAAGTTAGTGGAGAGTAAAATCAATATGTTGAGGTGAAACCAATGGTTCAGAAAGCGATTAGAACGACAGACCAGATGGTTTGGGATGTCTCTGAGGAAACTTGATGCGAGGGATTCTCTTCATCGCCTGGGCTCCACCCATCTCTCTCCCCTTTTTTTTTCCCCTTCCTTCTGAGCAATCTCTCTCCTCTGTTGAAACGACGAATAAAAAAACTTAGAAGTCTAATAGTCCTCCCACAACGATATGGGTCACACCCGTTTTGTTAAGAAAAGTGTTGGAAACTTGGGACAAATAAAAAAGTAGAATTTCGACCAAAAATAAAATATAAAAAAGTAGAATAATCTTTTACATCTTAGTGCAAATTTTTCATAACAATTTACGCATCTAACTCTCAATATTTTCCTTTTAAATCTTAGACGAAGTATAAATTTCAAATCACTATACCATGTTAATTACAAAAAAAAATTTGCCAATTAGATTAGTTATTTTGCTTACAAAAAAATTATTTAGTATTTTGAGACAAATTAAAATTTTGATATTGAAGTAAGGAGCTTGTTACTCAAATGATTAAGATGAAGATCTAGGTTTGATTCTTCCTCTTTCAAATCGTTTATATATAAATAATATATTTTTAAAAAAAAAGTTTTGGAATTGAATTGGGACACATATCAAAATTCAAGTACCAAAAAAAAAACCCTAAAAATTCTTTTGCATTTTGGGTTGTATAAGAATCACCAAGTGGTGTTTGTGGCTCCAGATCGTACACCAACTCCGTACATATAACATAAGAGCATGTCTAATGTAAGGGCAATGTGTTGTTTTAGCCCCCTCAAAATGGTACTATTCACAAAATCTAGCCTCTTAATGTTTTTGTGGGTCTAGTGGAGGTGAGGGGCTAGGGGCAAATTCAAAACTTGTTATTTTAATTTATTATTATTTTATTTGTGATAAAAATCAAAGCATAAGAAAATCAACACAAAATTTTATTTTTGGAAACAATTTTGAGCCATACTTTGGAACAACAATTTTGAGCAAAATGAAAAAAAGACAAACAAGTAAAAATGTTTGGAGTAATTGAGAGATTTTTTAGGTGAGAAGGTGATGAACAAATGGTTAGGTTTTAATAGAGTTGTGAGTAAGGTCTAAAATATCAAGGGTTTCGGAAACATTGGGAGTCCAAAAATATGAAAATATCAATAGAAATATCGAAAAATTATTGATATCGGTAAATATTGAATAAAAATCATGGAAATTGTAAGAAAAACTTGGGAATTTTGATTGAAACTTTAGATGATGTTTATTTAGTCAATTATCTATTATTTTATCACAAAAAATTAGAAGAAAATGCATTGCATGGTGGGTTTGACTTATTTAAGTTGATTATAGAGCGAGCTTACAAATATTGTGAGTGTATTATATATATATATATATATATTAAACACAACATAATCATTTATGTATAATGATTTTCAACAATTTTTTATACTTAATAAATTGCATAGTAATATACATGAGTGACTTAGTATCACATAGAGTTCCTATGAGATTCAAATTTTTCATTTCATCATATCTATGTGTAGAGTACGTGTATTGTGAAAAGTAGCCATAAAATGATAAATCCCCAAAATAGTTTTGTATGTAATTGTTATAATGTCACCCATATGAATTTGAGATTGGTTGACATTGTCCATTAGCAAAATTATTTGAAGATTGAGTCTCGGATTCTTTCTATTAGCTGTGTGGTGGATAAGGCGTTACAAGAAGAATAGAAGTGGTTGGTGTTCAAATCCCCCTATGTGCATGCATAAGCCTTTTCAATTTTTTTTTCTATTCAATGTCCATATCGTGATATATTGACCAAATGCTTATGATAATTGAAGGATATTATCGGTGCCAAAATTTCTGCGATATTTTCACAATATTATCGATAATTCTACTATAATTACATGGATATGTTCCAAAATATCCCCTACCCAAAAAGGATAATATCCTCAATATTTCAGTCATTAGTTGAGAAAAAAAAAAAAAAAAAAAAAAAAAAAAAAGAGCAACTAGCCGTTGGGCTGTTGCATTTGAGAGCGCCACGTGGCAGCTCCTCAACGGATGTTGGGGTCAGATTTTGCTGCTCAAAACATGCATTAGAAAAGTGATTTTTTTTTTTAATTTAAATTTTTTGGTTTGAGACCAGATTTGGACCTAACCCAAGCCAGATCAGTCCCATTTGATTTATTTTAGTCGAATCCATATCATCAGTTCCATTAGACATGCTCTAACAATTCAAAATTTGACCCCAAGTGCGAATTTGGGTCGAGCCTAATGTATAAAAGGGCTGGGCCTAAGCTTCGATTTCTTGGTTAGTTTAAACTCACCAAATCCAAATCCAAATCACAATCTATATAAGCGAAAACTATATAAAGAGTTTGGGATTTTCCTGTGCTTTGGCAGTTTGGATACGTGATTGAATTGGTCAATCTAGTCATCCTCTCAGCTTTTTCTTCTTCTGATATATACTAATTTTTTCCGATTATTAATTTATTACTGATAATTTCTAGATATTGCTAAACTATATTTGAGATAGAAAAAACTTGGCTCCTTAAAATTAAGTAGGAATTCCTTCTTAGAACCAATGTGTTTTTGACACGTGCTAAATTATTTTATTTTTTATTTTTTATTTTTTGTTGAAACTTTGTAAATGTTTTTACAATTTGACAAGTATCAAAACTGCATTGGTTTTAAGGAGGACCTCCTCTTTAATCTTAAGGAGCCAAGCCATCCTCATCTGAGATTTGGTTGTAATAATGGATTGATCCATGATAATTGCAATATTTAATTTTAGAGTCATTATTCCTTAGTTGGACAATCACTTTTGGTTAATTTAAATATTAAAAAAAAAAAAAAAACACTTGTTTTTTTTCGTCCGTTTGTTAAATTGTCATGTAAACTTAATATTGGGTAAAACCATAAGAACCCAATCCATGACCCAAGATCTTGAACTTCATGATTTTCACAATAACATTAGGCGGAAATTCAATTAGACTTAAATTACATACATACCTTGAATGATTAGTCTTCTACAATATCAAGATATTTGTCTTGAGCAATCCGTAGGCGAGTCGTCAGTGTGGAGGAAATAGATTTCTCTCTCTAGCCTTTTGCACGTTTAGAAAACCTTAATCCGTGTCTTCATCAGTGTACACATAAGATGGGTATGTGCACTATTATAGGCAGAGAGAGGACCCGTTTCCTAGTGAAGCCCATAATCAATTACCACCCATCACGGTAATAATAGGAAACTACTTCTCTTTATTTGACCAATATAATTATTCTGAATAATATTTATTAAACCAATTAAACAATTTATTTACCACATAGGTCACTTCATGTGGGCCACACAGAATATTTATAAAATATTCTTACATTTTCCCACTTTGCCCATATGATAAATTTACTTTATGGTTCAATAAATAAACATTAGGCGCGCGATACATTCAGAATAATCCTCATTTTCATATGGTCGACATAAATACCACATTTAAGCAAATGTCTAATGCGAGTCATGGCGGTTATGCATCAATAAGCGATACAGTCCCTTCCATGTACCCACAACATTAGCAAATCGCCTAAAACAGTCCATAAGTGAGAAGTATCATAAAAGGTCCAATAATGTCTTTGTCAGAGACTACTCCTGTTATCATTCATCCAATCTCATTCATTTATACATATAAGGGAAAACAGAATATAACAGAAACATATTCAATTATTGAGCTCAAAGTGTCAAAATAAATAAACTGTCATTATGCAAACCACAACTTCATAAATACTATCATGGTTTATAACCAAGAACAGTCCTCTGAATATAACTATTAATGTCTTTGGCCAAAACCTTTTACTTGGTTTGCAAGCATAAGTTTTGTCTTTATAGACACTCTTTGTTTTCTGAACCTCCTTAATGACAAGGTATTTAATTCCACTATGTTTAGCACTCTTAGAACACTTGTCATTCTTGGAGAAAAGGACAATTGCGGTATCAACATAAATTCTTAGCGGCGTGGCAATAAAACATAAACACCAAGTCCTAAGATTAAAACCCGCAACTTCAATTCATCAACTATGGCCTCAAAGCAAACCATATATGCATAATGAATTCTCATTGTACTGTTAATGTTCCAATTCACTCTTATGGGCATTGCATAATGCTAAACTTGTCCCCTTCCTGAATGGAGCAGCATTAATGGATAAACATTATTCCATATCATGTCTCTTTAGAAACACTTACAATATATGCTTAATGAGACAAACTTAACAATTCATGTGATCCATTCTAGAATATTTCAATTCCAATCACAAAAATTGTCTCATCCATATATTTCATTCAAGGTTCTTAGAGAAAAGCTTAATGGTTTTCAACAATGAAAACCAAGACCAATACATAGCAAGCAAAATAGCATAAATATCCAAAATGAGAAATATAAACTTACTCCCACTGACCTTGAGATACATACAACAATTAATAGTGCTTTCATTAAAATTAAAATTATTAATTTTATATAATGAATTCTTCAGTTTACAAAGCATGTGTTTCTTTCAATAAAAGAAAAGTCCTCAGGTTCATTCATGCAGACTTCTTTATTAAACACTCATCTAATCTTTTATCTTTCACATCCATACAATGTAACTCTAATTCATAATGAGTTACAAATACCATTATATGATTCCAAGTGAGTCATTCTTAGAAACAAGTGAGAATGTCACTTTATAACATATGCCCGTCTTTCTCAGTAAAATCGTTGGCCAATAGTGTGTCTTTATATCCATCTATATTGCCATTGGAGTTGTATGTAGTCATAAAGACACTCTTTACACACAACTCGTCCTTTGCAGGCAAATCGATGAAATCACAAACTTCATTCCGGCAAATTGATTTCAACTCATCATTCATGGCATAAATCTATTTAGTATAATCAATATATGTTTAACGACATGTGAAAGTAAAATCAAAATCTTTCTTAACACTCATAGTCAGATTCTTGTAGATATACCAAGTAATCACTTAAAAGTAGCAGATACCAACAAACTTAATGTCTTGATATCATCTTAATGCTATTCTTTGTGGGTCTCTACTACACTTTTACTGGTGAAGCAGTCATAATGGAGTGATTAGTTATTCATTAATTTGTTGTTCATTGTTGTTAAAACTGTTCACAACTATAGAAACAACAATTTCACTATGAAGTATGCATGCAAAAATTTGCACACTAACTTTTCATATAAAACCAATTTTCTTGGTTATCCACTCCCACTAATTTCACCATTTAAAATGAAACTGACGTTACTGATTTTCAATAATCTCATACCCTGGTTAGGACAATAAAACCTATACCATTTGTACTTTTCTAGGTAACCAATAAGGTTTATCAGAAAACATTTGAAGGTCCAATCCCTTCTCATGTGAACATTACATTCTTACTCCCACTAAGCAACCCAAAACATAATGGTGCCTTAAATTGGATTTCCTTACTTTCCGCAGTTCAAATAATTTCTTATTTGAAACTGCCTTAATAGGAACCCAATTAGCATAATAGTTGTAGTAAGAACATGTATCCATAATGGTATACGTAATGATAAATTACTTCATATACCCCTAACCAAAGGACAGAGCATTATAAGGTGAACACATGTTTTATAAATAATTTCAGTTAGCTACAAATTTATTATGGGCATCTTTCTTGGTGTATTTAAATTGTTTTCCTTAATACAATCCACTTACACACCAATAAGAGATCAATAAAATATAGGTTCAGAAGAACCTCATTCCTTACTGATCCCTTAGTTCTTTCTCTGAACACATTACCATTCATTTATGCCATAAGAACATTAAATTTCAATTTGTCAAATAGCAGTCACTTCTAAATCAATCATGCAAAGTATCAAAAACATTTAAAGAAAAAAGTCATCATACTTTAATTTCGTAAATCATTAATAGAATACCACAATTAACAAAATAGGCATTCTTTAAGAGACTAAAACAATCATCACCAAACTTTAAAGGAAAAAACATTATTGCCAAATTCCAAACAAAATTCCAACTAGATTTGAAATAGTAAGAACATAATACGCTTTCAATAAATCTAAATCATGGCCATTAAATTGAATATATAATTCCAAAAGTGAAATCAAAAGCAACTTTGCATTAAACTATTAGAAACATGAATTTAGCACATAATTTAATCCATCAAACATCATAAGAAATTCATCTAAAAAATTGATTCGAAACACATAAAAGCGGAAGACTTATCTTTCTTTTCGAATCGTATTGTGTAAATGCTTCGCCTTCTTCATAAGTAAATTGATTTATCTTCTTCATCCAAAAGACTTCATTTTGCTGCTAATTTGTCTGCTCAATAATGCACTCATTCATGCTTCGCATACCATCAAATTTCATGATGGTAAGGTCAGACATATGGATTTGTTAACAATTCTCAAGAATTCTTAGCATTACTTCACATTAATGGAGCATAGCCTTAATTATTTGCAATGTCTATTTATTTGCATAAACATAAAGCTCAATATGTTTGATCTTTTACAGGCTCTTTAATCCTCATGCTTTACCATAATAGCAATGAGTTTCTCATTTGGAAATGCCTACTCAAGACCTAGAACACTTTGGTGATACTAGACTTGTTCACAACAAAATGAGAAATTAAATCTAAACCAGATCAAACATAGAGTGAAGCGAACCTGAAAGCGACCTTGCAACATAATTTGTAATATGCTCAGAATACTAATGCTTCGAGTGACAAACACGTACAAACATATATAAGACTTATATAGTCTGACCATCAATAGACGTATCATCATAACTCTCCTTTGGGATAAATTATGACAGTACCAATAATTAACATTATGATGCATCTATTTTACATTATTGGTAAATGTATATTCCTAGTTAGAAAGGCTTTGATATCTTTGGATATCCAAAACAATCTAAATAAGACATATACAAGTTGCTCATTTATATCACCAAACATATGAATAGTGGATCCACCTTTGGGTGATCCGTATATCTAATGAATGATGAAAATCAATACTCATGACGTTCGAACCTTGAAAACATTATAAGGTTCAACCTCATTTATATGCATCCTTAAATCACAAGTAATTGATTAATTATCATTTAATTTGATATTCAAGAAACATTCTAGCTTGGCCACTTTGGTGACTACAAACTATTCATAATATATGAACGTCAAATTAAATTAACAACTGTATTAGTTAATCAATTACATAAGATTAACTAATACACTTTAATGATTAAATCGATCATTAGATTAATTAATTTGATATTCAAGGAACGTTCTAGCTTGGCCACTTTGGTGACTAACAAACTATTCATAATATGAATGTCAAATTAAATTAACAGTTAATCGATTACATACGTTTAATTGATACACTTCAATGGTTAATCGATCATTAGATTAACCGATAATATATGACCTCTTTAATACAGTAGTGGGCAATAGAACTTTAGATTGCCTCCCCTCATAAGACAAATACAGTGACAATAAAATACAATATGTTGTTTATATATATATATATTATAATAACTTTAATTCACTATACATGTCTACACCAGAATCATACCATGGGTTTCATAAGTGGTCATATATTTAATAATACATCAATTCATTAGGATTTCACATAATAATATAAATTGACAGTAAAACTGGTTTATTTCTTCCTGTCAGCATCATAATTAATGAATCCTAAATTTTCCAATTGACATTTCGTTCTTCAATTTGAAAATAATCATATAGCCAAGTAAATGCATAGCCATTAGCACTCCAATTCATAATAGCAAATGAATGTTGCAAACTCGAATTCTCCTCCCTATGTAATAGACAATAATCTATGTCTCGTTCATATGCATACGATATATGGAAATCGAGAGGAAAGAAAAAAAAAAAACCTGCATGCTCTGTATGTGTACTTTAATATAAAATAAAACAATTTCTATTTTCACTCATTATACATCCAAATTATTCGTACCCTTTTGTATGAATTCATTAATGAAAACACAATAAAAGAATTTCGACATAGCCATATATGCAAATCATAGAACCCCTTAGGTGCAATTGTATTCATCTGTAAAACACTCATTCATAAGCAAACTACAAGTCATATTGCTTAGATACTCATGCAATTCTTGTATAAAGTGATTTGACATTAATTTACAATGAAGAACCCACAGCAACAGCCCCCGACAACATTATTAATTTATAACCAGTTACAGTTATAGAATCAAGGTCAATCACGCATACACAATCTGTTCTTTCATAGTTCAATTAAATTAATAAATCAAACCTTATCATCGTAAGGAAAATCATGAGAGTTCTCAACCTTGCTCTGATACCACATGTAAACTTAATATTGGGTAAAACCATAAGAACCCAATCCATGACCCAAGATCTTGAACTTCATGATTTTCACAATAACATTAGGCGGAAATTCAATTAGACTTAAATTACATACATACCTTGAATGATTAGTCTTCTACCATATCAAGATATTTGTCTTGAGCAATCCGTAGGCGAGTCGTCAGTGTGGAGGAAATAAATTTCTCTCTCTAGCCTTTTGCACGTTTAGAAAACCCTAATCTGTGTCTTCATCAGTGTACACATAAGATGGGTATGTGCACTATTATAGGCAGAGAGAGGACCCGTTTCCTAGTGAAGCCCATAATCAATTACCACCCATCACGGTAATAATAGGAAACTACTTCTCTTTATTTGACCAATAATTATTCTGAATAATATTTATTAAACCATTAAACAATTTATTTACCACATAGGTCACTTCATGTGGGCCACACAGAATATTTATAAAATATTCTTACATGTCATTCTGAAATAAGTTTATATATATATATATATATTTTTTTTCATTCAATTAAAGTTGATTTGTTTCTTTTTTTAGGAACTATTGTGAATTTTGTACAAACCAAAAACAATGAACCTTGACTAATTATGTTTTGAGTAAACACGTTGGCTTGGACCTTTACTAATTATGTTTTGAGTAAACACGTTGGCTTGGAGTTCAATTTCCCTATGCCCTCCTGGTTCAAATTTCAAAACAACAAATATTAAAAATGAAAATAAAAAAGTTTTTTTATTGTATTTTTTATAACTCCCTGCAGTTTCACGGGCTTATTGATCTTGTTTGGGTCTTCATTCACATTAACAATTTCCTTGGAAATTAGGTCTATTTCTTTTCTTCCCATTCTCCCAAATTCTATCTTTGACTTGTTTTGTTATCGAGAAACACGAGGATCATAACAGAATTGATTAATATTTTTGGATTGATCTTTGAACAATATGTTATGCGTTCTTCAGCAAACAAAAGAATTACTAATTTATTTTGGAAATTAGTTTAGGGATTGAGAGGGAGGGAGAGAGTTGTTTTGTTTGTGTTTGTGTGTTTGTGTGTTTGTTTGACTTCAAGCCAAAACCAGAGAGATCAAAGGGTTTAAGTGCTAGATTAACCCTTGAACCAGATGCGTAGGCTACAATCCCTCGAAGGTGGAGGCGAAGACATCGATATGGTAAGGGTTCAGACTGTGGAAGAGTGCCAATTTGGGCTTTATTATTGTTTCAACTTCTGAAAGGATTGGGAGGGTTTGAACTTTGATTGATGGGGTATTTCTCATTGGATGGTTAGAAAGCCAGAGGAAGAGGATGAAAGCCCCTATTGGTTCACGGAATGAATTTGAAGGAAAATTATTTTCCATGTCATTTTCTAAGGGATGGGAAATAGAAGATTCATTTCCCATATTTAGTAATGCTAGGAAAGTGAGTTTTACCAAAGATCAAACTTTTCTTTTGGAGGGCTTTGACCAATTCCCTGCCCACACTAAAAACCTGTTTCAACGCAGAGCTTGGACTACTCCAGTCTGTACTTTATGCCATTCTTGTGATGAGTCACCCGAACATGCCATTCTCTTGTGCCCTTGGACTGCTTGTGTTTGGTTTGGCATCCCCTTAAACTACTGTGTGAATGTTCAAAGCGTGACTTCCCTTGACAGATGGCTATTGGGAGTTACTACTTCTTTGGCTCTTTTTGAAGAAAGGAATAAGGACATTCTTGTTTTGGTGGGCATCACGTGTTGGGAGATTTGGAAAGAAAGATGTTCTGCGATTTTTGAGGGTCGTCCCCCCAAGCCCTTACTCTGTTATTAGAAAAGTTATTTCTTTATGGGGAGAATTGTGTCCTTCCTCGAGTGTTACTACTGGTTCTACTCCCTCTTTTTCTCCCCCCCATGCTCTCTGGAGGGTTCCCCCACATCCTTATATTAAGGTTAATGTGGATGGAGCTTGGAAAAAGGACTCTCTGCAGGGTGGTGTGGGTTGCTGCCTGCGTGATTCTTGGGGCAAACTGTTGGCTGGTATGAGTAAGGCTACTCTCCGGAACTCTGCGGTAGAAGTGGAAGCGGAAGCTGTTTTGGAAGGGCTAATTCTAGCAAAAGAGAAAAATTGTCAGAAAATCATTCTAGAAAGTGATTCAATGGATGTTGTCTCTTGTATGAGGAACGAAAATCTGCGCGGCAATTGGAGAATCATCCCTATTATCTTGGAGATCAGGAGACTCTCTTCATGGTTCACCTCTGTCAAATGGGAATGGGTATCTCGCCAAGCAAATCAAGCTGCTCATGCTGCTGCAGCTCTGTCAAATATGAGGGTGCGAACTTTGCGTTGGGCCTCACAGCCTCCTCCCTCTATGGTTCGGGTATTGGCTAAGGACGGTTTGCCGTGCCCTCCTAGTAATTAGTTTCTGGTTATTAGATATGTTTACTTATTGTATTTCCAGTTTCCATCTCCTGGGAGGTATCTTTGGCCTCCCTGTGATTTGTTTGTATTGCTCTTGGGTTCTCCCTGTCCTTGTATGCTTCTTCTTGCAACTTCCTGTTTGGTGCTGCTGGAGCCTTCTCTGGCCTTTAATGAAGTATTATTCAGACCAAAAAAGGAAAGTGACATGGAGATAACACTTTATTTCCTTTCTCATGTTTGTTTTGAGTAAGAATGGAAAACAAAGTTGGTATAAATTTTCAATTATACCCATATTAAATTAAATAAATAAAAAAGAATGCATTTAATGATATATTGTAATTCTAAATTGTTAATGGGGACAAAATGGTCATGAAAAATGTGAATTTAATGTTGGTTCATTTCCCCCCTACTTTCCCATGGGCCATGCAACGATTACCCATGCCTGAATTTACCAAACATGGGAAAGTAATTGATTTCTCATCCCCAAGTCTCCTTTCCCATGAACCAAACGGGGCCTTAAAGTACATTAAAAACAAAGTTTTCTTTTCAATATGTGTTTTATTATTCAATATCAATTCGAGTTAACCGTTGTGATCTCTCTGTTAAGTATGGGATAGGTGGCGAAATATTAAGAAAGGAACAGGAAGGCACTAGGAAATTGGGCACATGAAAATAGAACTCGTTGGCTTGACGGTGCAACCATGAATGGTCTCAGGATTTCAAATTTGACTAGAGTCAATTTAACTTACATATAAACATACTAAGTAGATAGAAAACTCGACCATATAATGTAATTTCATTAATAACAACAAATAACAATACACCTAGTCAAAAGGGGGACATAAACAATTTCTTCTACTTTTCTTTCTTTTTTTCCTCTGGCTGTGCATTCTTTTTTTCTTTTTTTCCCTATGTGTAGAGATGTGCAGCTTTCCTTTTCTCCATTATATTCTCCACATGCATTGCAAGGAATTCCTTAGGATAGTAGCTTATTCAATTGGCTAGGCTATAATTTTTTTATTGCTTGGGGAAAAAGAAAAAAAACAAGTCACCTGGGATGTAGCCCAGGTTAGCCATGCCTATGGTCCGTCCCTGCATGCAACTTATGTCTAATTATTATTATTATTTAAGGCCAGTTTGGAATTGCTGTGCTGTGAAAATAATAGCTGTAAAATTTGTTGTGAGAGAAATCAACTGTGAGAGAAAGCAATTTGGCATTTGGTAAACTTTTTGTTAAAAATGTTATTGGTACAGATTCTCGTATAATCAAAAAATGATTGCTGCATAATCATTAAACATAGCGCCTCTTCGAAACTAATTCTTGCATAATCAGAAAATGAAAGCACCTTATTAGCTGCTTTCCCTTATAGCTTTCTCTCACAACAATTTTTAACAATAAGTAATTTTCTCATAGTTAATCAAACAGATTGGGTTTCCCAAATTTTTTTAAAAATCACTTATCACCCCAAATAAGTAATACCAAATGGGCACTTAGTGTTTATGACTTTTTTCTTTGTAATTTATTATATTCCAACGAGATTTCCAATCATTCATAAATCAATACTAAGAATTTGGTGTTATTAGATGATTCAACTACTATAGTTGTAGAGAACTTATTTTCACACTCACGACAATAATTTAACTCTCACACTCTTCCGCTCTTGAATGAAAAGAGAAGAAATCGTTAATTTGAATAATTCAAGAGTCCCAAATATGAGCTAGGTGGCTTGAGTGAGAACAAACCACTTAATTGTGTTGATGTTGAACCTCATCGTGCCCCTTTCTTCAAGTTAATTGACATTATTATTTTTGTAGTTTTTCAAGATGTCAATAGTTGGAAGTTTAGGTGCTGAGATCAAATGCATTGACCAGTCAAGTCTGCCTTACAATTCGCAAGACTATCCAAAGCGCGTATTGAGAATCACAGAAGACAAGACACCATGATCAATTTCAATCACATGTATACTTCTTCCAGCTGACTAATTAAAGTTCATGAGCGTCACTGATATTTAACAGTTTGGTTTTGAAAATTGAAATGTCCATCTTTGGTCATGGTTAAAACGTTCTATCACGCGAAATTGAATTTCCAAGTTCGATTAGTTTTATTGGGTTGTATGGCTCGATACAAATTATGAAAAACGGAAATAAGCATAATCAAAATAGGTGGTCTATTACTAATTACATATTGTCTTTTGAATTAAAACATGACACTATTTATCATCGTTTCACCTAAGAAAAACATGACACTATTTAAAGAATTCATTAAGCCTAACATCACCCAAATAATGCATCTTTTTATCCTATAAGCTAGATTGCTTTTGTTTTCAACACATAAAACCTGACTAAAATATCAGAACTTACTCTGCACTAACTACAAATTTTATTCTCCAACTAATTGTGGCAACATGTTTTAGAGCCCCAAAAAACATGAGCTGTTAGGAATGAAAACAAGCCAAAACAAGTTTGAGGGCACCCGTCCCATCTTGGATTATTGTTTTTAGAGATATTTAGTCATGTACGCATTCTTAGTACTAATACTATAGATAAATCCTACACTATTTAATTTAAACAAAAAAAAACCAAAAAAAAAAAAAAAAAAAAAAAAAAAAAAAAAAAACAAAAAAAATTGGCCCTATTGAATTTTATTTTGATTATTAAATTACTTTGGATGCCCTATTGAGTGTTTTGGTCTTTTTTATGAGGTTTTGGAGTTTGGTTTGCTTTCAGAAATTAATGGCAAATTTGTAATTTAAAAGAAGTTAAAAACCCTTTTGTTATGTTGTAAATGAGTTTTGGGTGTGTTTCTAAAGTTCATTTCATATATGGTTTTTTATATATAATAATTTGGGCTCCTATATTGGGTATAATAGTGAATCTCCTTTGTTTTCATACATAAGTAAAGATTTTAAGAATTAAGTAACTTACCATTTTTATTTTTATTTTAATAAAGTGATATTCCAAATTATTCTAATTTATCTACAAGGAGAGAAATTCGAAGTCGAGTAGAAAGAGACACAAAGAGAATTGACCAATTCCTTCATTTAAAAAAAAGAGCATTGACCAATTCCTTCTTAAAAAAAGAAAAAAGAAAAAAAGAGCATTGACCAATTCCAAAATGGTATTTGTCTGTTTCTACTGCAACATTTGCTTTGCTTGTAATTCGGGGTCCCCTTAGTCTTGAGATAGTCTACCACTTGAGCATGACTGGTAGAGAGAGTTTGTGCACGCCTCATGAATCATGATGCACTCGCAGAAATTTTTGCCCACCCAGGTGGCCCTACCCCATCTTACACTCCATGATATCTCTGTCTCATCTATATGATCAATTAATTGCTATATATACACATATCCTCAACTTCATTATGCATCATCTATCTATCTATCTATCTATCTATCTATCTCTCTCTCTCTTTCTCTCTCTCATAAAAATGTTGAGCTCTTTCCTTTCTTTGTTCAATAGGATCAAAACAATAGAAGCCATGCTAGAACTTGAGAAACCCAATGTAAAAAATTTTATATACAGAGATGAGTTAAGTAAGAAGCCATTTTCAAAGAAGCAAAAGATGAATGGCAGTACTTGCTTTGATAGTTCAGAGCCACTGATCAAGAGGGAATTGGAAGATGGGAAACTTTGTGGGGGGAGATCAAGCTATGGCAGTGCAGCTGAGGAGAAAGGAGAAGTGATCAGAGTAAAGATTAAGATGACGAAGCAAGAAGCGGCACAAATGCTTTCCAAGTGCAAAAATGGAGGGGTTCTCGAATTCAAGGATGTAACTTGTGCGCTTGCGCAGATTCCAACGGATCGTGTTAGTATTGACCCGTCACCAGTCGCTTGCTGTGGTGCTGGTCCGGCAGTTCTGAAGACCATCCCTGAAGAATACTGACAGCAAATATTTTTACGTACTTGGGAGTATTGGTTAATTTTTTTTGGCCTTCAGTATGTAGTACTAGCAAATTAGCATGTGAAATTTCACTTGAAATATGTAATTTGTAATTACCTGATGATTATGTTCTGATGATGATGCAGTTTTCGTTGGATCTAATGAAAGTTATAATTTACTCAATTACAGTATCAAGGTCCCCACTTTATTCAAGGCGAAGATGTCCTTTTCTATCGTTTATATAGTTTACATAGGTTTGTCCTCAGATATATATAGGCCTAGTTGCAGGCTTAAACTGTAATTTCCACTCTCAAAACTGTTTAGAAAGGGTGTTCGGTTTTCTTTCTTTTTATGAGTTTTTTTATCGCAAAACATCTCTGTGATACACGAAATTGTCACATCTGGTCCTCAAGATATATTTTTCTTCTGTTATAGATGGTCTTGCACGTTAACCTCCGCACATCCAATTGGTCTCTACCGCCGCACACCCACTTCATGTCGCTTGAGCTAAGGATGATGCGCTTCACCAATTTGCACGTATTATGTAATTCAGCAATTGAAATCTCACCACAGTTTTTTAATAGGGCTTTGCCACTAATTGGATCCCAACATACCCAATGATGGTTTGGATATGCAAAACATCATGAGATATCTGGCCTATGATTTCTTTCGGGTGTATGGGCCTTAGGGAAAAAAAAAACAAGAATCTGTCTGGTTTGGGTTGCCTAAATGATGCAGAATGCATATTATTAGTTTTCCTAATTCTACTTGGATTAGTTTTCCTATTTTTAGTTTTCCTAATTCTTAAGATTCCTTCTTGTTAAAAGATCTCGTATTAGTTAATTTGTTTTCCTAATTCTTAAAGATTCCTTCTTGTTAAAGGATCTCTTATTAGTTAATTTGCTTTCCTATTTCTTAAAGTTTACTTTCCCTTTTCCTAGACTAAAAAAGGTTTTGCCTCTATAAATAGAGTTGTTTGTAATCTTTTAAGGCAGACTTGATTAATGATAAATTTCCTTACTTTGAACTCTCTGATTCCTTCCCCTTCCCTTCGTCTCTTCGATCTCTAATTCTTCTCTTCGATCCCTTATTTCTTCTCTGTTCTATTGCTCAAGTGTTTACTCTAAACCTACGGGCTGTTTACTCTAAACCTACGGGCTGTTCTACATCAATTGGTAATCAGAGCCTTCCCTCACTTTCGTTTGCGTTTGCTCTCTACCATGGCACCCCAAACCGTGGCCAGCCTTGCTGAACAGTTTCATGCGTTTCGAGACAAAGTTTCTGATGATATCGCTGGCATGGAAACCCAACTCTCCAAACTCAGCGTTGACTTCAAAGACGAGTTGGTACAGGCTCACACACATCGTGCTGACCTCAAAGACAAATTGGTACAAGCTCACACACATCGTGCGCAGACGGACCTTGCCATCACCAAACTCCAAGACTCCGTTCAGTTGCTTATCAATCACTTTCGGGCTGGACATGCTGAACCTTCTACCTCCGTGGTGCTCTCGAGTTCATCTACGCCACCACCGACAAGTGGCCTTTTGCCCAATCCACCAGTGGATCAAAAACTCAAGGCCGTGCCATACGGCATGCCGCATAGCTCCACTGGGCCCTCGCTTGATGAGCCCAAGACTCAATTGGAGGCCCCCTTTTCTTTTGGGTCCCTTCCACCGCTCCATTATACCCAACACACAACGGGCCCTTCTACAGTTCCACTTGATCAAGGCACTCATCCCCCTCGTCGTTTTGACAACGATGTCATCCGCCACATCAAGCCGACCGCTCCTACTTTTGATGGTCGTGGAGATCCTACGATGTTTCTTGATTGGGTTCAAGCCATGGAAGATTATTTCGCCTGGTACAACTTGACGGATGCTCATAAACTTCGCATTGGTAAGATGACACTACAGGGAGCCGCTAGACAATATTGGAATTCGGTGGAGGAGCAACTATATCAATTTGGACAGCCGCCTGTGACTCTATGGGACGAGATGAAATTAAAGCTTCGCGAACAATATCTTCCCACCTTTTATCGCCATCAATTTTATGATCAATTATGGACCCTTTCACAAGGAAGTTTGACTGTTACTGAATTCCACGTTCGTTTTATTGAACACAAGATACGTGCAGGGATTCGTGAAGAACCCGACATCACTATGTCTCGCTTTATCCATGGTCTTCGTGACGATATCAAGCGTGAAGTCCGTCGATTCCGTCCGCATATTTTGGAAGATGCATATTGCCATGCACTGGAAGCTGAAACTTTTTTGGGCCCACAACGTAGATATACCGGGTATTCCGGGCTCTCTTCCACTCCTACTCCAAATAGTAGTACTCCTAGCTCCACATATGGCGTTGCCGGTCCACCTGCTCCTACGATACCCACAACAGAAAAAAGACCAGCCTCATCCACGGCTGCTCACATCGAATGCTATCGTTGCCATGCTAAGGGCCACATTGCCTCCCGTTGTCCGCACCGAACTTTAACCATTGGCTCCCTCAATGAGGACTCTTGTGTGGACGTGTATGTGGAGCCCCTTGAACCTATTTATGATCCAGAACTTGATAATTGCTGTGAGGAGGCGTTTCACCAAGTGAGTGTCATGCGTTGTATTTATTCAGCATCTACGCCTCCACCTCCTAATTCATGGAAACGCACAAGTATTTTTCAAACCTATGTCCCTTGCGGTACTAATAGATGCCAACTAGTTATTGATGGGGGAAGTACACTAAATGTTATCTCTAAAGCTGCTGTCGACCGCCTTCACCTTCAGGCCGAGCCACATCCCCATCCTTTTCATGTTGGCTGGATAGATAACACCATGTTACCTGTTACTGAAAGATGTCTTGTTCCTCTTCAATTGGGTCCCTGTCATGAGCGACTTTATTGTGATATTCTACCCATGAGTGTCGCACATGTGCTACTAGGCCGACCATGGCTTTACGACCGCTGTGTGAAAAGTTGTGGCAGAGAGAACACATATACTTTTCAACATGAGGGAAAGAACATAACGCTAACGCCTTCCAATCCGGCCATCAAACCAACTAAGGATGTTCAACCGACTCTATTATTTAAAGAGAAGGCTTCGGAGCATCGATTGAGTAGTTTATCATCTGTAAACTTTGCACACGAACTGCAAGACACTGGTGTGTCCTTTGCTCTATTGCTTAGACCGAAATCTAACAGCAACCCCACACCACTTGCCGAACCCATACATCAGTTCCTCCCTAAATTCTCTAATATCATACCTGATGACTTACCAGATGCACTACCTACCGTAAATAATATTACCAGTTTCATTCCTCCTCCAGTGCCGCGTAGTCCTTCTCCTAGTTCTACCCTTACAGATCAGATTGAGGACGTCTCAGATCATGAAGTTGTGGCCTCGTCTCCTAGAGATTCTACCTGTTTTCTGGTTCATTGGGTTGGAAGGCCTGCTACTGAGGATACATGGATTACAAAAGCTGAATTTCGCCAGTTGGATTCCACTCTTCTGCACAGTTATCAGATGCTCTTCATGACATTGATTTGGCTGCCTCCCGTCCTCCCATCATCCATACTTACAAACATCGTCGTCATCCTTCATCTTGGTATACTCGCCGGTGTCGAGTTCTTTTGGTGGGGGAGAATGATGCAGAATGCATATTATTAGTTTTCCTAATTCTACTTGGATTAGTTTTCCTATTTTTAGTTTTCCTAATTCTTAAGATTCCTTCTTGTTAAAAGATCTCGTATTAGTTAATTTGTTTTCCTAATTCTTAAAGATTCCTTCTTGTTAAAGGATCTCTTATTAGTTAATTTGCTTTCCTATTTCTTAAAGTTTACTTTCCCTTTTCCTAGACTAAAAAAGGTTTTGCCTCTATAAATAGAGTTGTTTGTAATCTTTTAAGGCAGACTTGATTAATGATAAATTTCCTTACTTTGAACTCTCTGATTCCTTCCCCTTCCCTTCGTCTCTTCGATCTCTAATTCTTCTCTTCGATCCCTTATTTCTTCTCTGTTCTATTGCTCAAGTGTTTACTCTAAACCTACGGGCTGTTTACTCTAAACCTACGGGCTGTTCTACATCACTAAACCTCAACTTGTAGGGTGTCACTGTCACTCAAATTAGAGCCTGCTACTGTTTCTGTTGTGAGAGATTACTATGAATGAAATTCAATGCCTAGATAATATTATTGGTTACTTGATTTTCTTCTGGCTATTAAATTCAGTTTGGCTAGAGCTCAAGCATGAATGAAGACCACAGTTTTTCCACGGTGTTCTGTGATCTGTATGTCAACATGTTAGAAGTTTGTGGGGTTGAAATGGGCTGCAAGTCTCTGTATGGAGTTAATGCATGCGGCAAAATGGTAGTTAAACACTTGTGAGACACACCATGTTTCGTTAGTCATAAGCTTAGACTGACCATCCGTAAATAATTCAATCCCCACATGCAGTTAGGTGCTCACTTCAACTTTGGGGACCCTACTATACATATATACACACCAAGTTGATTTGATTTATGGTTTGATGGAGTATCTAAATATATATACCTTTTTACTTTTTTCTTTTCTTTTTTCAACATCAACTTCCACTAGTGCGGGATGATTGAAAGGTAGCAAATACTTCACAGATTTCTGAATTTCACTGGCTCTTATAAACATGGGAAAATATATGAGATTTTATTGAATCAAACTCTCTGGATTTAAATTTAACGAGTATGCATAAAGAAAACTTTGGAAAATGCTAGCTAAAAACACCAATAATCTTCAAAAACCCAAAAAAAAAAAGGTATGTTTCCTGGCAAACCGACTTGGACTTGCCAACTTCAATTTGGACCATAAAGATTTGAAGAGAATTTTAAAGCCACTTTTCAACTTGAATTTGTACGGACATGCTATATACTTGCATGGACAAATGCCACATACATGCATATACAGTCTCAAATTCCCTGGTATAGCTTTGTTGGTTGAGCTATTTCATCTTTACTTATGTGGGTAGAGGTTCGAAACCACAGGTACCCAATCAATATTTGTGTGTAAACTCCCCTCCTCACCCAATCGCTTGTACTAAAATAAACAATCCCAAATTCCCAATTGAAAATATGAAAGAAGACCAAGATCAGAGCAAGGGAAAGTTGTTTTACATATCAAACCACATCTGAGCTCACCATTTTAGAAAATTTTAATTACAAAATTGGGTCATCACCCACATCAAATTAAACTCTGCAAACAAAGAAAAACAAAAAGAGTTTGGATTTTGAGACTCATCTATCCATCTCATTTACTTCAGGGCACTCCATGATACTCTCCAAAGAAGGCTTCCACCCTTCCTCAACTTTGGCTCTGCTTCTCTGGATCTCCTCCAAAACATCTTCCAAGCTCTTCCCTCCTCTATCTTTCAGCTGAAGCATCAACCACTCTAGCTCTTCCTTGGTCAACACAATCTTCACCCTTATGTTGCCATCTTTGCTCAAATTGCTCTCTTTCACAAACCTAATTTCATTTTGTCTTTCTTCTTGCTCATGCTTTTGCTGCTGCATTTGATCCTCTCCTTGCTGCCTCTCTGTGCATGTCTCCACACAATTTCCCATGGTCTTGGGTTGTGTCTGCTACAAAATAATTAAGAACCACACCTTCCTCAAATACGATAAGTTCTGATTTAAACAACTCTTTTTGTTGTTTTAAATCAAAACCATTAAAACCAGTTTTGGACACAAGAAAAATCAGGCTTTGATGGAGAAGTAGGTTAATGTTGAAGTGCTTTTTTCTGCTGGTACATATATATAGCTCTTTAGAGCATGTAATGGATGAGAGAAGGGAGCTAGCAGCAGTATTTATATAGGTGTGAAATGGAAGAAATAAAATAAATAAAAACAAAGAAAAAGTTTACGTAGACTTGTTTCATTCACGAGTTTTGATTCTTCTAAATTTAAAAGTCAGAAAATTCTTATGTCACTGCCTATGGATATGTCTGCCTGTGACATTTCAAGGCCCAGTTGCAGCATAATGCATAGCTAAGCGCTCACAAGAGTCGCAACTATTGTCGTTTTTTTTTTGTTATAAAAAAAACCGACATTTTATTATAATCAACTAATCTAATTCACATATAAATACAAATTTCTTTGAATATTTTTCTTTTGGTTACCACAGAAGTTAATGATTAAAGAGCAATGACAGATGTCGGCGCATGGAAATTACTATTCTTCATATAAACAATGGAGGCACGGGCGAAATAATCATTTTATCACAGTTTGGCCAAATCGGGAAGTACTTGCAGCCACCAAATTATTGATTGAAATATTTGAAAATGCAAACTACGCAACAAGAACAGAAGAAAAAACCCTCTTTGTCACGGCACTAAATTTGATAGCGAGAAATGCTTAAACATGTTTAACGAATTATGCCAGATTCTCGCAGCAAATATTAGGAAGAAATTCGCATCCACTTTTTCTGGAGCCCAACATGTACATAAGAATTTTTGCTTCTACTCTACTCCCATTTTCCGTTATCAATTTCTTCCTAATATTGCAACAACAGTTTTCCCCCTTTCGCGGACAATGTGAACATAATTTCTTGGAATCTGTAGGCTAAATCTGCAGAAGTTTCATGTCCAAAATTCATGGACCCCATTCCCCGACATGTCACGGGCATACAGCAAGTCTATAACGTAACCTCTTCTGCCAACCATGATATTATAATACAAGGTGCCAAAGTTAATAGATATATAGCCACAAGTCCTGTCTTTTCCATAGTCTACTAGGGTTTTTGTTTTCTTCCTTAGCATCAGTAAGCACGGATGATTGGGATGGGATGCATAAAAATATAAAAGATTTGAATTTACGAAAATACATGGAAAATTAGACAGTCTCACGCCGACACCATTTCTATTTTTTCTATAATTTTGCCTACCTAGTCATAATTTCCCTCTATTTCAGCAAGTTTTTTCTTTTTATATTATCCTTTTACTAAAATAATAAGGAAAGAAAAATAAAATAAAAATTAATTAATTTTATACCAATATTTCCAAGTGTGCATGTGAATGTGCCATAATTTACGTAGAAAATGTCTACGAATTTTACCTACTTCATATATTTATTTTCAAAGTGGAATGCAACTTTAAAGAAAAAAATTTAATTTTGGGTGAAAGAGATTGAAGTTCAAAAGCAGAAGAAGAAAATCGCAAAGGCACACCAATGAAACTTTGAGATTTGGTTTTTACAATTGAATTGAAAACATAGGGTCAAGAGAAAGGGGCTTATGGTTGAAAACATCTGCCCTCCAGAATTCAAGCATATACTTTTGTGGTGATATATGGTTTTTTTCAGAGATCACTCACTTTAGAGAGTGACTAATTTTCTATTTTGTTTTAATGATTGATCACTTTGTAATTAAAAACAATAAAATCCAACCTAATAAGCACTTTTATTACTTTAGGACCCAAGCTTTTTCTTCTTTAAAAAGAGGTATGAACACGAATATCATGAGCCCTTTTCCATATTTTTTTTGTAAAGCAAACTAAGGACTATAATTAAGGTTTATTATAAAGCATCGACTAATCTTATTTACAACTGTAAAAAGGTTGATTTTCTGTTAAATTGATTAGATCTTTGTCTATTTTGAAAGCCGCCACAAATTTGAAAAGAAATCTTAGGTCAGGCAGTCCTTTGCGACTGCCAGTCTAATTCTTTTGTGAGAGCCCCCGCATAGAACATATGTATGCTTTATGTATTTTGTTAGTTTTATTTGTTGTGGGCTATGTCTGTTTGCATTGCATTTTGTGTGAACTCAATTATTTGAGTTCATTTTGATGTAATATGACATTTGACCTTCTATTTTATGAAACAAGATTTCGTCCAAAAAAAAAGGCCTTGAAAGTTGAAACCCCAATTATGTAAATAGCCCAAACGAAAAATATTAACATATTGGCCAAACTTCCTTATAATTTGATACATGCCCTTTTAATTTTGACAATTTAGATGTTTTGTATTGTTAACAATCGCGACTCTAATATTGTTCAGAAAATAGATGGAATGCTTACGTTTTGAATAATTGGTAATCAAGAAAAATAGGGGGTGTGTTGAAGTCATCATGACGACCAATGACGAAAACACATGGCACCCCAAGAAAACAAAAACCCTATGCACAGAAGAAACGTAGAAAAAATCTTGACTTGTTTAAAATACAAGGTGAGTTTGAATTTTTATACGACTAATGATAATAGTTTAATATAATTAGATCACTTTTAACAACCGAAAAAACTATAAGTTATACAAATCTTCAATGAAATATATACTTGATTAGTCCTCTCACTAATCAGCGGTACATTAGTCCTCTCACACGACAGTATCCAAAGTTTAGGTAGGATAATGGCTACTTTTTTAATTTTGGATAGACTCGATCAACTGTAAAACAAATGAATACAATCATTTTCCGTCCCCGAGGGAGGGCTAAAAACCAAAGCCAAACCTACTTTTGTCCCCTCCTGTTAAAGAGTGTTGACAAATCTGCATTTCATATGGGGATATTTATTTGTGAATCAGAAAATCATGGCCCCAAGATTTTCTCAGCCCCACCCAATACTTAAGTGCCAAACAAGCTTTAAATTATTAAGACCATGGAACAAATCAACATCTAGTCTCACAGCAGATTTGAGTTTATTGTTTGTGTAGGCGCGCTCAAACGCTAACCGCTCATTTGAACCCGCTCCACAACGTCAACTCATAATCCGAACTGTTCCTTTTTCTTACATCATCATAACGTTTTGAAAGCACGTACACGTGTACCTTGTCCTCATAGATTGCAACATAATAATACCGAATTGTATGATCTAGTCGCTTATAGAAACATTTCATGTCGAGCAAATGAACATAAGAACCTCAAATTATTGTCATAAGGTTAAGATATAAGTCTGCAAGGTAGTAGCATTGACACTGGTAGAACATTCTAACTTAGAACAGCCTAGATGCGCAAAGGCTTTTAATACTGTTACTGAAACCGGGAGTAACTCCAAAAGCAAACATAGAAGGTTAATAACGTTAACACAGCAAAGATGCAGTAATAACTTACTCTACACGCCTGCGCTTCTTTGCTAGATTCTCAAAAACCTGGTGGACATCATCAGACGTGATTGCCTTTGATGGATCAAATGATTCCTGCAAAATTGTGCAGCTTACATTTGAGCACAACTTAAAATCGTGTATTTATAAAAGCGCATACTCTAAAATGGTCTCTTACATGATTTAAGATTATATAAGCACTGCACACAAAAATATTTAAGTTTATAATCATCAAGGACATACCAGGAAAGAACGAAGCTCATCTTTCATGTCCGCAATGCCATTCAGAATCTCTATTTTCTCTACATGGCCAAGTTTATCGAGCATAGTCAACTCAGCCCCCTCCTGTTGCTGCAATTTTTCTTCTCTCTTCTGCTTTGCCATTTTCTCATACTCCATAATCGTGTCTTCCTTGTCAAGCAAAAACCTGATATGCTTCTGTTCATAAAATTCACTGCACTTTTCACACCTGCAGAGTGCATCCCTCCAGTTTTTTGATAGAAACAATGGCTTACACTCTAAAACAGGGGAAGCATCCACCAGATTAACTCCAAGAACACAAGTAACTTGTGAATGGGCATCTGTCGTGCATTGATCAGAACCTATATTTTTCCCAGAATTTTCTCCAAGGAGCAAACCCTCCTCACCGGACACAGGTTCAGAAATGTTATTAGAACTATGAGAAATATCATTCTCCAGCTTTCCAGATCCACAAGCTAAAGTCACATCTCCCAAAACTTCTTTATCCTTGCCAGTATTAACGGAAGAATCTTTTTGGCTTCCTGCTGCCAAGATGGTTTGACTATATAGCCTTAAAAAAGAGCAAATTACTGAGCATCCCTTACATATAAAATCCTCATATAGAGGTTCACCTTCCTCGTCTCTTGGAATCTGTAGTACAATCAAGGACAAGTAAAATGTAAGCAGGGTTCTTGGATAGAACATCAACCATTAAAAATTGGAAAAGTTTAGATGTGATTGTCGCAATTGAGAGAGATCAAAGATAATTTCTTTTTACAAGTAAATCTAAACTCTAACCCTATAAAAATAGTAAGATAAGTCTTCATACTAAATTTCAAATTCTCACAAAAGGTCTAAAATCCTTACTACAAAAGCAGGAAGACTACCTTCAAGATTTAGAGTGGCTAAAGTACTTCAAAGTGAGGATTTAGCAATCTAGTACAACTATATTAAAATTATAATTATGTTGATCAACTTTCCTCCAAACTGATGGAAAGCCATTACCAATTGATAAGGAACAGTATCAGAGTATACCCCCTGAACTGATATCGTAGCTAAAATACAAGCAGCAGCAGTATACAATGGGCCCTAAAATATTTGATTTGCTGTTACTGATGATGATTAATCAGCACAAAAGGTGAGAAATTGTAAGACTCATCATAAATACTGGCCGTTCAAACTGACAGCATGACCCAAAACCCAGTACCATTGTATAAATTACACCACTTGGATAGGAAACATGCCTTGCCTAATAGTAGGAGAAAACATGATGTAGATATATCGCCTACAAAAGGAAACAAAAAGGAGTATAAAACATGTCAAATATGTAAATAGCCCAAGCTACCAACCTCATCAGAAGAGTCAAGGCCGATATGTTCCTCATGGAACCAGTCCTCACACACACAGCACTGTATCATCTCTACTTGGTCTTCAACATCTGGATCAGGATAGGGGCGACCGCAGGTGCAGTATGAACCCTTGAAATTATGGTTGTATGAATTCTCAACATTTTCCACATCTTTATTTGGAAAAAGCTTGCAGAAGAATTCTCCAAATTTTGAATTTCCACAATCACATCTAAAATTTCTCTTGGTCCATAGTTCTACAATCTTCTCCAAGTAATAAGAAAGGCCATCATTAGATTTAGGCACTAATACATCAAGATATAACAAACTTGAAAAAGTATAAAACATTTAAAGTAGTAGAAATAACACACCAAGAATACCAGAACCCAAAAGAACATAGACCACTGACTAAGTGATATAAGAAATGAAAACAAAATTGCAAAGCCTTATTTTATTAACTTAACATAAATATTTAACATTGGTAAGAATATCAAAATACCTCATGGCCATCATGGCAAGACAAGCTGCAAGCTGTGCAAACCCCAGCATTCCCGTCTGGGGTGCAAGTCAAGCATGAGAAAATTGCTTGCCTCTTCATATAACCATTATTATAGGTACACTCCTTGCCTTCATCGCCTCCCAAAACCAAATCAGCTTCCTATGAATGATCAAACACCAAAAAGTAGGAAATAACTAGAAAGCAATAGGAACGTTTTATTTGAAGTCTGTAATACTCTTTTCAAATTTAAGATTATGAAGGCGGATCAAGCAGTCCCAGAAGATAATTGCTCCTGCTCCTCAAAAGATTTGGCTTGGTTCATTGATTAAACAAATGTATAAACAAGACATTGTTTTAAAACTGATTAGTTAAATGGGACAAGACTAAACATCAAATTAATCAGTCTGAAAAAAGTAGAAGAACTGGGAATTCTGGAATTAGGAATAGAGTTCCCCAAAGACAAACTATTAATCTATGTTTCATTTTCACAATCCATCACTATTTGATTTAATCCTTCCTCAGATCTTCTGCCATCCCTCAAAAAATCAAATATTTGGTCACCAACCCTTCGTCCAGTTGAACAATTAAATACATTTTGAATGAGCTGAGCTCAATCTTCTGTGTGCAAGAGGACCAATCATGACCTTTGTTAACTTAATCAGGACTTGTGAGCCAGTCCAGGGTAGTTGTGCCTAACTCAAACTCTCAAAAAGCTTTCAGACTACTAACTTTACCCTATTTGGGCTTGTTTACAAACCCAGAAGTAGTAATTCTTTGCAACTTAATCCCCGCTTGCAAAATTTATTTTCTTTTCATATTCGCACTTCCAACATTCACTAATTTTTCTGTTACAAGAAATATCTTAAATATTGTTAAGCGTGAAGTTAGCTGTCCAACCAAGCAAGTGTGTATATTCACGAAATCTTCAATCTTGAAAGGACAACTCAATCGCAGAGAAGTTACATAACCCTTAAGCCAATCGAACCTAGAATGGATTGCTTATCCATTTAAAACGTGCTTAGCTCATTATAACAGCTCTGTTCAAGATTAAACCTAGTATTGTCTTCAAAACACCATAAATGGTAAAATGCAACATTTTAACCCATTTAATTTCACTGACATCTTGCAAAAGTAAAACACTTTGGACAAATTGATAACTGATTATGATAAAAAGAGGCAAACCAGTTCCTGATCCTCAACATCCTTGAGATACTCTTGGATTGAAACGGTGTGTTCAGCCTCATCCTCAAACGCACTGTCCATCTGCACAAAGACAATCAATTTGCTTCAGCGCAAAACCTCTGTACCCAAAACCCAATTTGAAAAACAAAAATTTCAGTCAAGAAATTAATCAACAATTGCAAGTAAGGAAAGAATACAACCTAGAACAGTAAACCCTAGACGAAATGGGGAAGTGAGTTTTCGAGAAAAAGTACCAATTTGTTGGGGCAGGTTTCTTAGGGCACTCAGACGTAGACGAGAATGATGATGTGGGTGTGAGATTGAAGCAGAAGAGAGGGGTTCGAAGAGAGAGAGAGGAGAGGCAGAGGGCTAGGGATATTATATGTGGTAAGGACTATAAGGACATTTTCCCGCCATATTGAGCCCCTATTGAGGGGTGAGTTCACAGATCAAATGACTAAATTCCGTTCCCTCCAATCCAAATGTGAATATTTTTGCTTTGCTTCTATAATGGCTTCTTTTTTTTAAGTATTTTCCTTCAATAATACACATGTATAATTTATTTTCTTTTTATTTACTTGATTTTTAAAAATATATTTTAACTGTTAAATTTTTACTTTTTAGATGAAATGGCAAAATCATATGAGATAGGACAACGTGAGATGAGAAATGTGTTAAATGAAAGGCAAAAAGTGATTTTGGTCTTTGTAATTTGTCACTTTTATCATTTTGGTCTTTATCGTTTCAATTTGATTAATTTTGTCTCTATAATTTTTAATTTAAGCAATTCAATGACAAATTCCAATTTCTGTCAAAATATAACTTCTGTTAATTGTGAAGGGGCATTTTGGTTCCAAAATAAAATCGTAAAAGTGGCAAGCTATAGGGACCAAAAACGACTACAATTAATTAAAAATCATTTAAAATTGTTTTATGGATTTTTCTCCAACAAAAATAAGTTTTATGGGTTGGACTGAGCTGTGCTTGGAAGTAGGTTGGCTGGAAATACAATTTACAAACTAGTCTTCTTTTTATTTTTTTTTATTTTCCATAGTCATATTTGGTATATAAGCATCACGTTGTTGGATAAGATTGATGTATAAGATTGGAGTATCATTTTTGATAAATTTACCTAGCATAATCAACTTTAATTGATCTCCCACCTATTAGTTAAATCAGTATATTTTACAACTATCACTACTAGATTCGCTCATATTGGACTTTAAAAATTAATTTTTACACACCACTTATTACATCATGTGGCATTAAAATATGATTATGTAATTGATTCGAGAAATTTGATCCTCTAGGTCAATTCTAGTAGAAGTACATAATGATAGATACTTATTAACCTGTTAGTCCTTTTTCCCGCGAATGCCCCTTCTGATGACTAGAGTCAGATTTGCTCTGCGAAGCGAGGAGGTTGTTGGATCAACACCAATGCCCCTATTGGATCTTCTGTCCAGTTTGCTCTGGTGGCTTTTGTCCAGTTTGCTTTCTAGTTGGGTGAGAAGAAGGTCAAGTCGTCATTAATTGTGACAATCTTCTTCAGACCCTCACGTGGGTCAATGTGCAACAATTACTGATTTTTTTAACTTCAGTGCGACTCAAAGACCTGGGCTTTCTGACTTTGTGGGCTTCTATTAATTTCCCTTGCTTATTGACGGCCCACTAAGCAAGAGGGTTTCTTTTGTCTTTTAAACAATAGAAAAGGATATTAGGCCTGGACTTCAAAATATATTCTTTTGAGAGATAGAACATTTTTTGGTCCATTTACAAAATATGGTACAAACATAACCTTACTCTCTCTCGAACAATTAGCACATCAAACATGGCTATGATATTAGAGCTGTGTATTATAACAACTTTCTTGTTTAGTTTTCTTCCACACATAGCAACAAGTATTGATATTCAAAATTTGTGAGGACATAAGTTGAGGCGCCAATTTGCAGGTTATTTGATTCTCGTTTCGTCTAAACGGACACCAAGATTCTAGTTGTGGCTATGATCGCAACTTTGATATCACATGCGATTGTTGCGGTTGTAGTCCTTGTTGCTGTCCTTGTGGGTATCTTCTGCTGCACTTTGTTTAGGTGGTGCTATGTGGCCAATCTGTGGTGGCCAACACCCTTTGTCACGACATGGATTATTTGTAACAAACATGAATATAGGTCATAGGTTATCTATGAGTGTGACTTATAATAAGATTATCTAGACTTGGAAGTTCATATCGTGTTTCACATTAGTTAGTGACGTGAAAATAAATTATTGTGTTTTTGTCAATGGTATATGAATATTTTTTAGTTTTATTATGAAGTTTCAGTGCCATATTTTCTTTTCTTTTGATTCTTTATTACCGACGTCTATCTCACTGCACTTTAAAAATTAATTAAGCCAAGCACTGGTCGAAATCTTGATTAATTACAGAATTCATATTTTCTTTTTGGTCGGAATCAGATAAACTTTAACAAACGTGCTATTCTAAAAAGCTGACGTGCAATATAATGGTGACTGGATTAAAGAAGACGGTGAGAGGAACAAAAAGTCATCAAGATATTTTATAAGGGGAACAAAGAGTAAGAGTATATAAGTGATTATGAACCGTTGTTTGATGTGACATCTAATTCGAAGTTTATGTAATTAACGATTGTGAGTCATTCATGCAAATATATAATTGAAATTGTTTTGACATTATTTGTTGGGTTTCTCATTCTCTGAAAAGTATGCATAGAATCAGTGGACTATAGGATGTGACTCTTATATTAATTTTCAGCCTAGGTCATACATTCTCTAGAAATTGTTCAAAAGTAGACTTGGTCTTGTCAAATGGGTTGATAAAAATAACAATAATGTTTGATGAATTAAATTTAGAAGATGCGGATGGTCTTGGTAAACAAACTGTAAACTTGTCAAAAGCCCCAAACCATGATTAGACTCCCTCATCTCACCCCATGTGATGTGAGTTTGAAACCACATTCAAAAAGCCTTCATAGACCCAACAATTTGCTTCTTGTATCAAACGCTGACTTCTTCCATTATGCCATGCCTCCCAAATTTAATTAGTATCCAAAACAAAACAAGTCTGAAGGCCATCATTCGCCCAGTTTCCACCGCCACATGCACGTCACGAGGTCTCCAGCCCAACTATAATGTCAAACCATTTACATTTTCTTTTCACAATGATTTATCATAAAATAGCTTGAGGTTAGCTCTGAACCACTCTATATGCCTAACTAGCTTAAACCCTTCACCAAACAGCTCATTTCTAGTTTTCATTATCAAATGGCTGCCTTAGAGCTCTTCTTCTCATTCTTACTCTTGTTGATCTTCTTCTTTATCATTCCAACACGGGCTTCCTGCCCTCCCTCAAGCTGCCCTCGCGGACCGACAGTCCGGTTCCCTTTCCGGCTTCAGAGTTTCCAACTCCGGCGTTGTGGGTATGCAGGGTTTGACCTCTCATGCAACAACCAGACCCTTCAAACCACACTCTCTCTCTCAAACTTTAGTGGCAATGACTTCATAGTCCAAACCATAGATTACGATCACCAAACACTTACTGTCAACGACCCCGATCACTGCCTCCCCAAACGCTTCCTAGACCGCAGCTTCGACAACCTCCTCCACACGACGCCGTTCCGCATCCATAGTTTCCAAATGTACACGTTCCTCAACTGCTCGCCTCAGGCGACGTCGTTTCCAGCCACGGCCAGGAATATTTCCTGCCTCAGCGGTGAGAATCACACGGTCTTTGCTATGCCGTCGGGAGCTTACGATAATTGGCTTCAGTCTACCGCTACGTCACCGTCGCCGTCACCATCGTCGTCAGGACTTTCGTGCGCGATTTCGAGTGTTCGGGTTCCGGCAAGAGCTGCGAATGAATTGGGTGTATTTGGAGCAGAAGATGTTGCATTGACTTGGTCAACGCCTGATTGTAGAGTTTGCGAAACCAGTGGGAGAGATTGTGGGTTAAACAGAGATAGTCAGATTGTCTGCTCTGATCCGAAGGCTAAAAGAAAAGGTAGGTTTTTGAATTGCTCGCTCATATATATGTAATTAATTATGTGCATGATTGAAAGTAATTAACAACAACTATGAAATTAATTTAATTTCACTCACTTATCATGCGTAAAGTTTACCACAATTTATTGGGAAATTTCGTTTTGATAAACAGTTTAAGATACTATTTTTTATATTATAGATTTTTAATCAAGATCATTGATTAGGTAGAAATTTTGTTTGAATGTACGTTAACATGTCAGATACATTTTCAAGAGAACATTAGTTTTTGTTTTTGTTATTCTTCTATATGGAAAATTGATGATGTGACTTTAGCGTGCATTTTCTCGGCTTCGGAATTGGTTAAGTACCGTGACTTAACACTTGTTTGGTAGTTATTCTGGTTGTCTTTCTTTGAAAAAATTATCTCCTATGTGTTTTTTTATTTTATATAAATACTTTAAGTGATTTTAAACGAATCCCCACAAAATCACTTAAAACCACGTACTTCTCCACATAAATGATTTTTGGCTTATTCGGAATTAGTCCGAAACGAAGAATTAGAATTATCCCAATATTTTCACCTGAGTTGAATAAACCTCGACCGAGAGAGAATAATGTCTAATCAGGTAAACAAAATGACTAAGTCAATTCCTGGGAGGGGTTGTGTTGCGTATCCCTTGGGTTCGATATTGTCGGTTTAAGACTCTGAGGGCACATCAGACTGAACTTTCTTGTCCACTTCACTTGTGCTTTTGAATTCTCACCGTATACCCATATTATGATTAAAACGATTCAGATTTATAAATCACAACTGAGTTGAACATGGATGTGCACCCAAATATTGTTCATAGTGGTGGTTAGGACATCTCTTTCTATCATTAGCAAAGCCACTATGTGGCCGTGACACGTAATGCCACGTAGCATGGTGTTGCCTTTTAATTATAGCCTAGTTTGACCTTTGGACTGTTGTGAACCCTTTGTCTTTATCCATAGTCAACCTAGAAATGAGGGATGAACAAACGCGTGGCTTGACTGAGAGTTTCCATGCTTACCAACTTACAGCTTCAAACATTTAATGTCATGATCATCAGCTTCCAACTTCTGAGAAGTCTTAATTTTCTATTTTTAATAAATTACATTACGTCATTAGTGATGTGTAAATGCACCAATTGTTCATTATAGTTTATTATTAAAAAAAGGACAAAAGAATTTTGCGAAATACTAACGTCGTCTATTGCAATTTCAGGTCTTCCAAGAAGTGCAAAATACGGCGTAATCATAGGCGTGGTAATACCCGGGATCTTATGCATCCTTGGACTAGCAAGTATTGTCTGCGGCAGAGTAAATGCTTATGCTCGCCGCAACCGGCCAAACATGGACCTATCTACCTCAGCTTCTCAGCAGCCCGCTATCGTTGTAGTGGGCCTCGACGGTCCAACTATCGAATCGTACCCGAAAACTTTGCTAGGGGAGAGTCGGAGGTTGCCCAAGCCCAACGACACCACTTGCTCCATATGTTTGGGTGAGTACCAACCCAAGGAAGAACTGAGGACTATACCAGAGTGCAACCATTACTTCCATGCTAGTTGTGTAGACGAGTGGCTCAAAATGAACGCAACGTGCCCCGTTTGCAGGAAGTCACCGGAGGGCTCAGCTCTTGTAACCCCTTCGTCTTCAATGTCTTCATCTTCAACTTCTTTACCATCGCCATAGAATTCGATGATCTATTTTTTGCTTCTTTGTCACTTTCTGCCATAATTTAATTAGGTATGGTTGTCATTTGTTTTGCACATAATACACTTGGGGGTTGCAATCGATAGAGACAATGATTGTTTTGTAATACAATAGTTTCCTTAGTTAACGTGGACGATGTTATTTGTTTGGTTTATTTTGTCATGGCATAGTCATATATAGTAAGCCGGCGGCCACTACCTATATATTGGTCTGGTTTTCCCTGCCTAGCTCATATGGCCACCTTAGAAATCTTCACCTTGTTATTCTTCTTGTTCTTCTTCCTTCCTCACACACCAGCAAGAGCTAACACATGTCCTCGATCAAAATGCACAGCCGGCAGCCCCTCGGTTCGCTTCCCTTTTCGGATAAGCAACCTTCAACCCTCACGTTGTGGATATCCAGGGTTTGATCTCTTGTGCAACAAGGAATCTCAAACCATTCTCACTCTCCCATCTTCCGGAGACTTCATTGTCCAGACCATCAGTTACAAGGACCAAATCGTATCGATCAACGACCCCGATAACTGCCTCCCTAAGCGGTTCCTCGACCATGACATCACTCTTAAAGATTCACCCTTCATCTACGCGCATGGCCTCGAAACCTACATGTTCCTCAACTGCTCGGCTGCAGGTGCAGCTGCAGCAACATGGACTTTTGCACCAATTTCTTGCTTGAGCAATGAGAACTACAAGGTCATTGCAGCGCCAACGAGCTTGTGGCCGGGTAACGTTTCAGGGCAGTGCGTTGTGATTTCAACAGCTTTGGTTCCCAGCTTATTTGATCCGTTGCAAGGTGTTCAGCTGCGATGGCTCGAGCCTGAATGTCTTTCTTGTGAAGCAGCTGGTCTTTATTGTGGATTCGACAGTGCAAGTTCGCAAATTAAATGCCTTGATCCTTCAGATTACTGTATGTTTTTTTTAGTAAATATTATTAAATATATATATGTTACACCTGAATTTGTACCTGGATTTTATTTTGGTCCTTCAGTTGTATCATGCATGGTAATTTTGTCAAACCGTTAATTTGACGGGTAGAATCGTCAATTTGGTTATACTCATTTCGAGGCCATATTGACGGAATTTGACGAAAATACCAAATTATCAGGCGTGACATAATTAAAGGACATATGAAATTAAAAATTAACTCGATACAAATTCATGGTCCATTGCAATTAATAACACACGTCCTAATTAATATTTTCATCATACTTGAGCATGAACTAATGGTATTCCTTATATTGTTGCAAATTCAGTTTCTTCAGGTCTCTCAAGAGTTGCAAAGTTTGGCATAATCATAAGCATGGGAGTTCCTGGGCTTTTGTGCATCGTTGGGATTGCGCTTTGTTTTTGTGACTTGATAAGTGCCGGTAGTCGGTCCCACCAGCCAATTGCTGAACATTCCACAGTAAGCAATCGAGAACCTCACATGCTCAGAATGGGGCTTGATGGTCAGACCATCGAGTCATATCCTAAGACTCAGCTTGGTGAGAGTTTGGAATTGCCCGAGCCCAAGGACAACACTTGCCCGATATGTTTGGGAGAGTACAAAGCCAAGGCAATACTGAGGACTATACCAGGTTGCAGCCATTATTTTCATGCCAGTTGTATAGATGAGTGGCTTAGATTGAATGCAACTTGCCCCATTTGTCGAAATCAATCGAACGAACAGTGATATTAACAAAAAAAATTTCAACGTTGTTTTAATAAAAGCGTTTCTGACAAAAATTCCTTGGTGTAGAAGTGCTTTTTATAGAAGCACTTTCAAAACTAACCTTTACTAATCTTTTTCTTTAAAGATTTGGCTTGTGTATATAGTTTTTTTTACGTAATCATTTATCTCATATTTGTACTTTCTATAAACAAAGGTATATGTCATATATCGATGAGGCAGAGAAAGAGATGTGGTTGATTAGGCTTATGATATTTGGGTTTATTGTCAGTGTCATAGGCCGGCCATATTATAGACTCGTATTGGTATAGTTTTCACCGCCTATTCTATTGCTATGCCGCACTCAGATGGCTACATAGCTGCTACCTTAGAAATCTCCACCTTCTCGACCATATTCCTATTCCTCCTCTTCCTTCCACAGAGCGCTGCAAAAACCACCGCCTGCGGTAGTTCAACATGCACCGCTGGCGGCCTACTGGTTCGTTTCCCTTTCCAACTAAGAAACAACCAAGTCCCAAGTAATTGTGGGTATCCAGGGTTTGATCTCTCGTGTAACAACCGAAGCCAAACCATTCTCACTCTCCCATCCTCTGGAGACTTCATCGTCCAAAGCATCAACTACATTGAGCAAAGAGTATCGATCAACTACCCGGGCAACTTCCTGGCTAAAGGATTTTTCAACCATGACATCAGCCTTGTAAATTCACCATTTTCATACTTGAACCCTACAAACTACACGTTCCTTAACTGCTCCTCTTATAAAGGGGATACAACACCCATCGTTTGCCTTGGCAGTGACAACTACAAGGTCATTGCTGTGCCAACGCGTTGGTTTTCGCCACCATTTGATGAACCGTTGCCTATAAATTGCTCTGTGATTTTGACAACTTTGGTTCCAAGTACATTCGAGTGGGATTATCCGAACCGTGGTGCCGAGTTGACATGGGACATGCCTGAATGTCGTTCCTGTGAATTAGGAGGCCAGGTTTGTGGTTTGAAGAATCACAAAAGTTCGAAAATTCAATGCTCTGGTTCACATTTCGGTATGCTCTTTGATTATTAGTGATGCTACACATATTACACATATATACGATGGTGGCTGAACATGGATCTGAAATTCATTTTGGCCTTTTAATTTAGTGTTTAATTTCTAGCATTCTCCAATTGTGTTATAGGGACAATTTGGTTATTCTGTCAATATGACCGTTAATTTGAGAGGTAGAATCGTCAATCATGTACAAATCACCCGAAAAATGACCTACTCATTTTGACGGAATTTGACAGAATGATCAAATTGCCAGCTCTGACACAATTAGACGAGACCAGAAATTACAAAGTAAATTAGAAGACCAAAATGAAAGTCGGGTACAAATTCATATATATATATATATATATAACGTGCAGTTATAATTGATGGTGAACTAATGGGATGCAATTAAGTTTTGCAGGTAGTTCCTCTTCAGGTACTGCAAGAGCTGAAAAGTACGGCTTAATGATGGGCTTGGGAATTCCTCTGCTATTGCTTACGCTTTATTTGGGTTACAGAATGTATCTGAACCACCACCGGCCTATCACAGAAGTATCCACCATAACCAATCGACGACCTTCCACACACATAGCGGGGCTTGATGGTGCCACCATTGAATCATATCCCAAGACTCAACTCGGTGAGAGCTGGGAATTGCCTGTGCCTAATGACAACATTTGCCCAATATGCTTGTGCGAGTACCAGCCCAAGGAAGTTTTGCGGACCATACCTGAATGCAACCATTATTTTCATGCTAATTGTATAGATGAGTGGCTTAGAAGGAATGCAACATGCCCTCTTTGTCGAAATCTACAAGAGAGATAAATAACAAAAGTCATTTAGTCATTGAGATATGATTGTCTCGTACTACTATATATATATATATATATATATATATATATATGTAGATGTGTAAATAAGTTGGTTTCTTTAAAATTTATCAGGGTTTGACTTGCTTCTTTTACGAGCCAACTCGATCATGCTAAAAGAATTGATGTATTGGCGTTTCTGCCATTTCTGCAAGATTTTTTTTGGCATTTGACTCATTGAGAAGCCATGTTCATCCTTCACAAAGCTACTGAAGAAATTTCCCAAAAATCACTACACTAAAAAAAAAGCGGCAGTAGTGCTAGTAATTATTTTGTGTGTGACCATTGTTCTTATTAGTAACGTTTTTTAGCAACTAAAGCCAACAGTCACCCCGCAGTTACGAATTTTGGGTTTGTTACATATGTGACGGCCGTGACTTTTTGGTCTTTGTTACGATTAAAAAACATTGGTGACACAATATGTTGACTTTCTATAGCTCCAACACCATGGGCAATCAAAATATTTTATAATTGTATTTATATTTGTTCAAGTCTTGTATTTGTATTTATATTTGTCGAATGACAACAGTTGCCCAATTTGTTTATCCGAGCACAAATCCAAGGAAACACTAAGGACTATACCAGAATGCAACCATTATTTCTATGCTAGTTGTGTAGACGAGTGGCTTAGAATGAATGCAACCTGTCCACTTTGTCGAAATCCACAGGAGAGATAACAATAATTTAATGAACGTTTCTTGGATTTTTCATGTCAGTGTTCAAAAGGGAAGATGCTATACAATTCATCCCATATGAAAGAAGTCGACAAAAAAAGGTTAGGAAATCAGTTCAATTGTAAAGTATTTCCTATGTAATTACTTTGATGTAAGCTACAAGATTAGATGGCCAATTATTTTGTGGAATGCAGGAGACCAATATTGGGATCCTTTGATCTTCCTCTTGGAATTTTTTTTTATTTCTTGAAAATAGGAAGAAGTTATTTCAGAATGCATGGACAAGAGGGTTCATCTCTTATCACCTCAAATAGGACTCTTTTTTTTTGCTAGTGTCATTCATTTTATTTAGCATCGTCATTATATATAGTTTATATTCATTTGCCTGTCATTGTTTTGCAACCGTTTATAGTCAATGTATATTTGTGAGATCATCGTTTGATTTGTATATTGCTAATATATGTACAGTCTATATCCAGTGATGGAGCCAAAAAAATTTCATTAGGGGCACCTTATATATTGCAAGGAAGTGAAAGAGAAGGGAGGGGCGGCGCAGGGGAGGCACTTTATCATATCCAGCTGCAATTAGTTTTGACTTTTATAAAATAAAAATAGATGACAATTTCTAAGTAGGAGTATCGCCATCTGACATGATGATTCAATATCACTTTGTAATTTCTACTTTCTGTGGTATATACGATTGGCATTCACAATAAATATTTGGGGTGGGAAGGTGACATAAAATTTCCATGTATGAATACTATTATTAAAGTGTTGTGCCTTTAATTAATGACGATAAGGAGATAGATACATGCTTATGTGGTTAATTTGGTTTGTTATTTATTTGTGAACCCAAGTATTAAAAGTTAATCTTCATCGCCTCCTTCTCTTCTCTTTCTTATTTTGCCTTCCTCACACAAAGTACCAATTGCTCACAATGCTCTAATTCATCAGGAAAAATACTTTTGTTTAACACCCAGTTAGCTCTCTCACATGTGATAAGTCCTACAATATATTGTGGATATTTTGGTTTGGTTTGTTTTGTTTTGTTTAAACAAAGCGCATCGTTTTTATATCATATGTTTGTCACTGGATCTGTACAATATATTTGGGGTGAGATAAAGACATGGTTGTTGAGTATTAGTACTATATATGATTGGTTTATGGCTTTGAATAATGCATAGAAAGAGATGACTGGGATGTTTCGTTGGCCTTATATATAGACTGGGTTTATTGTTGTCATGAGGTCAATACAACCAAAACCAATATTGGTATGGTTTATTGTTGTCATGGCTACCTTAGAAATCTTCAACATCTCCATTTTATTCTTATTCTCCCTCTTCCTTCCTCACAGAGCTGCCACCCCTTGCAATGGCTCAACATGCTCCATTGACGGCCCTGTGGCTCGATTTCCTTTCCAAATAAGAAACAACCAAGTGTCAAGTAATTGTGGATATCCTGGGTTTGATCTCTCATGTAACAACCAAAGTCAAACTATTATCACTTTCCCATCTTCTGGGGACTTCATCGTCCAGAGCATCAGCTACCTAGCACAAATCCTATATATCAATGGCACCGATAACTGCATGCCTAAACGGTTCCTCCACCGCGACTTGAGTTTTGAAGACACACCCTTCTCTATCTACTTGGGTTTTGAGGGCACTAAAAACTACACGTTCTTCAACTGCTCTTCCGACCAAGAAATATATTGGCCTTCAAACATCATCTCTTGCCTAAGCACAGAGTAATACAAGGTCCTTGTTTTGCCAACAAATTGGTCTCAGCCACGGTTGAAGTTGGCTAATTGCACTGTAATTTCGACAACTTTGGTTCCAAGATCATTTGAGTGGCAGGAAATTAACCAGGGTTTCATGCTGGCATGGGACGTCCCTGATTGTCGTTATTGTGAAGAAAGGGATCAAGCTTGTGGGTTGACGAAGGGCAAAAGTTCGACAATTCAGTGCTTACATACTGGTATGCTTTATGCTCACACACATCACGTGATTTTTGTATAAATGTTCTCTTTCCCAACCTCAAACTTTGAATTTAGACAATTATAATTCTTGTCTAAATGTTGTCATACTTGATCCTAAACTAATGGGATAAAATTCAATTGCAGATAAAGTCTCTTCAGGTCTCTCAAAAGCGGCAAAGTTTGGCATAATGGTGGGTGTGGGAATTCCTGGGCTATTGTTCTTCGTTTGGCTTGTACTTCATTTTTGTAACAAAACGGTTCAAGGTCAAAACCCCCAGCCCATCACAGAATTATCCACCCTAACCAGCCAACAACCTTCGACGGTCGCAAAGGGGCTTGATGCTTCGACTATCGAATCATATCCCAAGACTCAGCTGGGTGAGTGTTGGGAATTGCCCAAGCCGAATGACAACAGTTGCCCAATTTGTTTGTCTGAGTACAAATCCAAGGAAACACTAAGGACTATACCAGAATGCAACCATTATTTCCATGCTAGTTGTGTAGACGAGTGGCTTAGAATGAATGCAACCTGCCCACTTTGTCGAAATCCACAGGAGAAGTGATTGAGATTTGATGAACGCTTCTTGCAAAAGGGAAGATCCTGTACAATTATCCCATATATATGAAAGATTTCGAGAAAAAAGGAGTTAGTAAATCAGTTGAATTATTGTAAAGTATTTCCTATGTTTTTTGTGCTGCTTTGGTGTGTTATTCATTGCGTTTTCTCATATTTATATCACTTTCTTTAATTTGCGCAGTAGAAATGAGTTGAATGCAAAATAGTTAACATTATTAATCACGTACGACCTATATATCAAGCACACAAGTATGCCTTCACGGCTATAATTTCTCCCCGCACAACACCTTTATTAGAGATTTGGTACATAATGTGGTATAAAAATGCGGTAACCTTAGCATTACCCTATCATATATACAGTGCAGCATATATAAAAACAAGCAATTAATTAATTTGATGTACGGTACAAGATTAAAAGGCCAAATATGGCACATCCAATTAGTTTGGCATGCACGAGACGAATATGGGGGTTCATATAATTTTCTTTGTTTCATATAATTAAAAAACAAAGGTTATTTCGGATTGCGAAGGATGAGAGGGTCATCTCTTATCAACCCAATTAGGACTATTTTTTGTAGTGAATCATCATCGTCTTCACCATCGTTATTATATAGTTTATATTCATTTGCTTGTCATTGTTTTGCAACTGTTTATAGTCAATGTATATCTGATCGTCGTTTGATTTGTATACTAATACATATTTTAATATTGTGCCTTCAATTAATGATGACAAAGAGATATGGTTGAATTTGTTTATAATATGTTTGGGCTGGTCATTACCCAAACACTAACGTTAATCTTCACCCACCTTGGCTTTGAATAATGCAAAGAAAGAAATGATTGAATATATATGTTATTTGGCCTTGATGTTGGGTTTATGGAGTCATAGTAATCGGCCGGTCAATGGCCATTGCACCCCAAAATGTTGGTTTAGTTGATCACCGTCTCAGTCTCTGGTTCACTCCCTACATGGAGAACATAAAAATCTTCACCTTCTTCATCTTATTCTTGTTCCTCCTCTTCCTTCCTCACACCGTTACCAAAACCACCTGCGGTAGCTCGACATGCACCGCTGGCGGCCCACTGGTTAAGTTCCCTTTCCAGCTAAGAAACTACCAAGCTTCAAGTTGTGGGTATCCAGGGTTTGATGTCTCATGTCACAACAACAGTCAAACCATTCTCACTCTCCCATCTTTTGGGGACTTCACCGTCGAAAGCATTGACTACAATGGCCAAATCGTAACGATCAACGATCCTGATAAATGCCTCCCTGCACGGCTCCTCAACCATGAAACCAGTCTTGTAGAATATTCACCCTTTTCATACTTAAGCTTTGGCGGCCCTATAAACTACACGTTCCTCAACTGCTCCTCCTCTAAACCATCCATCTTGCCTGCACGCATCATCTCTTGCCTCAGCACTGACTACTACAAGGTCATTGCTTTGCCTACGAGTTGGCTTTTGCCACCGGATCCGATGCTATTGCCTCATTGCAATGCAATTTTGACAACTTTGGTTCCAACTTCATTAGAGTGGGAGCATTTTAACGATGGTCTCGAGTTGACATGGGAGGTGCCTGATTGTCGTTCTTGTGAAGTAAGGGGTCAGGCTTGTGGGTTGAAAAATGGAAAAAGCTTGGAAATTCGATGCTTTGGTCCTTCCAAGATACACACGGGTATGATTAATTAATTCGATGAAACCAGTCTTGCCTAAATAGGCAGTCGTATTCACATTTTAGCAACTCTCTCCATAAATCCTAGATATTGTCATACTTGAATGATGATGAACTAATGTGATGCAATTCAATGTTGCAGTTAGAGCCTCTTCCGGTCCCTCAAGAGCTGCAAAGTACGGCATAATGATGGCCATCGGAATTCCTCCGCTATTGTTCATCATTTGGCTTCTACTCTATATGTGCGGCAGAATGATGATCGAAGTTAATGGTCAAAACCACCGGCATATCACAGAATTATCCATCGTAACCAATCAGCAACTTCCCACAATCGTAACTGGCCTTGATGCTCCCACCATCGAATCATATCCCACGACTCTGCTAGGTGAGAGTTGGGAACTGCCCAAGCCTAATGACAACACTTGCCCAATATGTTTGTCTGAGTACCAATCCAAGGAAACACTGCGGACAATACCAAAATGCAACCATTATTTCCATGCTAATTGTGTAGACAAGTGGCTTCGATTGAATGCAACGTGCCCGCTTTGTCGAAATCCACAGGATAGAGATAACAATAGAAGTCATTTAGTGATTGAGATTTGATTTTATCTGTTTTATCATACCCTTAGTTTTGATGAAGTACACTAAATCTGCATTTCATGTCTAGTGGTCAAAATGGAAGATACTATAGAATCTGACTTTTGTTTTCTCAACTCTCTCAAACGCGATGAGTCTGCAATATAATAGGATAGGATTCATCCCATATAAAAGAAAGTTAGGAAATGAGTTCAATTTGTGAACTATCTTTTTAAGCTTTCGGTTGTCTATTCATTATGGTCTTTAAGGGCTCGTTTGATAACCATTTCAATTTTAGTTTTTAGTTTTTTTTTAGAGTATAGAGGAAATGAGAGTGAGAATGAGAGTTTGGATGAGATTGAAAGAGAGGATAAGAGGGGAGGATGAGAGAGAGGAGTAACAAACTGAAAACAAAAACTTGAAAGTGAAAACAATTAGAATTAGATTTCAGCTTTAATTTATGGCTTTTTTTTCTTCACTTTTGTTACTTCTCCCACACATCCTCCCCTCTCATCTTCCCTCTCAATCTCATCTCTCCACTCTCATTCTCACTTCAATTCGCCCTTTTTTTCCTCTATACTCTAGCACAAAAATAAAAAATAAAAACTAAAATTCAAATGGTTATCAAATAGGCCCTAAGCTTTTTAAAAAAATATTTTTATTATACCTTTCCTTAAGTTGGCCGGCAGAGACAGCTCAATGCTCGTGAAAAAAAGAAGATTATTTTCTTGCACACACAAAGGATGAGGATCCTCTACTATGTAATTATTACAAGGAGAGCACAATTATCTTAGACTCTACAATATATTGTTGAAGACAATTTTTGGAGATTGTTAATCTGAATTCGTTAAAGCTACTAGAGAGGGTTTTTGCTAAATTTATACATTGAATCCAGTGTGTTCAGTTATGTGATTCAACCGTGATACCTGTCTTTTTGCCCGCGGCATCTTTTTTCGTCATCAAAACTTTTCCTATTGCCTTATTTGATAAGAGGAAGAATTTGTATCAATAGTGTTCTGTTTCCTTGTCGTTGGTGGTTCGGTGTGAGCCATATGAATGTTTTGCTCTGGCAATGCTGTTTTATTCAAAACTTTCTCATCTTATCATTGTCCGTCTGGAAATGATGAAGTTAAAAGAATCTGCCACAACCATAAGAAGCTGTCTGATATAAGAAAGATGAGTTGGGCATGCCTGCTTTCTAATTTAAACAGTATTACCGCGCGGCTATACCGTTAAAATATTATATTCCGAAAGTATAGCCGCTCGGCTATACTTTTAAAACATTCTTTTCAGAGAGAGTAGCCGCGCGATTCAAAAAAGGGTATAGCCGCCTGGCTATACTGTTGAAATATTTGGTTGACTTGGTTGCCTTGAAGTTCGTACAACGTTTAGAAGCCTAAAAATATGCCACGCATCCATATCACTGTCCTCATCATCAGCTTCTTTCTTTAGCATCATTTAGAAAGTTGATACACGTTTCCAGTTTCTTGTCATTCTTTCGCATGCAATTATTTAAAATCAATTTGTTTGGGACTGCCATTTGACTATGTAGATACATATTTGGGATGAGATGGAGACATAATTGTCATGTAAGACTAGGATTATTTCGTTTGATTAATGAAGCCAAAGAGATATGTACATATATATACGGTTGATTTGGCATATAATATACCTGTACGGGTCACTACACAAAAATTAAAAAATTAGTTTTCACCGACCTTCTCTTCTCTTGTTTTTCTTGATCTTACTTCATGATTATTCTCTAGTCTAGCTAAGCTCTCTCTCTCTTTCTCTCTCTCTCTCTCTCTCCCAAAGCTGATGAACTCAAAAGGAAAGTGTAGTGCTACTTTTGCTAACATCTTGGAGCAGATTTCATGGTCTTAATCAGTTGTTAGGGACAACTGGTTTGTTTCGATTGGAGGGATTTGTGAAAATACATGAGCTAATTATCTTATACATATATATATATATATATATATATATTTCATTATCATATTTTGTGCATTATACTTCATAGTCAAGACACGTATGGATATGGAATTGTCATATGTTTTCAGTGGTGGAGCCATGAATGTTCAATTTGTCTTACAATTGGTACGTGCCTTCTGAGTAATTTCCTTTGGGTATGTGCCTTTGAATAAATCAGAGAAAGCGATGTGGTTTATCTTGTTGACTGGGTTTATAATTGTCACAGTCACATAGGCCAGTCAAATATTACTGCTTATGGCTATGGCTACCTTAGAAATCTTCACCTTCTTCTTCTTCTTTCCTCTTGTAGTACCAAGCACTACCACCTGCGGTGGATCGACATGCCCCGCCGGCGGTCCATTGGTTCGATTCCCTTTCCTGCTCAGAGACCACCAAGCCTCAAGTTGTGGGTACCCAGGGTTTAATCTCTCGTGCAACAACGAAAACCAAACCATTCTCACTCTGCCATCTTCTTCCGGGGACTTCATCGTCCAAAGCATCGACTATATGGACCAAACCCTAACGATCGATGACCCTGATAACTGCCTCCCAAGAAGATTCCTCTACCATGACATCAATCTTAAAAATTCACCCTTTTCATACGCAAACGCCCCTGAAAACTACACGTTCGTTGGCTGCTCGTCCCAAAAAGCATTTTGGCCATGGAATTCAGCACCCGTAATCCCTTGCCTCACCAAGTACCACTACAAGGTCATATACGTTGTACAAACCGGTTCGCTTTTGCAGCCGGATCCGATACCTTTTCCGCCGGTTCCGAAACTTTTGCCGGCTGGTTGCTCTAAAATTTCGACTGCTTTGGTTCCATTTTTATTTAATTCGGAGTATCTTAACTTTGGTGCTCAGTTGACTTGGTACGTGCCTAATTGTCGTTCTCGTGAAGCTAAAGGTCATGTTTGTGGGCTGGAAAATGGTACTACAACTTCTCAGAATCGGTGCTTTGGTTCTTGCGGTATGTTAGTTTTATAATGTCATTTTCATTTTCTTATTTGGATACTGCTCGACTGACTATCATTAAGGCAGGGCGAGAAGGGCTACTGCCCTGGGCCTGGGCCCGATCTCAAGAAGGGCCCCAAAATATTTATTTATTTTATTGTTCTTTTAAAAGATGATTATAAAATAGTTTATTAATATGATGTACAGTAGTTTATGATGATTGATGAGTTGATGTTCTGACTATAAATGCATCAAATGGACTATATATCTTTTGAAAAGAAAAAAAAGGACTCTAAATGAGTTAGGGCCTTTTTTTTGACTTTGTCTTGGGCCGCCAAAATCTCAGAGCTGGCCCTAATTTTCTAGCCTGCAACAAAACAAGGTGCTTCGATGACAACTTTTGATAATTATCTTGTCCATTTTTAATTCCATCCCTGATATAAGCTTGATTAGTTTAGTGTCTTCAATCACATCTACGATCATAGGTTTAAAGTCCAGTTTTGAGTTACTGCCCAAATTTTAAGAGTTCAATTTAAAATATGAAGTACATGGTCGATCGCAGACAAAAAACTGCAACGGTGTTGATGGTAATCAAATAGCTAATTTTTTTTATTTTTTATTTTTTGGTGAAGTAGTAGGCTTTGCATGGTTGGTTGTGGAAGGAGAATCTAAAAAGATAACGGTTCGGATCAACAAATTTGAGATAAGATATTCATATCCATAAATACATATAAACTCCTCTATATATAAATGTAAATCATATTCCAAATATTGTCTTACTTATCCCGAACTAATGGGACGCTATGGAAATTATTGTGATTTCAGGCTTTTCAAGTCTGCCAAGAGCTGCAAGGTATGGCATACTAATAGGTGTGGGAATTCCAGGGCTACTATGCATCATAGGGCTTGCAGGTTATGTCTGTAACAAGACGAGGGTTCGTGGTCAGATTCACCAGCCCACCATCATACAATTGTTATCCACCATACCCAATCGACGACCTTCGACAGTCAGAATTGGCCTTGATGATCCGACCATCGAATCATATCCTGAGATTCAACTTGGCGAGAGCTGGGAATTGCCAAAACTCAATGACAACACTTGCCCAATATGTTTGGCTGAGTACCAGCCCAAAGAAACACTAAGGACCATACCAGAATGCAGCCATTATTTCCATGCTAATTGCATAGATGAGTGGCTTAGAATGAATGCAACTTGCCCAATTTGTAGACACCCACAAAAGAGATAACAATATGCTTATGTAGTACTAGCTATTGATATATAATTGTTCCCTATATATATAGGGGTATGATTTTCCCACTCCCTTTTTCTCCACTTAAACTCCCTTTTACTTTTTAATACTTTCTAATCAATTTTGTTCATTCTCTTTCCTATTCTACCCTTACCCTACATTAATTTCTTTTTTACTTCACTTCTATATTAGTTCTTTAATTGAGTAAGAAATTAAGTTTTTTTTCCCCTTTAATATTGAAAATGCAGGGTAAGCTAGAAAATTAAGTATAAAGAAAAAGAAATAATATAAAAGTGAAGTAAAAAAGAAATTAATGTAGGGTAATGATAGAATAGGAAAGAGAAAGAATAAAATTGATTTTAAAAAATTTAAAAAGTAAAAGGTGTTCACCCGTTTGATGTTTGTTCTTGTGATGGTAGTGTAAAGTTCCCCATGGCCTTGAAAAACATTGATTGTTTGTCACACCCCAATTATTTTTTTATTATTATTTTTATTTGGGAATGTGAGGTAAAAGAAAAAAAACTAAAATTAAAAATTTAATTATCAAGAAACATGAAGATTGAACGTAAACTTCCATTTAAGTCAAAGTAATTTACGTTGTATTATTACAAGCAAAATAACAAGAAAGTAACAAACTTTCAACAAAACACTCAAAACTATCCATAATCTGTTCTTCTTGTCCTCAGCAAAAACTACACTTCAGTTTCAAAGCCTGCAATAGATTCAATAAGGGGTGAGCATTACATGCTCAGTAGGGGTCCTATGTCTTATGTGATTAGTGAGATTTATAATGTACAATTTATACAATGCATGAATGAACTTCAATTCTACCCAACCCGTTAATCTATATAATAG